TATCTGTCATGTTAATGTACAAAATAAGGCTGATTTAACGTCCACAAACGGAGATTGAAGCGTTATTTTTTAGAATTGTACTGACATACGGCTTTAGTAATAAAGATGGTAAAATCGCTGTAATTCATTACTAACATGCACTGTTTTAAAAACGTTTTAAACTTGTAAAACTCATTTGATTATGATTGATGATCACAGAGAGCTGAACAGATCTTTTAATCCCAGTTGCTTTGCACACTTCCTGTCTTGTTGATATAATTATAAGCCTAACCATGGCGACATGTTAATATACAGCTGTCAGTCAATTTGGTTGGTGGGTTAATTGCACTCCTACGTCACGTTGTGGTGGGCCTCGATATGGGAGGGATTTGGATCCTATTTTTACATAATTAAATTAAAAAAAGAGACTCATTGTGTTTATATCACCACAATATGACTGTGGACACATGATACCTACACACAGTTTTGTTTAAACAGCTTACCAAAGATGATTTTTATCATAGGTGCCCTTTAAAAGAGCGCTAGGTGCTGAAACTTAGAATGCACAATTAAATAGTCAATACAAAAAACACAAAAATTACTGTAAACAAAGGTTTAATAATAGCCAGAACTGACATTAGACGTGGGTTATCTGTGAATATTTAATTTATTTTCCCCCTTAAAATAAAAAAATAGAAAACAAACAGACAAAACAAGACAGTGTACAGATGGCCCTTTATGTAAACAGCAACCAAACCAAGCGCTGATATTTACGGGTATTACATGTTCATGTCAGGAGGGGTTTGTGGAGCAGAAACCTCAAGCCTGTAGAGTCTCTGCATGGGATGAATGTCAATGCTGTCCCTCAGCTTGGCCACAGAAGGCATGAGGTCTGGGCCTCCGCCAGGCTCTTCTCTCTCAGTCTCTTTTTGTTTCTCTTCGTCTGGCTCACTCCCTCATTCCCCGCCTCTGCCATCGCTGCCGCACCACTGGCCAAAATGGGGGATCGCCACATCAGCTGAGCTCTGCTTTTTTAACCCAGACACATGCCAGCAGGACAAAATTATTGGCAAAAAGTCCAGAGAATTCAATGCCAAGAAGAACTCATTCGTTTCATCATTACTTAATATTTTAATTGTCCAATAACAACACTGCCTACCAATTTGCAGCAGAAATGTCCTTATAAACACTGCATGTTCCTTGAAATCATTGTGCAATTTTGAGTGTGCCTAATGCATGAGTGGGCTTGACAAACCACCAGTTGAAGTCTTTTTCTCTCCATATTCACCGGACACTTTTTTTCTTTTTAGTCATTCAGTATAGTTTTAGGTTATAGTTCACATTTGTTTGTTTTTCGTTTATTAGGAGTGCAAAACATACAAAAAGGTATACACAGAACACACAAACAGCAATAGAACAGAAAAGGAAGCAACAGAAATGTGTATAAATAGCAATGGCAATCATAATAATATTGGTAGTACTTAAAGGGCACTTATTTTACCCCTATTACAAGATGTAAGCCTTTGGTGTTTCAAGAATGTGTCTGTAAAGTTTCAGTTCAAAATACCCATCAGATTATTTATTATAGCCTCCAGTGTCTGAGTACAGTGTCAGTGTCTGTAGCTGTTTCTACATTGTCTTAAAGCCTGTGGCTTTAAATGCAAATGAGCTGCTTCTCCCTGACCACCGTTCCCATGTGCATGTCTGCTTCAGATAAATATATACCTATATATATATATATATATATATATATATATATATATATATATATATATATATATATATATATATATATATAGGGAAAACTGCACTTCTACGTCATGTTGTGGGCCCCAAAATCACTGGGGTATGGATCTTATTTTAACGTCAGGCTTGTTGGGTTTATATCACTCAATACCTGTTATACCTGTTACTCATACACACTTCTGTCAAAAACAGCTTACAAATGTTGATGTTCATCATAGGTGCCCTTTAAATGGTATTTAGCATTCATAGTCAAAACAATATCAATAATAATACTGAAGTATGATGATGATTATGAAAGTAATATTCTGTGATGATGCACTCAAAAAATAAAGTTTGTTGTTTGTTCAAACTACTTACTTAGAATAAGCTAAAACAACACAGCTCTTGAGTGTTTTTTTTCAGACAAATTGTTTTATGTTCAATCCACTTAAATTTGTTGAGACTAAATTAGTTTAATTCCTACATGTTGTCCCAACACAAATCAAATAAATTATAAATTATATATATATATATATATATATATATATATATATATATATATATATATATATATATATATATATATATATATAATAACAATACAAAAAATACACACATACCACATACAGTGCTCAGCATATATAAGTACACCCCTCACAAATTTTAGATTCATATTTTAATAGGAAGCTGTACAATATTATATTTGTACATATACATTAGATTTGTCAGTACTGAAGCAAAATCTGGAGCTTATCTAACAAAATAACTTACGAGAACGGTCCAAAAACTACTACATCCAAATATGTGTTATAGAAAAATATTAAATACACATTTAGAAAAGAGGAAAAATCACAAAAAGCTAAAAAATTAAACATTTTTGTTGAACTTTTGTAGGTTGTATTTTTATTTTTATTTTTCAAATATTTTGCTTGAATTTTAATTGTATTATTTTTCAATTTCTTAATATGTTTGGTGACTAAAATATTATTTTATTACATACATCTATTTAATAATCTGTTTTCTTTAAATGCACCTAAATACATTGTCTGTTTTCACTGAGAAATGGATAAAAATTCATTTTTAAAATAGCGTGTACTCAGTTATGTTGAGCACTGTATATCCTTCTTATAAGCCCTCCATTTAAAAAGAAAAAAGAAATAAAAAAAGCTACCTGGATAAAAAAAAACTAACTTGGACTTGTCACAGCACCTATATATTGCTGCTCTCTGGTGACTTGAAGTGCTTCTTTTGTCCTCATTTGTAAGCTGCTTTTATTAAAAGCATCTGTTAAAGGAATAAATGTAATAATTAGGCGATAGTAGAGTTACCAAAGAAAAAGAAATAAAAAAGGATGAAAAACAGCATCATTTCAAGGCTGATGGATATATTAAAACAAAACAAGCATATCTACAGTTCTCTAATTCACTTTGTGTTCAGTTTAATCAGTCTCCTTCAGATCTTTTTGAGCAATCATGCATATTTTGATGAGGGCCTGTGTAAGCAATTCCTTTGACTGAGAAACATTCAGACTGAGATTCAGAGATGAGTCTCTTTTTTGCTGACAGCTAGTAGCGAATGGCATCAATCAGTCCCAGCAACACCCGCAATTATGTCACTGAATCGTTTCTCATTCCTCTAAGAATAGAGGATTCAAAATGATTCTGCACTGCGCTATTCATGCCCGTTTTAGAGTGCTTTTGTTTTGAATGACAGCTGCATTTGTGACGAGCCGCAATTGCTGGCTGTAAACTGTAATCTGTTAATTATATGGAGCAGCTTTTTAAAAGGTTAAATGACAGGGGCTCGTCCTGCGATACAGAAAGGTTCTTAATTAGTGGGTTCGTGTATGAGTAAAGAACCTGGCTTTTCAGCTCTTGTCAAAAGGATAAACCTTGCCAAGACAGCAACATTATTTTCCCCCATAAAAATACTGTTTTGCAAGTGAATTTTGTCAAAGTGAATAAGTGAGTGGTTATTATTTGGCTAATACACTAGGGTCAGAAAGTTTGAGGTTGCTCAGATTTTTGAAGTATGTTTGTGTGTATGCTTGCTAGGCTTGGATTTATCTGATCAAAAACTAATTAAATGCATAGAATGAATATAATAAAAAATTATAGATACAGTGCTCAGCATGATTGAGTACACCCCATTTTGAACATTAATATTTTTCTCCACTTCTCAGTGAATATAGGCAATGTACTTTGGTGCATTTAAAACAAAAGAGATTTATTGAACATATATATTTATTTATATTTTAGTCTACAAACATATTTTTAAATTGAAAGGTAATAAAATTAAATTCAACTAAATATTGCAAAATAAATTACAACTAAATATTCCTTTTTTTCTTCTCTTGATTTTTCCTCTTTTAAATTTTGTATTTTATAGTTTTCTATAACATAAATTTGGCTGTAGTAGTTTTTGGACCATTATCGTAACTTATTTTGTTAGAAAAGCTCCAGGTTTGGCTTCTGTACTGACTAATTAAATGTACTGTATAGGCACAAATACAGTAATGTATAGCTTTCCTGTAAAAAATATTAATTTAAAAGATAGATTTTGTGGGGGTGTACTGTACTTAGATATGCTGAGCACTTTATATATATATATATATATATTAGGGATTTCGAGTCATTTGATTTTGATTACCGAAACCTGATCCAATACTTCTACAATATAAAAAAGAATGAAGAAGAGGGAAGAAACAGATCCAGGATGATCCTTATTTGTTATTTAATTCACCTTATTTTAACATTCAACTATTCTGTTAATTAACAGAGCACTTCTGTGAGTTAGCTTGTAAAATCAAGTAATAAATAACATCAATTCTTCAAGCTAATTATTATTATTAAAAGATTTATTGATTAAAATGTGCTTTTATTTATTTATTTATTTATTTATGTTTAAATATTAAATTCTGAGCATAACAAGCTTATAGCCTCAAGCAAAATTACCCAAGTCTTTTTTTGTATCATGCATCTGTTCATGGTGATGTCCATATGTTTGAGGTTTGTTTTGATTGAGCATTTCCGTTAAAGTTGGAGGTCATTTATAAAGCATATGTTCTTGTTGATGTCCATATGTTTGTGGTTCGTTTTGATTTGTATAATATATAAATAAATAAAAGATTTTTTTAAATCCCATGTTTCTCACACAATCACACAGCTGTGTAACACATTAAAGGATTTGTCCTTTAATACATAATATAACCGTGTTATCACTATAAGGGAAAAATGCTCAATTCTCACACTATTCTATGATTCAGATTCAAATCTCTTTTTATCTCCTTTTCCCAGCTGCAGCGAGTCCAGAGAAAACAGATGAGTTTCTCCTAGCCAGGTTCAAAGGTAATGGAGTTCGCTACAAAGCCAAGCTGATCGGTGTAGATGATGTGCCTGAAGCAAGAGGAGACAAAATGAGCCAAGACTCTATGATGAAACTGAAGGTCAGTGACAGGTCTAGCATATTTGGTATACATAATAAGTGACTTTCACTAGCCCAAACAAATGACAGAGAAGTGGGATTTACTTGTATGGAGTCTTTGGCAGAAGCTTCAGAATGTGATTTTTAGACTACTCGTTTTACATTTTAAGAGTACAAGTGCTTTCTGACTTAATTAATAAAATACATTGTTTTCCACAAAAGCAACCCGCGGTGCTGATATATAATTGGCTAACCTGGCATTGGACTGGTTAAACGACCAAAACAAAGACGGCTGTACTGGCACCTAATGCCGAGTTTAGACTGCATGATTTTCAAAGTAGTCGGGTCACACTGCATGACTATCTGGGCTAGCATTTTGTCGCTGCTTTGTTTACACTGCAAGATGGATCGGTGACAGGGGCTTTCACATTGCATGACTTTACAATAGGAAGAATCGTCTGCAACTTCATCTAAACTATGTCTCACAACCAAAAACACATAGTATATCTTTTGTTATTGACTACATAATGAGAAAGAAGCCTTTAATGATGTAGAAAATGTACATATTTGCTCACCTGGGTTGAAAGGGAATTAGCAATTTCTCCTCAACTTTCTTTTTTAACTTTCTGTATAAAACGTCAAAGAGACAAGGGCGCTCCGGTCAAACCTCCTCTAGTTTCTCCTCCATTTCTTGGGTTCAAATAAACTGAAAATGAGCGATTTTACCTTCTCCCTCAACCTCCCGCTTGCTTACAGGTACACACACACAAGTGAATGCTGTGATTTTAGGCATTTTTTGGCGTTTTCCCTAAACTTGTCGGCGAGTCACAATCGGGGCTCAAATCATGCAGGCTGAACTCGGCATAACACACACTTTCAAAGCAGAAGATCTGACTTTAGCACTGTTTTTCAGATAAACAAGAATGCTCACTTGGCATGTTTCTTGAATCTATACTTTAGATAAGTCAAAAAACGTACATACAGCACCTTTACATTTAGAAATTTATCTTACTGAAATGTTAACCGTTAAATTCCAGCAACCACATCTACTGTTTTTAGCGTGAATTTTAAAGGTTTGTTTACAGTATATTTATTTAGGAGGACACTGTCCTAGTTAATCATTCATTTGTGTTTGTTCACAGGGCAAGGCGGTGGCAGCTCGCTCTCAGGGCAAGCACAAGCAGAGAGTCTGGGTGAACATCTCTCTTTCGGGAATCACTGTCACTGATGAGAAAACTGGGGTGTGTGTGTGTTTTATTTTTCTTCTCACTGTCAGTTTAAATGATATATCAACATGCAGTATTCATTGTCACTTTTGTCTTCTCCAGGCAGCAATACTGGAGCATGCAGTAAATAAGATCTCCTTCATAGCCCGGGATGTCACTGACAGCAGAGCTTTCGGCTACGTGTGTGGCGCGGAGGGCCAGCACCAGTTCTTCGCTATTAAAACAGCACAGCAGGTACAGAGAGATTTTTTTTACTTTGCAAATCTCTTTACTCCTTCACACACTCCTGCCTTAGGCACACACAGATGCTCACATTCCCTCTCTGTGTAGATCTGTTACACATTTTTCCCAGAAGTGCGTTTTTCTACAAGCATACCCACAAAAACACATTCCTGCCGCTCACAAACATTCACCCATAAACCTGCAGGAGACACGCTTTTAACACGCTGCTTGTGTTTTCACTCAGGCGGAGCCTCTTGTCATTGACCTGAAGGATCTTTTCCAGTTAATCTTCAATATGAAGAAAAAAGAAGTCGAGGGGTCGAAGAAGGTGCGAGACATAAACGATTTTTTTAAATCCATCTAGACTGTGCACACACATACCTGTAATGTTCTGTTAATGCTTAAAATTTCAACAAATGCCAAGTTCAGATTGCAGGATTTTCAAAGTGGTGTTGTCACGGATGTTCTCACACAGCATGACTATCTGGAATGCTGTGTTTACACCGCAAGATGGATCAGCGACAGGGGGTTTCACACTGAATGACTTTAAAATAGGAAGAATCCGCAACAACTTTGTTACGGCACACAAACTACATCTCACGACCAAACACACAAGAAGTGATATGGAAACATTGTGCGGTCACATAGTATATCTTTTGTTATAAAATACATTATAAGAAAGAAGCCTTTAGTGGGATAAAAATTTTACTTATTTTGCTCTCCTGGCTTTTGAAAAGAATAAGCAATTTCTCCTCAACTTTTTTCTGATTCAACCCAGTTGTGGTATTCTTCAGATGAGACGTCAAACAGACACGGCTGCTTCTGCTAAATTTACCATATTTTTTTCTCCGTTTTTTGGGTCCAAATAAACTGAAAATGAACCATTTTAACTTCTCCCTTAACCTCACGCTAGCCTGCAGGTACCCATACTAGTGGATGCTGCTCTCTCATTGGCTGTAGGTGATCGTCAATGTTATTTTCAATCAGACAGCATTTCACACTACGGATTTTGAATCGCTGACAGCTCCAAATATTTAGCATGCCAAATATCTGACGGATGTCTGTGACTCATCTGCAATTATCTCAGATCATGTCTTTGATAGTTCACACTGTGTGGTTGTTACTCATGTGAACGAGTACCGATTGGCCTGTGATTTCAGACACTTGTCAGATTTCTCAAAATCTGTCGGCAAGTTAAAATCGGAGCTAAAGTCATGCAGTCTGAACTCGGCATAAGTATGCTGCCACTTAGAAAATTATGGTTGGCATGATTTTTTTGAAGGAATTTTTTTTTAAAATTAATTTCAAGGTGACACTAAAACATATCAGTGATTTTATTGATAAAAGGTAACAGTAAGACAAATGAATAATTTCATTAATAAAGGGTAACACTAAAGAAAATGAATTTAAAGTAAGAAGTTTTTAAACTTTATGTTAATCAAAAAGCCCTAAAATATGTTTCCATAAAAATGTGTTAGCATTGATAACCATGACAATATTTCTCAATCAGCAAATCAGCTACTAAGAATGATTTCTAAAGGCATTTGTGACACTGAAGGCTGGAGTAATGATGATAAAAATTCGCCATTGAATCCCATAAATTTAAAATAGAAAAATAAATTTGATAATATTTTACAGCGTTAGTTTTAATGTAATTTTGATTTTTAAAAATGCTGTCTTGGTGAATAAAGGAGACTTATTTTACAACTGTATGCTCTTATCATCCTCAAACTATGTAAAGTATATCTACCATCATAAGCTGAATTACATTTTTAGAAGACTATTGCTGCATCCCAATTCGCATACTTATACTACGCCCTAAAAGTATGTACTTTTTTGTGAAGGAAATATATATAGTTTTGGGTGTGTAACAGAAGAGTATGCAAGCTTTGGGACATACTACTTCCTCTTTAACAGATTGTTGTGTTGCTTACCCATGAGCCCTGTCAATCATCTACACATTATCCACATTTCTGTCATGTTTAATTTCCTACCTTATTGATAGGCCCACAAGGAATCTGCGTGCGCAGGATTCCGCAGATTTTTAGCCTATCATTAATTCTATTTATTTTCTTGAGTAAATGTGTGCAAATCTATATTTATTCAGTTTTTAAATTAATTACAGTAATATTACAATAAAAATGTTCATCTGATTTATGTACAATGCCGTTTGTAAAGTAATATTTTCTGTCTTTTAGTAGAGATATTACATGAGAGACTTGCTTTGTTTACCAAATAAAGTGAATCTTATTGGATTTGCGTTTTAAACATTAAATAAAAGTTAATAAGATATTATTTTTTATTTCACATATTAAGGTTTTAGTTATACTCCCAAAATAATTCCGCAGAAATCCGCAGATTTTTACCAAAATTCTCTGCAGAAATAGCAAAAAACGTCCGCAGATTCCGTCTGGCCCTACTTATTGGGGAAGCAGCAGCAGGATAATCTGCCATTCACAAGTATTTCATGCAGAGAAATCTTCTCAGGTCTTTGGATAACTCTGCATTTAGCCTTTAATATCCAAACACGTCTTTATATAAGTTCAGTATTGTTGTCGCAGATGAAATATAACAGAAAACAGTATAAATATTATGTATGTATGATTAAAACTGTCATACAAACATCTTTCCCGAAGCCTCTCTACTTTACATTTAGTCTTGCACGTCCACTATGTGTGTAGTTCATCTACACTTTTCACCCGTGATTGTAGTTCTAATCAAATTCCCGTCCAACCCACAATGTACTGTGGGCAATATCAGCGGTTAGAGTATGGATGCTTCTACACTTACATTTTTTTACCGGAATTTGTAAATCATCCAGGAACCTTTGGCATACTCTTATACTACGATTTGGGACTAACTCTATTTTCAAATGATACTTAGGACGGATAATATGCGAATTGGGACACAGCATCTATGTCACAGGTATCAAATTCAGTTGCTAGAGAGAGCTGCAGCTCTGCACAGTTAAGTTCCAACCCTAATTAAACACACCTGATCAAACTAACTGAGTCCTTCAGGCTTGTTTGAAACCTACAGGTAAGTATGTTGGAGTTGGGTTGGAACTAAATTGTGCAGGGATGTGGCCCCCCTGGAACTGAATTTGACAGCCCTGCTTTATGTGAATTAATCCACATTAGTGCTTGTCTAAAGTGTTATTATCTCACAGACATTACATGTGGACTGTAAACATTACGTCTAGTTTATTATGGATAAATGTCACAGTTTTTGTCACAGTTTTTGTCTGCTTTACTAATCAGATCTTGTGTTCTCTTTAGGATGAAAATAATAAAGTGGTGGAGGTAAGTACTGAGATATTACTTGAAATATTTGTTATATATTAATATCATTCTGTATATTTGAATGACTTTATTTTTAAAATCCTCTTGTTACATGTACTTACTAATAGCAATAAATCAAACAAAACTACACGCAACTAACCATAAAATCCAGATAATATTTACATATAGAGCTGGGGTCTGTTCTTCGTACGTGGATTACTCAATTAGCTGGATTTGGTTATTGATGATTTGACACGATCCAGGATCGTTTCGTTCTTCAAAACTCATCTGAGACTTGTTGTCATAGCAACAGTTCTGGTAGCTCAAACCTGCTAGGGAGCAGGCTCATTTCATATAAACAGTATTATATCGGGTCAGTTCAAGCAAAGATAATACTGAAAGTATGTACCAAATGCTGATATTTTCTTACAGTAGTGATTATATACACTTGGGATGATAGTAAATATATATTTTTAACTATACTGTATATATAAAGTTAAAATATATATATTAAAGGGGTGGTCCAGAATGCTATTTTTAAGGCTTGGTTGTGTTAATAAGATGCAAAGCAATGTGTGCTCATGTTTAACTTGAAGGAAATCGTGTTATTTTTTCATAAATCTGACTTTGATTATACACAGCTACTCAGCTAACATGAAAACGACTGTCATATTTCCTAGTTTCTCTAAAAGGCCCACCCTCAAGTGACTCTGATTGGTCATCATCATAATATGCTGTGATTCGCCGATCGGCTCCACGTCACGCCCTGACAAGCACGCGCGTTTTGTGTAAACAGTCAGTCAGTCAGTCAGTCAACACGTGTCTGTAACGAGTGAAAATGGGATGCGGCTCCTTTAACTGTTTCTGTGCCTTTTAGTGTGTTTATGCGTGTATACGATGAAGTATCTGTAACACGAGAAGCGCATGTGCGCGGGAGAGATTTTTATTGTTCTTTTTCTCTCATGCTCGGATTAAGTTATTTTCTATGGTGACAGAATAAAGCACAAGATGTGAGATGAGACCTTTGTGAGCCTGGATTGATTTGTTTTTGATGTTACACTCCAGTTGGGAAATCATTGCTGTATTTTTTTTAAATCAACGCGTTACAGGACGTCTTTCATGCATATGCGGAATATGCCTGTGTAAGTAACATGAATCGTTCACATATCTTTTGCGACTTTATTGTCCGAGTTGTAAAACGCATAGCAAAGCTGCCTATAGAGAGAAACTCTGCCGTCTCCCACAGAGAGACGCAGGTGCTGGCCAAGAGTGCGTGTATGTGTATGTGTGTGTGTGCGTTTACAGCCGTTTGATAAATATGGATTTGTAACGTTAGCTAAGTCGTTAGCGGTTACCATAATTTCCCGTTGTTTACATCTTTGCTACAACACACCGTTAAAGTTAGACACTGTACATGTCATGATCAATTTTAACAAATAAAAACACTTACAGGTCATGACTCAGAGTTCACAGCGTCTCCTTGCTCCATCTTTGAGGAGATTTTAACTGAATCCAGCACTGAACTGGGAGAGATTCTGGAAGCTGTGTTTTGTCAAATCATGCTTGCTATGTATTTTATAGTTCTCTGGAACATAATTAATATTGAACTGTAAGCACTTCTGTGTTTGGGTCGTGTCATTTGGAAGCCCAACAACAGAAACAGAACAGCTCTGTGGAAACAGCAGGATGGCATTTCTCTCTCTGCAGTAACGTTACAGCGCCTATAGCCACGGCCTTTACCTGCGCAGTGTGGGATGCGCAATAACGAACTTTTGTGATCTCACAGGGGGCGGAAGTATTTTTTGTAGTCCCCAAAATTCGTTAATTGTAGGCGTTGCTAAGCTAACTCTGTACAAATCAAGGTCTCCCTTTGCATTAAACTTTGAATATTTTACATTCAGAGATGCTGTTTATGTTCACACAGCTACATTACACATCAACTGAAGTTTAAAATATAATATCGTAGTGGACCACCCCTTTAATAAAACTTACGCAATCTGCACTCCGAAATAAAAGCACAAAGGCTGGCACCTGGTGATTCAAAAAGAACATTTATTGATATGAACTTTTTACCTACAAACGCGTACATGCACAATATTCCACTTTTTTTTTTTTTTAAAAAAAGGACAATAATTTATGCAGTCATGCACGTGTTTTGACCGCAAATATGCCGATGATCTGATGCTTCGCAAGAGTTGCTGACACCTTTAGCGATATCAAATGCTTTTTTGATGCAAAATCAATTTATACAGTTTCTCCTTACGCCGATTAACACTACTTGAGAAGGCTACTATAATAAAGAAAATCTTCTCTAAATGTAGAACTAAATACATTGATATGCAGTAAACAGATGATGAAAACAGTTGACAAATGAAAGTGTAAAGCCTGCAGCTCAAAAACAGAGGTGGAAAGCTATTGCGTGTCATATGAAAAAAAACGTTTACTAGTAATTTGATGTAATTTTGCTCACATGAATTATTGAATATTAATTAGATGACGTCACTACGCTGCTGTGCCATCAGCATATCATTGCCATGCTGATCATGATTTCGAGGATCGATAGATCTGTCCTTCACAACACACGCAGAGATCTCAGATCAGTTCATCCAGACATTTTAATCTGATTCACAAACTTGTTTGAAGAACTAAATTAGCAGGAGATCAGTTATCAAGATTTAAAGATCCTGTATCTGCCAAATCATCTTAGATCATTTAAGCGAGGTACAAAGAACAGATTCCTAAAGTTTTTTTGTGGAAATTGGTCAAAATAACGAAGATTTTCATTTGTTGTAATTGAAAATTAAGGTTATTGCATCAAGTATTTATCTCTTAAAGGGATAGTACACCCAAAAATTTAAATTTCCTTATCATTCTGTAGTAAAACTGTTTTTCTATTAATGGGGAAAATTATTAAGGTAGTCTTTTGTGTTCAACAGAAGAACGAAACTGTTCTTTTTTTTGTGTAGATTAAATAAATCATCAGAAGTTTCATATTTGTGTAAACTAGCCCTTTAAATCTTATGAAGTTAAAAAAATACTATAAAACTGCATGCAACAATGGCATTAATCAAAAGCTGTAGAGTTATACTGTAACAAGAGCAAATTAAAATAAAGTCTATCCACATATAATCACAGTCTTTTTCAATCCTACCTCAACAGAACGGCAGCGAAGGCTCGCACAATGACAGAAAAGTGAGTATTATTTATTGTGGTGTGGTTTAAATTCACCAAATGCTCCGGCAAATACTGCAGCAGAGCAGCGAGAGGCTTGTTTTGTATTAGCGTCCTCTAACCTGAAGCCAGTGTTAGTTGTGTCTCTCTGGCCCAGTTCCTAAAGCCCCCCGCTGAGTTGTCTTCATGCTGTTGCTCACCATTTGTACCCTGCACCTAAACTAGTCTCCTCGGGGGGTGAAAGCTAATGAAGTTAGCAGACAGGAAATAACAGAGACACATAACATAGCAGCTCTCTCTCCATTCCTTTCACTCACAGTCTATGAACACACCAAAACAACGCCATTCTCCTCATTCTCTCCGCTGCTCATTTCCTCCTATTCATCTGGCTGAAGCATGAATGGCTCTTCTCTTAGGTGTTTTGGTTACTCTGACTCTGTTTGGCTTCCAGAATCTGGTCTGAATGTTGTTGTTTTTTTTTTGTTTTTGTTGATGCTGTGTTGCAGGGCGTTGAACAGCTGGACTTGTTTGGAGACATGTCGACCCCACCAGACTTAAACTCTCCCTCGGTAAGTAACTGTTGGGCAAGAATGAGTCACACGTGTTGATGCAGAAATACACACATTCTGACAGAATGAGACACTCTTTTTCCACATGTTGCTTATTAATGGTTTGTTTGGACGACCGCTTTATTAAGGGAATAGTTCACCCAAAATATTGGTTTCTTTCTTCTATCGAACACAAAGTTAGATATTTTGAAGAATGCTAAGGAAAAAAAGCCATTGACTTCCATAGTATGGTTTGTTTCTCCTATGGTGTCAATAGCTGCACATTCTAACGTTCATCAGAATATCTTGTGTTGTGTTCAACAGAAGATTAAAACTCATTATAGTGAATAAATAGTGATGAAAGGTTAATTTTTGGGTAAACTATTCCTTTAATGCAGGAAATATACATTGATATTTTTGTTAGTTCTAACTATGCAAATCTGCACACCAGCTTATTTACTAACACAAGACATTACGCCATTGGACAGAGACTAGTGGCGTTCAGACGACTCTCATATCCTGTTATAGTCCTTGTTTAGTCTCTGGTGCTTGATTGACCTCAAATGCAGAAAATACCGTCACGGGGAGTTGAAGGCCTGGGCTTCGGCCAACCAAAACAACAAGCACTAAAACCTCAACAAGGCTCAGTTGTTTGTAGACGCTGCTCTGTGGAGGAGCTTTATAGCCATATGAGGCCATTTCGTGCAGGGCGATGAATTCTGAAGTCTTTTAAAGTGTTAAAGGCACAGTATGTATGATTATTTACTATCAACAACAACAAAACTTTAAAGCAGTCTTTGCTATTTTACTGACTTAACATACATACATGCATATATTATCCCAAATGTTTGGAAGAATGTTTTAATATAGAGAAATAATACATTTTTATAGTGACAAGACATATTCATACGGTAAAAGAAAATTTGACAGCACTTTATCATTTATAAATTTAAATACCTTCCACCTTAAATGTTTTTGCATACCGACAATGTCAGAAAATATGAGGTACTGTTTCTGGGTATATTGAACAAAATGAACATTTGACATCCATGTCTAACTCTATCAAGCCTCTTCAGCTGCTCCAGAACGCAGAAGCACGAGTGGTCTTTAATGAACCTAAAAGAGCACATGTCACTCCGCTGCTCATCCGTTTGCACTGGCTGCCAGTTGCTGCTCGCATCAAATTCAAAGCTCTGATGTTTGCCTACAAAGCGACTTCTGGCTTTGCTCCTTCTTATCTGCTCTCAGTTCTGCAGATCTATGTGCCCTGCAGAAACTTGCGTTCTGTGAATGAACGTCGCCTCGTGGTTCCATCCCAAAGAGGGAAGAAATCACTTTCCCGAACGCTCACGTTCAATCTGCCCAGTTGGTGGAATAAACTCCCAAACTGCATCAGAACGGCAGAGTCACTCGCTGTTTACAAGAAACGACTAAAAACTGAACTATTTAGTCTCCACTTTACTTCCTAATCTGCAATTGCCTCTCTGGATATCACACTAACTGTACTCAAAAAAAAAAAAAAAAAAAAAATTTACTAATACTTTCCTTCTTAGACTTTACAGACCTGAAACTTGCCTACAGCACTTATTCATTGTTGCTCTTATAGTTGTGTAAATTGCTTCCTTGTCCTCGTTTGTAAGTGGCTTTGGATAAAAGCGTCTGCTAAATGACTAAATGTAAATGTAAATGTCTTCCGTTATTCTGATTTAAAAAATGCTTAACAGTAAAATTTGTGTTGTATCTTACATAAGATTGCTTTGATTTTATTTGTAATTAGATATTTATTTGGTAATACCCAAACTTTCCTCCAATCAATATTTTGAATAAACTCAGACCAATAGAAAATAACATATGGTTTACTAACCAATGGACTAAATGCACAGCTAGAGTTTTAAAAGGCAATAATAAACATCCAGTGAAAGCTTAAAGCGACTATTTTCAATTCCACAAGGTTGTTTTAACAGCATTGATGTTGTAATGTAATTACAATACATTCAGTTAAATAGACTTAAGCATTCATTTAGTTGTTCAAGCGCAAAACGAGATGAAACCACAACATTGTAACCACTAGTGCCGTCAGTAGCAAGAGGTTAGCACAGAAATCCTATTGAAAATACTGGGATAAAATAAACGGTCGTATTTTAAAGACATGGCAGGGGGAAATGAAATTTAATGCAGTGCTTCTTGTCCAATATGAGACCCACACTGTTAAAAATTGTCCCGTTAAAAAACAGGAAAATACTGGCAGCTGCAGTTGCCAGCAATGTACTGTTATTTTACAGTATGTTGTTGTAAAAATACATGGACTACATTGATTTACACAATACTCAAGTGAACTCATTTTGCTCACTGAAAGCAACTGCCTCAACTTGGTCAACTGCTGAATGAGTTTATGAAGTAATGTGCTATATATGCTTAGAAGCATACTTATAATGATAACTTATTTTAGTTAATTAAAAAAGTTTGGTTTAACTCTAATGTCTTATTTTTCACAACAGCACACATACATGTAAATCTGGAATCACCAGAGAGATTCTGACTGCATCAGCAACTAAACAGCCGCTGTCTTTAAATAGAGAAACATGCAGAATAACATCAGCAGTTCATTGTTCATCTTTAACTGATACACTGGCTCTACTCTCCTCCACAACGGTGACACACAGAAGAAATTAGCTTCAGGTTTTACAGTAAAATACTGTTTTTTCCTTGATTTAACGGTAATCTACTGGCAGCTGTGGTTGCCAGCAATATACTGTTTTTTAACAGTCTACTTCCGTTGTGTAAATTAACAGTATATTACTGTTAAAATACATTTTTACACTGTGTTTTTACCTCTCACACCTTTAACCCTTTAAACCCCAGAGCATATACTTCAGTTTTTATTGAAGTGTCCACACTACTGAGTGTTCAAGAAACATGTAGCAAAGCTGAAGTAAATTCATTAATTAACTGACTAATTAAATGATAATTGAGGATTAACAATGAACAAATGAAGAAATACTGAAGGAAAAAACAAGAACAGAACATACAAAACTTTAGTCACAGCTTTATAATGAAATAACCTGAAGAACAACAAATGATTAAATCATTTAAATGATCAGCGGATGATTAAACAACTCTACAAACATCATCACCAGCTACACTTATTACTTAATACATGTATTTTTGTATAACATCTACTAAAGTTCTTCTTGAGAAAAAGTTAAAGTTTTACGTCACCATCATGGAGAACAGAGTTTGCTTTAGTTGGGCTCTTAGCCCTGACATTTATATATCTTAGCTGCTGCAATTGTTAAGAATTTTGCTTAAAAAGCTCCTTTGTTGTGGCAAGCCAGCCAAAAACCTAAATCTGAAAAAGTAAGATCTGGTGATGTTCAAGTTGTTATTAAATGGCAGAGTCTGTTCTCATTTAGTATAATAAAATTTACTGCTCCCATTCAATGGTAAATCTATTGTTTTACATTATGTATATATATGGCAATGATTTCTGGAAGTTTTAAGAATATCTTGGACAATAACACTGCTCTATGGTGTCTATCGCACTCAAAGAGACATCAATAATCAGCAGATGAACCTCAATAATGGTGACGACTAACAAAATTAACAGTTTAACTCACAAACAGGCAACTGAAAGTCTAAACATAAACAACAGCAGAATCAAACACAAGTAAAGAAAACTCTTAGACCGTTATACAACATTTTTTTATACCGCAATGCATGCTGGGATATTTGTACCATGCCACTCCCAGCATGCATTGCGGCATGAAACATTTGAGATGTTACCATTGTTGAGATACAAGGTCAGATTCATGAGGTCTGAGTGTGTATTTGTCATAACTGGACTGTTTTTGTATGTTATTTCTTAACTGTTAAGTAATTACGGAGGTATCTTTCTGTTTTCACTTCTCATTAATTTAATTAATACCTGTAACTAAACATAAAATCTATTGCATGAGACCCTTCTTCCAAATTTATACCAAAATATTTATCAGAACTAATTTCAGACAAATATATTTCTCTATTTATTGACTTTCCAACTTGACTGATATAATACAAGCATTTTGTTAACTCTTTATTATAGTGATTGGAGAGTCTGAATTAATCAGTTCAAGGGTGAAGAGCCCAACTAAACCAGCCCCTCACTCCATTACGGTGACACAAAAAACACCTTAATTTCTGTTGGATCTCAATGTGAATAGTATGGAAGTCAAATCAGTCAGTAATAAGTGTGTCTGCTGTTGTTTGTGGAGTTGTTTAATGATCCTCTGCTGAGACTGAAGCTGTTTTATTTTATTTGATTTTATTTAATGTTGTAACTCAAGTCACTGTTTGTGTTTCTTGTTTATTTTCTTCAGTAATTGTAATTATTAACAGCAGGTGTTCATCAGTGTCTGAATTCACTCATTAGTGTTCATTAAAACAGTCAGGTGAACTATATTAGTTAACTAGTGTATGAAATAGTGAACAAGGACACAAAGCGTGATTTCAAACACAGACTTCAAAACATCGAATCTGAACTCTGTTAGCTCACAGTTTTCTGCAGTTGGTTACTTTCTCGAAAACAAAAATGTTACCCAGAAAGCACTGTTTTTAACAGAATATTACTGTTTTAGTGAAAAAACATTATTTTACCGTAGAATCTGACTGTTTTTTAACAGCAATTTTTTACAGTGCACTTTATGCTGTAATTCTAACAGGCAGTGAAGATTGCTGAAATCAAATCTTAAACGTGACAATTTTGTAATGGAATGACAGTTCACAGGAAGCCCCTGGGCTGCCTGGCTAAAAAAATTAAACCTCTGTGTGCATATAGCCCATTATTTTTGAAATAGTTGATGTTCTTATTATTATTCTTTTTGCTAAATGAAAAAAAAAAACTTTGCCACAGAAAGTATCAGCAGGGTAAAGAAAAGTTGCATTCTATGAATATGAAAGACCTCAATTTGTGACACGAAATATGTCCTTGTGTTGCCATGCTAATGACGTAGCATACTCTTGATGTCCGTTTTGGTTTTATAGAAAACACCAAAGAGTCTTTGAAAAGACCAAAGAGACTGCTCAAAGCTGCCAGGAGAACAGAAAACAGTGGACAGTAGCAAAATAGAAGCTTCATCAGCATTTACTTGTGTTCTCATTCCACGTCGATGGCTTTCAGCTTGACTCTTCCATCATAATAAGTTTAAAATACATTAGCACATACATGAAATGTAATAAAGACCACAACTCCTATGATTCCACACTCAGTCATGGCGTTGTCAAACTATCCCTTTGTTGTGAACACACGTCCTCTAGTGGCCAACATTAAATATTGTGCCTTTAAACAGAGCTTCAGCAGAAAGCATGAATCAAATAATTAGTGTTTACTTGAATTGTTAACGTTTTACAAGTGGTGTTGATGCAGAGTTTGTTTTGTTCCTCTAACTAAACATTGCAATGACTGTGAGAGAGCAAGTTCAGGTAATGTGTGCATATGTTGTGAAGTTCATTCATTTCTAGTCATTCATTATTCCACCCATGCTTTGTTGCTAGCATATATGCGGAGAATTGAGAGGTATAAGGGACAAATTTGTACCAATAAAATGCTTAAGTATGTGAATATCTTTAGATTTTATCATTTAAAAGGGTTTAAATTTTATATTTATCAGATAAATTGGCTGCAATACCAAACAATTCCACTAGATGTCTACAGCTCCATTGCTGTCCATGAAGATGCACTTATTTTCATTCATGGTTTGAGTTTTTCCTTGTTTTTCACAATATTTATGACGTGTAATTGGTCATCATATGGCAGTATTTAATTTGATTTCAACCTGGTTGAATTTGTATTATATTTGCAAAGTGATTATACCGTTTTTTTTCTTCTTTTAAATAGAACAAACACTCAAAAAAAGTTTGCTTTTTTTACACTACTTATTCAAAATAAGCTAAATCAACACAATTCCTGAGTTTTTTGGACGACCTAATCGTATGTTCAATCCACTTAAATTTGTAAGCCAGCTAAATTTTTTTTAATGTTGTCGCAACACAAATTGATTGTGTGGAACCCTTTTTTTTTTTTTTTTTTGCAGTAAATGTGTCCTTACAGAAATCTGATATATGGTCATAAATTAACCTAAATTAAAGAAAAATATAAAGTATAGTACACAATTACATTTGTAATTGTAATAGTTAAAATATATATGTAAATGTAAATTTTTGCAATATTTTGAAACATTCTGTATGGTGTATGACGTATATGTTTATGTATGAAATCCAAAATTTGGATTGTATAAAACTTGTATGTCATATATTTGCTTATTAATTTGCATATTGCATTATATCAGGTTTCTATATGGAAAATGTTTTGTACTTTTCATAATATGAACAGCAGTTTTTAATGATTTTGTATAACTTTACATGTGCACCAGTATTTTAAAGTACAGATCTGAACTTATTAACTCCAATAAGAACTTTGTTTAAACATTTAATTGCTCTCGCTTTGAGATACTTAATAAAAATCTTCACATATGAAATCACATTAAAGCTAGAGTCTTTAAGCCAGGGGTGTCTAGTCCTATCCATTGAGGGCCAGGCATACATGTGATTAAAATCTACTGGACAGTGGCTCTCCAGTCTGGACACCACAGTTTCAAGCTTTCAACCGATGTATATACAGTGTTTTGATTGCTTTAGAGTTACTCTAAAAGAACTAATTGATGAAAAACATTGTTCTCAAATGTTGAAATGACTAAAATAAACAACATACTGTATACTTTTAATACAAATTGCAACTGTTTTCTCTTAAAAACAGAATAAATCAGGATCACATGCTGTAGATAGGAAAGCTGGCAGCCCATATTGTTTGCATTTATGATTTAAAGGGATAGTTCACAAAAAAAAGCATGCCATCATTCACTGATTTTCCACTTGCTCCAGACCTGTTTGAGTTTCTAAAGAATGTTAAAAAAACAGCCATTGACCACCACAGTATATTTGTTCTTAATATGGATGTCAAAGGTTGTTTTTTCCAGCATTCCTCAGAATATCTGGTATTGTGTTTCGAAGAAGGAACAAATTCATAAAGGTTTAAAAGAAATTTAATTTCAGTTTCTGAATGAACTATCCCTTTAACTACACAACATCTACACATGGAACAAGCTGACCATACTTCATGCATGATTACATCTTTATACACAAAATATACATCGTGTTTATTTTTTTACATAAGCTTATCATTGATCCTCCTCTTTCCCTCTTCTCTTCCAACTAGTCAGAGGACATCCTACTGATGGATCTGTCCACCGAGATAGACAGCAATCAGAACTGCGTTAAAGGAAACCCGTTCACCTCGTCTTGTGTCTCCAGAGCCCAGTCCAGCCTCACGCCTGAGAACCCCTTCACCTCTCAGCTCAGCTTCTTCCCCACCCCGATCCATGACCCGTTCAGCGACGACCCATTTTACAAAAAAAGCGACGACCAATCGATCCGGGATGACCCCGCCAACCACAGCCCTAATAGCTTGTTCAATGGTGGCCCTAAAAATGGTGACTCGGACTATTTGGGCCAGCAGTTTGACCAGCTCTCCAACAGAACGGTCATTCAGGCCCTCAGTAATGGCCAGTGGCCGGTAGACGGCAGAGCTGGAGAAACCACTAACTGGACTCAAAACACCGTCCCGGTTCAAGAGCAGAATGGACATGGGAACGGGATGCCAAATCCGTTTGTGGAGAAGATGCAGAATGGAGTGAAGCATGAGAACGGAGGGACTGAAGAGTCGCATGTCCATCAGGCCAAGGATTCTGTCATTATTTGCCCTCCACCACTCAATATGAAGGCTGGAAGAGGCAGGAGGAGTGTAAAGGTGAGGTGGCAATCAATCGTGATATGCCTCTTTCATGTTCTAATGTCTTTTTACTGCTTTCTTACTTTAAAACCTGCTTATCAGTTTATAGGAACACTCCACTTTTTTGAAAATAGGCTCATTTTACTACTTACTTAGAGTTATACAATTGATTTTCACCATTTTTTTATTATTGGTTCCCAGGTTCTGCTGATTACATTTTCTGAATTTTCATTGCCGCACTTATGCCAATTGTAATCGTGTAATTCTTTTGGAATTAAGTGAGCTCCAACTTGGCCACAAGCTGGTCCAGTTTTATTATTTTTAAATCCATTTAGCAGATCTCCTGGTCTAGCAGGAGCACGTTTAGCTTAGCATAAATCATTGAATCTGATTAGACCATTAGCATTTCACTCAAATAAGAGAAAGTTTTTATAGTTTTTCTATTTAAAGCTTTACAACATGTTCTAAAACCAAAAGAAAATTAAGAGTCAATATTTTCTAGGAACTCTACTCTTATTTTGGCATCAAGGAACTTTGCTGTTATACCTAGGGCTACAGCAGGCACAATGATTTACACCAGTTCTGAATCTGTATAGTAACAATTTTTTGAGCAAGATGCTAATGGTCTAATTCTATTCAGTGATTTATGCTAAGCTAAGCTAAAAGAACTCCTGTCAGACAATGTGACATGAAATTATGAAATTTAGTCTACTTTCAAAAAAAGTGTTCCTTTAAGACAGGGGTGTCCACACTCAGTCCTGGAGGGCCGGTGTCTTGCAAAGTTTAGTTCCAACCCCAATCAGACACACCTGAGCTGGCTAATCGAGCTCTAACTAGGCTTTCTAGAATCTAGAAGCATCCTTGCAGGTGTGTTGAAGCAAATTGGAGATTAAATCTTCAGGACACCGGCCCCTCAGGACCGAGTTTGGACACCCCTGCTTTAAGATCTCTAATTTTATTATACCTGACACCACTTTTTGGTAATGTTGTTTGCCTGAATTTTTAATGCTTCAGTGAGTTGTGCTTGTAAGGTAAGAATTTATTTTTCCACCACATTAGGCTACATGTGTTTGTGTGGATGTATATATACAGTATGCATGAAATGTCTCATTTTTTTATGTCTAGATTTCTGATCTATAGTTATGTGTTTTAGAAAAAATAAAAATATTTGTTTTATTCTTTATAGAATTTTTTTTGTCATTTAAAGCAATATTTTAACAATAACAGTATAATACAACTTTAAATTAATTTCTTTACAATGATTAATTTAGTTGTTTATTTTATTTTTTTTTAATAATGACTCTCATTCATTCTTAACTTGTTTTATCAATATTTTACATACCAAAACTTATTTTTTGGGATAGCAGATATTAAAGGACTCTTATTCAAAGGACTTAAAAATATTAATTAATTGTAGTCAGCAAGACATATTCAAGATATAATCAAATTTATTATGATCACTTATATTTATTTATTGCTTATTTACATAAACATATTTTTTACACTGCTGTATTATTTAAAACATTAAAGTAGACACTTAAGCCAATTTTTATGAAAATATTTTTTTAAGATAATTGATTTATATTGCAACGAAAGACAGTGTAATAATTTAAATGTTATGTAATGTGCTCTTATATGGTGTATATATTGTTTGTCATTGGCAGAGTTTTGTTTCTTGTTTTTTACTAGAAAAACTATAACATTGTAAAAAAATATATTCCATTTTTAGAATAACTGTAATGGAAACTTGATTTTAAGCAGTTAATACTCCATCTTGACTGTCACATCTTAAACACTGATAATTTTCCTGTGAAAACTTTTGGTTTTTTGATGAATAGAAAAAAATCTGCATTGATTTGAAATAGAAATACATTTACAGTCACGATCAGAATTATTAGCCCTCTTTTGATTTTTATTATTTTTTCTATTTTAAATATTTCCCAAATTATGTTTAACAGAGCAAGGAAATTTGTTTTATTTTGGCTAGAATAAAAGCAGTTTTTAATTTTTTAAACACCATTTTAAGGTCAAAATTATTAGCCCCTTTAAGCAATATAATTTTTCGATAGTCTACAGAACAAACCATCATTATGCAATTACTTGCCCAATTCCCCTAACATGCCTAGTTAACCTAATTAACCTAGTTAAGCCTTTAAATGTGACTTTAAGCTGTATAGAAGTGTCTTGAAAAATATCTAATCAAATATTATCTACTGTCATCATGACAAAGATAAAATAAATCAGTTATTAGAGATGAGTTATTACAACTATTATGTTTAAAAATGTGTTGAAAAAAATGTGTTAAAAATGTACTCTCTGTTAAAAAGAAATTGGAGAAAAAAAATCAACAGAGGGGCCAATAATTCAGGGGGGCTAATAATTCTGATTGCAACTGTATACATTATTATCATTATTTGTTCCCTGTTCTGTATATGTAGGTTGTGAACTTGTGTAACTCTTTTTATCTCTTTTATAGTCTCCTTCAAATGAAAACCTTGGAATGGCTTCATTTGTTTCAGCAGAGCAGTCTGAATCTCCACCTCCTCCACCTGAGAGCTGCTCCGTCAGCAGTCTGTTCAGCAGGAGCCCTTCCTCCACAGACACACTCACAGATCTGGGTGAGAAACTCCACACAATTAACAAATAACCTGACATTTGTGAGCTTCTATTAAAAGCTTTGTCAAAATGTCAGTGATTCTTATTCAAATGAAAGTCAAGTGAGAGTCTGAAAGGAGTGTTGTTTTGTTTATATATTGCTTTTGCTCCAGCAGTATGGAATGATTTTTGTGCCAATAAGAATGAACGTAACTTTATAAAACTGAACGTAACTTTCCAAGAAACGATCAAAAATATGGCACTGCAAAAGAAGAAAATCACAATGAAAACGAAAAAATGAACTCAGTCGAACGAATTTAACATGTTCTTCAAATATGCTTTATTCTTTGTTAATGATTTTCAAACAATCGTTTTCGCGAATCATGGATTTTGAATGCGTTGCCACAGCTTTCGCTTACGCTTCGCAAATTTTCGTTTGCTGTTTTGGCACAAACTTCTCGTGGGGGCGGGCTTAACAGCGATCTACTCTGATTGGCTAATGAGATTTTGATGGACAGTTGCTCTCTAACCTGGAAGCACAGACGGTGACGTCAGTGGAGCGCATATCAAAAAGTTGTTGCGGTGTGCAATACGTCGTGCCTTATGTTAAGTATTATTGTTAGTATTTTACCTACGGTCGGCTCTTTCTAAAGATGGCCTCCCGGGAGAGACACGGAGCGGCATCATCTTCCACCTCATCTTGTCCCTCAGGGCAGCTTGAAGTAAGTTCGTGTTGCTAAAGTAACGTTTATCAATAACATCAATCAAAGTTTTATTCATGTACAGTGTGCAACAGTTCTGGCTTTATTTAACACTTTTATTGTTTAAATGTTGTGTTTAGAAACGTTATACATTTTTGGTTTATTGTGTAAAAACGTTTAATGTATATCAAGATACAGTGTATATATATCAATATAAAATAGATATTGCCTTCTTTTCTTTTAATGCTACTTGGTCAGGACCAAAGACAAGTCACTTTTCCAGGTAGGCACTGAATGATTGCATATAAATTCTAAAGCTTACAGATCTACAGGAGCTACTCTGAAAATCAGTGGCTGCTGTCAACTGTTTGGTTTGCAACATTCTTAAAAATATCTTCTTTAATGATCAGCAGAAGAGAGAAATCTAGGACAAGGCTTAAGTCTTGTCTGAGAAACTGGGCAAAATAGATATGTGATACTGCTTGCAACACTGGTCTGTACAATGTATGTTTAAAGTGATTTTTTTTTTAAATATATATTTAATTGTTTCTCCTGAACCCCTTATTTTATAGATCCTATACCTTGATGCTGCTGAAAACAACAAGGCATCAATTGCTTTCTTGTTTGTCCTGGAGGGTGTTCACAAACATGGGTAGCCTTCAAGGTAAGAACACTGTTAATACGTGTCGTTTATGTAATATCTTAAAGTCTTTTTTAGAGTCAACATCTTAACTACATGTTGTGTGATATCAGTGTGTGGTACTATATTTGCACAAAGCAAATTATGTGTTATGATATATTGAATTCTTCACAAATGTGAGTTATGGTATTTTTAAATCTTGCAGTGTTCTGTCTTTACGAAAAGTGACCTATGTTTATACATTTTCAAAGCTAATGACTTTAATATACAGTTGCAAATATTTCTTTGAATGAAACCTAACTTTGAATGAATATTCCCTAAATCTTTTCCAGAGTACTTGGTGACCAGGGAGTTGAAAACGTGGACATTGCGCGTTGCATGTTCTCAGTACGAGGAACTGGTCGAGGTAGCTTCAATGCCGGAAAAAGCGTTCACAATCAAAGGTGCTATTTTAAGTTATTTTTGTTGGGGTCCAACAACCACTAGCTTGGTAACATTTTTTCGAACATGTTAATGTGTGGCATTACATTATACCATAGTCTGTTTGCTGTTTTGTAAGCATACTAAACAAAAATCTTTTTTTTTTTTTTTTTAAATTGAGCGCCTGTGGTGTGATGTTTGGTCAGCTGTCACTTCAAAATATTATGAAATCCTGCATGCAATGGTAGATGGAGTGCTTGATTTATCAAATGAATTACACCTCTTTTGTGTGCACTACACAATTCTTCCATGGCTGAAATCTGACCTGAAGTGCTTCATTATGAGCTGGAACAACCATCCTATCATAACCGAAAGATATCTTTTACCAAATCAGCTTTGAAACATAGGAAAGTTGCAGACACCAGTGATTGAGCCAGAAGTAGAGGTATTCTTTATTCATCTCTAAAATTCTTAATTTTATCACCCTTATTTCTTAAAGATTTAAAATTATTTTTGTGTGGATCTTAAGGTATTTAATGTAATGTCTTTATTATAACAAAAGCGCTTCAGAAGCATGGTAGCAGACTTCTTTGTAAATGTGCCTAACTTAATCACTTGTGATGGGTATAAATTGAAAACACATCTTAATACCAGATTTGAACATAAAAAGTTATTGACATTATTTCAAAAGAGCTGAAAACTTTCACCTACTTAATGTTTCTTTGATTTTGCAGACATTGGAGCGTTTGTGTCAACAGCAAACTGATACTGACCCAGAAGATGGTGTGGTGGTTCCAGAGATCCAATGCCCTATATCTAAACAGAGCCTTGCTGTTCTGCAGAGATTTTTTGATGCCTTGACATCATCATTGAATAACTGAGAGCTCTACTGTATGTCCAGTCACTTGATATTATTCAAAGACTGCTTTAAAATTTCACCTCTAACAAGGAAAACATACAAAAACACATGTAGTTCCATCAGAAATTGAATTTACAGGAATACACATGGAACATTTAGGCAAAACTAACTTCATAATGTTGTGCAAATTTAAAACCTTGCCAAGAAAAACTTACAAAAACACATGTAGTTCCATCAGAAATTTAATTCACAAGAATACACATGTAATGTTTATGTAAAACTAATGTCATAGCAATGTTTTGAAATCTTATAAGCCACTCTTTCAAAAATAAAACAAATGACAAAGTATAGTGTCTCTCTCTTGTTTCAAAAGCTCCAAGTCCAATTAAAAGGACAAAGAAGTGTATTAACAAATCTGTTCTAAACCCTGTAAAAGTAAGCTCCCTATTGCACTGCAATTCTCATGTTTTCTTTAAATTGATTTAAACTTGTTGAATGTGCAGTGGGAAATGTGATTGTCTGGGTCCATGCACTGTCCACAGGGTAGCAAATTCTGTGGTCTGGCATACGTTCCATGCATGTATGGTCAAATAGAACAGTGATTTTAAAAGCTTGTCTTTCTGAAAGAAGCAAATGCACGTGTGCTTGACCAGACAGCCACTGCATTACTTTTGACACACAAAGTGCCTCCTCATCCTCAGGATCTCCATCTAGGGCAGTAAATATACATTATGTATTTAAGCTCTAAAAATAGGCATCTGCCTTTCAAACGTTTTGGAATAACAACAAACTTACCTTCGAGTTCCATAAGAAAATCCTGGAAGTTATTCAAGATTTGCATTTCTTTGCTGTGCTTTAGAGTGCCACTCTCACTCATTTTGGGGTCAAGATGTGATACGATGTATTGAGAGTCCACCTGGAAAAACAAGAAAGATGACAAGGTAAGTTAAGAGGGGGAAAAAAAGACATCATCTAAAGAGCATTCTGTATGCAGCACACAAAAATTTTCTCTAACACAGTGGTTCTCAATTCCAGTTTTGCAAACCCACTGCACATTTTGTATGTTTCTTTCATCTGACACACTTGGTTTAGTTCACAGAGTGGTCTTATAACAAGCTCATGACCTGAATCAGGTGCGTTAAAAAAAAAATACAAATTGTGCTGGGCTGTGTTTTCCAAAAGTATTACAAAACCAAGTTGATCATAGCTCCATTGGTAACATTGGTTCTACTATCAACTTACAATGCTTTTGGGAAACGCAGCCCAGAGCAGTTGGCCCCCAAGACCTGAAATGAGAACCACTGCTTCAACATTTTTTACAAAAGTTATGCACCTCACCTGATCATTGCCACCTTCAAAAACAAAGTGGCTACGGCAAACTTCTTTGTTCTTCTCCATGATATCCACTAGACGGTAAAGTTGGAGACCCTCACGGAGCTGTTGAAGCATACGAGTCCGTCGAGCAGCGGCATGCATTGCAATTGCTTTTTATAGAACAGAAACAAACATTGTTTTACAATCTCATTATTAAACTCACATTGTTTAGAATATAGACTTAAGGAATGCATAACATGATACCTCTTTATATTCTCCTTGTTTTGCTCATTTATAGGGCCAGTGTAGCCACAGCTCATTATTTGATCACTGTATTTCGACAGGTCTGAAGTCTCCTCGATCTAGACAGAATTGAAGATTTTCTTGAAACATTTATAAAAGGTACATGGCAATAGAAATAAACTACAGAATTACAAATTGTTTTCAGATATACCAATTTAATCAGTGGTGAAAATGCCATGTTATTATCCCATTATTATTATTATTATCAATAAATTCCATGTTATTAGTATCATTATCCACCTTGATGTTTTCAAGGTTTCCACTTGGAAGGTAATTGTAACACCATTCTTGTAAATATCGTGGAGCTGGACCACCTTGTGTGAGACTTACGGCAAATATTTCCCCAGCAACTCTATAACAATAACAAGAAAATTGTGAAATACAATTTCTACAGTCAGCAAGTACATTTTCAACTCATTGTAGGAGCCATTTCAATTCTTTGTTATTTGTGTTGTATGGCACTAGAGAGTGTAATACAACAACTAAGCTAAGATAATGTTAAAAAAACACCTTTATTATTTATCTACAGAAAAAAAGGTACTTAAACTTTGCAGACAAACAGGACACTTTGCCTCTGTTGATTAAAAAGCATGTAATGATGTAAAATACACATTAAAAGAAGTAAGAATAATGTAAAGCCAAGCAACTAGGTGATTACCTTTTCTTCAGTAGCAGGAGATAAATCGGGTGAATCAGGAGGTAGATTGGACAGCTAGAAATAGACAAAACATTTGACATATTTTCACATGAATCTTACAGAATACTCATTAGGTTTATTTAAACAATTTATCTTACCTCTGGTTCTGAGTCTGAAAGTTTCTCATATTCAGCAGTGTTGCATTCCTTCACGTGCAGAGCAAGAATCTGTAGTGGCATAGATTTAAAGCATTTCTTACATTCAGCTTTAGGCATCTGAGAGAACTCTTGGGCATCAGATAAGCTTTCTGTAAGCTTTAGAATTTATATGCAATCATTCAGTGCCTACCTGGAAAAGTGACTTGTCTTTGGTCCTGACCAAGTAGCATTAAAAGAAAAGGCAATATCTATTTTATATTGATATATATACACTGTATCTTGATATACATTAAACGTTTTTACACAATAAACCAAAAATGTATAACGTTTCTAAACACAACATTTAAACAATAAAAGTGTTAAATAAAGCCAGAACTGTTGCACACTGTACATGAATAAAACTTTGATTGATGTTATTGATAAACGTTACTTTAGCAACACGAACTTACTTCAAGCTGCCCTGAGGGACAAGATGAGGTGGAAGATGATGCCGCTCCGTGTCTCTCCCGGGAGGCCATCTTTAGAAAGAGCCGACCGTAGGTAAAATACTAACAATAATACTTAACATAAGGCACGACGTATTGCACACCGCAACAACTTTTTGATATGCGCTCCACTGACGTCACCGTCTGTGCTTCCAGGTTAGAGAGCAACTGTCCATCAAAATCTCATTAGCCAATCAGAGTAGATCGCTGTTAAGCCCGCCCCCACGAGAAGTTTGTGCCAAAACAGCAAACGAAAATTTGCGAAGCGTAAGCGAAAGCTGTGGCAACGCATTCAAAATCCATGATTCGCGAAAACGATTGTTTGAAAATCATTAACAAAGAATAAAGCATATTTGAAGAACATGTTAAATTCGTTCGACTGAGTTCATTTTTTCGTTTTCATTGTGATTTTCTTCTTTTGCAGTGCCTTATTTTTGATCGTTTCTTGGAAAGTTACGTTCAGTTTTATAAAGTTACGTTCATTCTTATTGGCACAAAAATCATCCCATACAGCAGTAGAGCATCACACTAGTAAGGTCAAAGGTCATTGGTTCAATTCACAGTAAATACTTTGATACATTACGAATACATAAACTGATGTGATTTTTGAAGGCATCTTGGTAGTTGTTGTCATCATCACGGTAAAAATCTGTGATAAATGCATAGAAAGTTTAAAGGAATACTCTACCTTTTTTAGCTTAGCATTAAACATTGAAATGTAATGTAATATAATGCTTGTATTTATATAGCACATTTATTGTGTATGGCCATACACCCAAAGTGCTTCACAATCAAAAAGAGGGGTCTTTTCACACCACCACCAGTGTGCAGCATCCACTTAGATGATGCAACGGCAGCCACAGAACAACGGCGCGAGTGCGCTCACCACAATCTAGCTATAGTGACAGAGCCAATTCGGTGGATGGGGATGATTGGGAGGCCATGATGGATAAGGGCTGATAGAGGGAATTCGGCCAGGACACCGGGGTTACATCCTGACTGTTTACGAGAAGTGCTATGGTCTCATAGGACTCGTACAGAGCGCAGGTTGAGTGCCCCCTCACTAAGACCACTTCCAACAGCAACCTAGTTTTCCTTGGTCTTGGAATGCAGGGTGATATGGCTGTGGCATCAAATTGGATTAGACTATTAGCATCTCGCTCAAAAATAATTTAATTATTTAATTTTAATTATTTAAAGCTTAACCTTACTGTAGTTATTCTGTATCTATGCTAAGCTATGCTAAACTAAAAGTGACAATTTACACTTATGAATAGAGACTTTGTCAAAAATAGTAAGTCAATATACACTAAATAAAATATTACTCATTTTAATTATAATACTAATATTACTATGAAAATGTTTAATAAACTGGTTTCATACTATTTAAAACATTTAGTAAGATTTTTGAATTAATTAGGTTTTTTTTAAATATCTCCTGTTCATCATAACTGGATTTATTTATTGAAAAATATAATAAAACAGTAATATTGCGAAATGTTACAGTTTTGTAAAAAATAAAAAACCTTTTTGTTGTGCTAAATAAAACCTTGTGCTTTCTAATACTTAATAAACCAGAATACTTTAAAATTAAATGCAGTAAAAGTTCATAAACATTTATTGAAAGTATCTTCACAGTATCTGCCACAACATCATTCGTCATGCAGTATAAATCCGACAAGAAATAACTAAGTATTAAGTATCCATTCGCTTTAAAAGGAAAGTTAAACGTTAATGTATTGTAGTACAACATTAACAAAAAGTAGATGATATGGTGAATAGTTTTGTGCTTTAACACAAGTGAATATAACTTAGGCCCTTTGAAACATATAAAAATATCTCTTTGAGTCAGAAGTATGCTTCATTTGACTCCTGTCTGAAAGGGGACTTGCTATATATAGTAAAAGAAGTCTCTGATTTCCAGAGTGTGTGGGCTCTATTTTGACGATCCAGGCGCAAAATCCAAAGCGCAGGGCGCAAAAGCATTAAGGGCGTGTCAGAATCCACTTTTGCTATTTTAAGGACGGAAAAGTCCACTTTATACTGTGGTGCATGGTCTAACAGGGTCGAGCTCATTCTCTTAATGAGTTATTGGTGTGTTTTGAGAATAAACCAATCAGAGTCTCATCTCTCATTCCCTTTAAGAGTCAGTTGCGTTGCGCCATAGCGCATTTGCTATTTACATGACAGACTTTGTAAGTGGAAAAACTGAACACTTCACTAGAGAGAAATGAGTTAAACAGAGCATCTACAGCGTGAGAATGAGGGAATGAGCCTCCTCATTCTTTACTTTCACATTCACTCTCTTCCCTAGATAAGGAAAGGTGTATGCACAGACATCCATTAGCCTACATAATTAATTTAGTTTGTTAAAGATTTGTTTCAAAACTATTTGTAAATTCAGTTCTAATCTCCAGCAAACAAATAAAAGAACAATAATAACCAAGTGTGTTATATCCAAAGACACGTGCTATAACCTATATGGTCCAAAACCTGACAGGTGGGCAAATCTAAGCTTGTTTTGAATTAAACAAATATAAATATGCAAATAATAAATAATACTATCTCTAATAATAACATTATACAAAAGCAGATTGTCATGAATAAACTAAAAAAAATGAAGAAGACATGGAGGCAGTGGTTTTTATATTTATGTATAAAATAATATTTTTTGAAATATTTTAATCCTTTAATTCTTTTTCATTTGTAAAGATATTTGCGTATTACTGTAAATCCTGTGTGTATTAAGCAACTAACGCGCTCTGCGCTGGACCTTAGTCTCCCTCTCAGCTGGTCTATTGCGCAGTCTATTTTAGTTCCTCAAAATAGCAACGCGCCAGCAATGCACCTTAACACACCTCCTTTTTTAGACCAGAACGCCTATGGGTGCACATATGAGCGCAAATGCATTTGCTATTTAAACAGCGTGGTGCAAAATCTCAAAATGACTTTTGCCCCGAGCTGAAATTAGCAAACAACTATTGCGTCGTGCATTGTGCCGGGTGTATGATAGGGCCCTGTATGTAAAGTTTCAGCTCAAAATACGCCACAAATTATGTTTTAGAAAACTTTGATTCAAATTGTACTGTTTTGGTGACAGTCTCTTTAAATTCAAATGAGATTGTGCTCTTTTCAAAAGAGAGTGGAGCTACAAATGCCTATGTGTCAGCATAGTGGCAGATTCAAAAATAAGACTAATGTCCTGTACTAATGAGGTTAAGATTATCACTAATGGGCAAGGCTTTCCCGCTCTCATGACATGTACAAAAGGAGAATGTCAATCAAAGTGTTTCTGCAGATTTATCAAGCGTGACTATAAAAAAATAATAATAAAAATTGTACCATTAGAAGCTGGTTATATTCACAGATTGTTGTTATACGACTGTGTTTAAACCTTTTATAAAAATAATTTTACCACAATAGGTCCCTTTTAAGAGGAAAACTGAAGATGTGCAGGTTTTTAATACTTGTCTTTTTAATGTTTTTTTCAGAAGGCTTGTCTCTTCAAGCTCCATCAGGATCTTCTCTGTGGAATCAGCCGCTCGCTTCTATCTTCAGCGTCTCCCAGCCCTTCACTCAGGCTCCAGTCTTCTCCTCTTCTCCTGGCTCTGTCTGGGCAAATGCTCCTGCAGGTTTTGGATCCTCCACCGTTTCCCAACAGCTTCCATCATGGAGTGCCGCCCCAGTTTCCAATGGATCCAATGGTTCTTGGAGCCCTCATCCAACTCTGGGAAACCCATTCCAAAGCAGCGTATTTCCAGATGGACAGCAGAGCTCCAGTCCTCCTCCACTGGTTCCCCCGCGGCCAGTGGCCACCAAAGAAGCTCCAAAGGTGGACAGTAACGCTTTTGTTGACTTGGATCCTCTAGGAGAAAAGGAGAAGAGAGATATCAAGGACATGTTTAAGGATTTCCAGATGGCCAAGCCACCAAATGTGCCAGCAAGGAAAGGTGAGCAGATGTTGTTGCTGTATTTTTGTTTTAAAATCACCCGTTCTACTAAAGAATCCCATCCATTTGGTCTGCTTTGGGTGTTTGCTTAATGGGCGAGGGAATGCAACACATGCCAAGTTCACTTTATCACACATTTTTATGCGTGATAGTGTTTAGCAAGTTTTAGCATGCATAAACCTGTTGTCAGCTCAACACATCTGTGTTACTGCAGGTTTTACACTTACACTTTACACTGTTGGAAAAATAATTTTTGATATAAATATTAGCATATTAACATATTAACAGGCAGAAGCTTTTGTCCACTGTGAAACTTTTCTAAGGAAAATGTAAAACAAGGGTTTTCTTTTCAATTTTTAGGTAGTTTGATTTCAAATACTTATATGGCAGTATGCTTGACTTAAGTACTGTAAATAAATTCAACTGTTCTGTATAAATCAATTTAGAGAAACAGAGTCATATTAAAATATTTTATAATATATAATTTAAAGAATGATCAGTTTTTCAGCTGAGGAACATTTATCTTATGTTGAGGAACTAATTGTCAAGAAATTATAAAAAAATAATTGTTTATGACAATGTAAAGGTATAAATTCTGATTAGCAGAGAAAGTGTAAATTTTTAAATAATAGTAATTACAATAATAATGGAAAAAATGAATGATTGAATGAATGAATAATAGAAATAATAATATTTAATATTATTTACTGTGTGGAGTTTGCATGTTCTCTCCATGTTTACTCTGGTATCCCCCACAGTTCAAAGACATGTGCTATAAGTTTATTGGACAAGCTAAATTGGCTGTGTTGTATGAGTGCATGTGTGAAGTGAGAGTGTATGGGTGCTTCCCAGTACTGGGTTGCAGCTGAAAGGGTATCTTTTGCCTAAAACATATGCCAGAATAGTTGGTGGTTCATTCTGTGGCGACCCCGGATTAATAAAGAGACTAAGGCAACAAGAAAATTTTTCTTCTGGAGAAAGTTTTATTTGATTTATTTCAGTTAAAATAAAAGCAGCTTATAATTTTTTAAAACCCATTTTAGGGTCAATATTATTAGCCCCTTTAAGCTCTATTTTTGATAGTCTACACAGAACAAACCACTGTTATACAATAACTGGCCTAATTCCCCTAACCTGCCTAGTTAACCTAATTAACCTAGTTAAGCCCTTAAATGTCACTTAAAGCTCTATAGAAGTGTCTTGAAAAATATCTAATCAAATATTATTTACTGTTATCATGACAAAGATGAAATAAATCAGTTATTAGAGATGAGTTATTAAAACTATCATGTTTAGAAATCTGTTGAAAAAATCCGCTCTCTGTTAAACAGAAATTGAGGGAAAAAATTGTCTAAACTTTTTTTTAGAGTTCTTCGCGAGTCCAAAAAGTTGTAACTGACCTGAAGAGACCTGTAAATGTGCTGCCCATACCCAGACCCGTATGTTAAAAAGAAATTGTAGGAAAAAAATAAACAGAGAACCTTGAAAATGTGATATTATTGAAATAACTTAAAATTCTAGGTGTACTTCAAACAAATATATCATATCGTGAGATTTGGGATGGCAAGAAATGTTTTAAGAAACAAGAAATGGAAGCTTAACATGACTGATTTTTGTCACTATAGAGCCATTGAAAATTGGAGGTCAGAACCCATTCGACAACTCCTATGGAAAAGATCCGTTTGGCACATCTGTACCTGCAACTGTACGTATAATGCATCCATACAAGCAAATCTCAATCATTTTATGACATAGCATTATTTTGTGTTGTTGTAATTTCTTTCTTCTGTTCAACACAAATGAAGATATACTGAAGAAAAGCAGCCACTGACTTCAATAGTATTATTGTTTCTACTATGAGAGTGATTGTCTGCTTTTTTCTTACATTCTTCAGAATATCTTGTTTTGTGTTTAAAAGAATAAATAAATTCTAATAAATGATAGGGATATTTTGGGGGTGAACTCACCCTTTAACATCTCTTTTCTTCTTTACTTTAACAGAGCGCTCCTCCCATAAAAGCAGTGGGCTTAGATTCTTTCAGAGACCCATTTGGAAACCCATTTGCATGATAGCCGTTCACCCTGATGACTCCATAGGGTCCAAACTAAAAGAATCATTGAACAAGAAATTATGCAAAAGCAATTCCATCCCAGATGTTTCTTACAGCTTTATAATGTTTTGGATACAGCAGCACCGGTTTTATGTAGCTTTTCCACTAAAGTGCATCCCGTTGAAGAGCAGGTCTCTTAGCTCTGATGTCACAGCCAAATCAAGCGTCTGCAAACCTCCAGCTTTTATAAACCAGCATCACATCTGTATGTTGGTTGAGGACAGGCTGAAAAGAAACCATCATCCAGTTATGGTTTCCTGCTAAAACACGGATTTCACTGCAGTTTGCCTGTGAATGACAACATGGTCATTCATGGAGTGGTTTTGTTTTCTGCACTAAAAGCACTCAGAAACAATTTAGTCACGTCTCCTTTGAGGACTTTTTCTATATTGCAGTATTATATATTGACTTTGTGTTTACTCTTCCACATTTATCGAAAGCTTTAGGGCATGCGATTGGTCACTACTTTTGACAGATGAACAAATTCCATGTTTTTGTTTGTTTGTTTAAATCCAGTTTAAAGGGTTAGTTCACTCAAACATTTAAAACGTGCTATTAATTATTTAAACTCAAGTCGTTCCAAACTCTTGAGACATTTATTCATCTTCAGAACACAAATTTAAGATATTTTAAATGAAATCAAAGAGCTCCAGGCCTGTCACAATAAGGAATTTTTGTTGTGCAATATATTGTAATAGAAATTGCTGCAATAAGCAATATTATTGTCATTTTGAGATGGATTTATGCCACTGACTATCTAATGATATAATTATATTATATCATTATTATTATATATAAATTTATATTACAGCATAATAATGCATATAGCCATAAATGCTTTAAAATGCTTAACATTTTTTTAAATTATTTAGATTATATAATTTGATGTTAAAAAGGTAAATGTCCTATTGTATATACACTATTAAATGTCCTGTTAGGTAAATGTCCAAATATAAAGTTTGACACTGGGTAGGTGGAATGTAAATGTCAGTGTAAAATTGCTTTAACATTATTTGTGAATTTGTAAATACATATTGCAAGGGTAAAAGTAATTGAGGTCATCTCCAAGTATTGCATGATAAATCAAAACATTGATTATTGTGACAGGCCTAGAGAGCTCCCTCATCCTCCATAGACAGCAATGGTTCCAAGAAATTCAACGTAGTGAAAAAGAAATACTGTCAAAACATCGATTTCAGTGGTTCAAAAATAATCATATGAAGCTCCAAGAATGCTTTTTTGTTCAAAGTTTTTGTTTTTTCTGTTATACAGAGCAAACAAAAATGAAGTACCCCTTTCCCAGAACACCAGATCTAGGAACAATATGTAATCAAACGTTCAGTTCTACCAGAAAGACTTTAGGAGGCAGATAAACGTTTAAACATTTATTGTGAATTGTTTGCATAAATGTCAGTTTGTTACGGTCCTTTCATAAAGTCCTTTGGCGTAAGCCCCGTCTATAGTGCAGAACTCTGGATGAGCTGGCAGATCCTACCTGAAGATGAATGCAGGGCGAAGCCATCCCCCTGAGTGGAGACGAGGCCGACCTGGTGGTGGTGGTGATGGAGAGGATAGAGGGAAACTTCCGCAACGTCACCTGAGTACAGCGATTGTTTAGATGGGCTTGCATATAGCTTGCTTGGTTGTTATAGGCGGACGAGATAATTAATATGAATGACGTGACATCTCAATCTTCCTGTCAGAACTCTCGCTAAAGCTTTTATAGAAAATAAACGATGAAAACATGACAAGAAAATATGACACTAGTTCCTTTTTTCTCATATTGTCATGTTGTGTGCGTCCATTTACATCACAACAGACCCTTTGATAGTATGCCTTATTTTCTTCAACTTAAGATGAGACATCACTTCTCTTATCCAGTGATTACCTGTTGGTGGAATAGATAACAATATCTGTCTTCTAGCAGGAGAACAAAAGGCTAACATTTGAATTTGTCTTATATTGAGAGGAGCGTTTTCAGGGGCCACCCCGAACTACGCAAGAAATGGTGATGGCTCTACTACCACCCCAAATGCCACAGAAAAGGTCTCATAATAATTCAGTATATGTAAAGCTTTGGACATGTCCAGAACATGTGCAGCAGAGTAATTAATTAATTAAATGAATACGATTGTTCTCATTTTTGGTGAACTAACCATTTAAATAGGATTGTTCCAAACCCAAGCTGACATGATGGGACAGTGGCGAGATGATGTGTATATAATATCTGTCTGTATACTTTAATATGATTGTGCAATCAACATCTGATGGTGTCCTCTATACTGATGACCACATGATACAAACTGTACTGACACGTTCATTACAAAGAAAATAATAACAACGACTCGAATCAGTTTATATTTGAGCTGAATGAATCCCCTTGCGAGATGTTATTTTATTGCATCCGCATTCAGTGTTCTGTTATTTGTGACGTTTCATCAGGTTAAAATTTCTGTTTTGGTATTGATTTGACATTGTCTCAAATGATTAGTCTTTAATTGCAACCACTGGCATGTTGTCAGTGGTGCTGCAGATATAAATACTTTGTATTCATGGTGTAGGAGGACGATGCTTGTGTATTTTAAAGCCTTTTTTACGTGATCATCCAGAATGCTTCAGGTAATACTTGATATAAGCATTTTGATGTGTCTGTCTGATCATTGGTGAGATTTTACAACACTGCTAATTGATAGTTGGGAATATAATCATTTCCCACAAGAGAAAATTAAGTGGACAAGCAAATGATATTGTGAGGCTTAACAGTGTAACGGATATGTGTTCATCTCAGTGGATTTATGATTTTGCAAAAATAAAAACAGGAACGTGTGTACTGTACTGACTGTACTGGATGTTGAAGCCTTGTCAGAGTGAACTATGTGAATCGTGTGTGTGTGTGTGTGTGTACATATATAAATATCTGCTCTGTTATGCACTATGCCATCTCTACCTTGTATGATATAGAACTAAGGTGTTTTCAAGATGTAGTCGCTGCAATAAACTGGAATTTTAGTTAGTGGGAATAGATTCAGAACTGTCTTATTTATCTTTTACAAACTTTGTATTCAAGTCTGGAAGACCGGTAATGTCTGCTTCACAATAAAGTGAGGACTGGATGAATAAAACTAGTCTCCTGTTTCATATATTAAAGCTTGGGTTGAGTTTAATGGTTATAAAATGTATCTAACTGAGAGTTTGACTCATGTATATGCTCATAAGGTTAAGAAACTATGTGGAATCACAGTAATAAACATTTTGTAGTAGGTTTGTCGCGATACTATTAATTAATTTTACAATTCTATACCAGCTGAAGTATCACGATACCAAGTAGTATTCCGATAATTAATAACTCAAACTATAAAGAAAATAGTCAGAAACAGTATATTTTACACTGTATAATAGGTCTTGAATTTCATTCATAATTCCCTTATTATAAAAAATTCAGCAATTCCAGCGGATGTGACATTTGCAGTAAAAAACCCGAAACAATCTACACAAAGAAAGTAAATGTTGATATTATATTAAAACATCTGTTTCAATTTTCAAAAAGAACTGACCACAGAATTATGGGATCAGAAAAATATCACTTTAAGCATGTTTTGTACTTTAAATGAGGAAAATAAACATGCCTTATGAATGTGACCAAAAAAGTCTGTGAATATGCATACAACATACTTTGTAGAATTCTGTGAATTAAACTGCACAATCCAAAAGAAATAATGCAAATCAAAAGGATTCGAGTTGGCTCTCTATACGTGAATGATTTTATTTTATTTTATATTTTGCATTCATAAGGGAAACGCTTTGCTATTGATGTGACATCTCTCCGTTATGTAGGCTATGTGACAGATGTGAAATTGCCACTCCTGTGACTTTGGTAAATCAAATAAAATTGTTCAAAAAACATTGACAGAGACATTTTGAGTATTTCTAAATTATTGTAAAATACCGGCTTGCACAAAAAACCTAGAAACGGTTTTGGTAGTTTGGTGAAAACTGAATTTTTTGTCGTGGCAAGCATGGGCGTAAATCTGATTAAACAGTAGAGGGGGACAATAAATATAAAATTTCTTCCAAAAATAAAAAAATTGTTCACTCCCCAAAAGAATTGTCATTATCCCTTTAATAAAGCACAACACCCTTACCTGACACTGTACATCTGACTGACCCTGCCCTGCCTGTTTCTCAATCATTTCTTTTTCATTCCTTTGCCTGTGATTGATAATGTGACATTAGTATTTTCATAAGCACTCATTTTGAAAGCCAAATTGCTTAATATGTGAAGTTTTTTGTACTTGGCATTTAGCTTTACTAAAAAAATATTATATCCATTTTTTCTGTCATTTTATCCAATACATGACACTGCCAGGCAAGTTTATTTATGCTGTAGCACATTTTAGACACAATGGCAATTCAAAGTGCTTTACATAAAGAATGCAAAACTATCATAAACATAATCACAACAATAAAAATAAATAATTAAAAAAGGTTAACATTTTAATTTCAAATTAATTGAGTAGAACAGAATAGAAACTGATTTTACAAAAAATACAGTGGGGTTTGTGTGCAGTGTAGCAGTGCTCATTTGGCAAATACACAACTTATAATATGCAAATTGTGGTCGTTAATGTTAAGTTAACATTATGCCAAGACGTCACAAATGAAACACTGCAGGGGAAACGGCTTTAGCATTAGCAACAAGCTAACGCTAACTAGATAAGTAATTTTAATTGCTAATACAGCAGATTCATGGACAGTTCCATCCTTAATCAGCATTTTTTGCCTTAAAAAATTGGGGTTATACATATACATACATACATATATATATATATATATATATATATATATATATATATATATATATATATATCAGAAATATCAAATGCAATTAAACTTCACCCACTTCTGAATCACTGGTTAAGCTAATAGTTATTGATCTCAGATTTATGTTGGGGCAAAACATTTGACCATCTGAATTTGACAAAGCAAAAAGTCTTTGGTTCAGTAAGAAGAAAAAATAATAATTGTATATATACATACATTTACATACATACATACACACACACACACACACATGTAGATGATCCCCACAATCTTTTGATGTTTTGCATTTATAATTGAATTAAACACCTTTACAGTCCTTTGATGAACATCTTAAAACATTTATAAAAACGTAATCTTATAGCGGTGCACATTTCTCTCATGCTTTCAGTCAGTGTTGCTCCACGTGTGTACTATCAGTCACAGCTGACTTTCTGAAGCTGCTGGGTATTGTAGTTTTTATCTAGACAACCGAGACGATGGGATAAACGGTAGAACTACAAAGACCCACAATGCCTTTCGCTGTGCGAGTGGAGGTCTGAAGCGGCGTGGTGCTTGTCAGACCGGCCGGTGCGCAAGCAAAGTTACTGCGGTGGAGACATGCGACCGGCAGAAGCGGCGTTTTAGCAGTTTTTACCGCGACAGTCACACAGGCAGGGTTTCACGGTGCTTTTAACTGAAGTAAGACGTGATCCTTTTCTGTTGTCATTGCACTCTTACTGCTTTATTGCTTCTAATTCAGTTTCATGATTTCTGTCAGTAGCCAATCAATTCAACGTGGACTCACCACACCACACGGGCGTTTGTCGAGTGTGTGTGTGTGTGTGTGTGTGTGTGCGCAAATACAAAAATAACAAATCATTAAAACCTTTTTTTTCATTTATAATTCACTCACAAAATTAACACTCCTACAGAAATTAATTCATTATTTTGTTTATTAGTGTTCACTGCATGATTCTAAACTTAGCTGCCACTCTACAGTTGACCACCACCACCACCAAATAGATTAGGCGTTCTTGACCACGTGACACAGTTGTAATGTATAACATGTTTGTCCTGATGTAACTTAGTGCAACAAATCTAGTCACGTGACATCTCATACTTCTATAGACGTGTATATATGACATGCTGGCTTATTCATGACTTCTCTTCATCACAGATTTATTTAAGAAGGATGAGAAGAGCAAGGATTAGTATTAAGCCTAATGTCAGGCCAGGGGGTCGAAGTGTTGGACCTTCTCCAGAGGACAAGAGCAGCCAGGACTCCCCAGCTGTTGATGACACCCAGAAAACAGTGTCACCTCCTCCACAGTCTCAGCCGGAGGTGAAAGAGTCTGCCGAGGCTATAGGAGATGGACACTTTCCTGGCTCTCCTACTGAGAAAGCGGCACTGAACACGTAAGCTCATTAAAATGAACAAAATCATGTTTTGTTTCTCTAATAAATGGTTACAGGGCTTTCAGGTACTTGGGAAAAACTGTAACCATTAAATTATTCAGGATTTATATGAGTATTGATACATTGCTGTTCAAAAGGTCAGGTATAGGTTTATATTTCTACTTTTAAACTGATCATAAGTAGGCCCACACTAAATCTGCGCGCACAGAAATCTACAGATTTTTTTTGCCCATCATTGAGTCTATTTATTTACTTGCGTAAATGTCTGTAAATTTATATTTATTTAGTTTTTAAATTAATTTCACTAATATTATTGTGATATTAGTAATATTAAAATGTTCTTATGATTTATTTACAATATAGTTTGTAAAGTAATATTTTCTGTCTTTTCGTAGATATATTATATGATAGACATGTTTTGTTTGCCAAATAAGTGGATCTGATTGGATTTGCATTGTAAACATTAAATAAAAGTTAAAAATGTATTATTTGTTGATTTCATATATTAAGTTTGTAGTTATGATACTTCTAAAATCATTCAGCATAAATCCACAGATTTGTTTTTACAAAATTATCTGCAGAAATAGCAAATAATGTCCACAGATTCTGTCTGACCCTAATCATAAGTGACATGTCGTTCTTTTGAACTTAATAGTCTAAAAGTTTTTTTTGACAAATTATGTTAAGCAGAAGTGTTGACAATATTGATAATAAGAATTATTTATTGAGCACCTATTCAACAGCATGTTAGAATTATTATTACTTTTTTATCCTTTGACTAAAAAAGTCAAATCCTTTGAAAACTGCAGCAATAATGTTTTACTACATCAATACAATTTCAAAAATAATGAAATGGAAGGTGGTTATTTTAAATTTGTAACAATTTATTATTTTTGTGTTTTCAGTCAAATTGATACATGATTTGGGAGTGAAAATTTTCTTTTCTAGAAAAATGTTATACTATGCAGTTACTGTAACTTTTTTAAAAAAGTTATTCTTTATGGTTTTTCACAATTATTGTTATAGGACAATAGAGATTTTACATGCAGGAAAGTGTGGGAAGAGAAAGGGTCGCTGTGAGCACCTCAGTGCTATGTGTGGACACACTATTTACTAGGCTATTGGCGTGGACACAGTTACCTTAACTTAACTATTGAGCAATTCCATGCAAATGTCAACCTTGCCATGAAAAAAAAAATCAGTTTTCACCAAAATAAGGAAACCGTTTCTAAGTATTTTTGTTTAAGCAAGTATTTTACAGTACTTTAGAAATAGCCAAAAATGTCTTTGTCAATGTTTTATTATATTTGATTGACCAAAGTCACACAAGTAGGAATTTCACATATGTCACATCCATAATGGAGAGACATCACATCCATAATGATACTTTTTCCTTATAAATACAAAAATATTAAACAAAATAAAATCAATCATGTTTTTTTCTATAGTGAGCCGACTCATCATTTTAATTAGCATATTTTTGGGGGGTTGTGCAGTTCAATTCACAGAATTTCTACAAAGTATGTTGTATACTGCAAACTCGCATACTTTTTTGGTCACATCTATAACGCATGTTTATTTTCCTCATTTAAAGTAGAAAACTTATTTATAGATTGATAATATTTTTTCTGATGCCTTGCCTCTGTGGTGAGTTGTTTTGGAAAATATTAATAGATGCTTCAAATAATGTTAATGCATACTTTCTATGTGAGTTTATGTTTTGAGTTTTTACTGCAAATGTTGCATCCATAATGCTGGAATTGCTCTATTACATTATTTTAGTACATTTAAAATTGAATATGAATACTAGAACCCATAATGCAGAACTGAAAATCTGTTACATTAGAAACAAAACTAGTTGTACATTGTAACATTTTAGAAGTTCAAGTTCATTTATTTATAAAGCATATTTAAAAACAGTCACAAGACTGACCAAAGTGCTGTACAAAAGACAAAGTAAAATAAAAGATTATAAAAACATAAAAATAAGCCAAGAAAAATGACTGAATAAATTAAAAAATGAAGCAGTAGAAAATACTATTACAATAATATAAAAATGCCAAGCTAAATAGGTACATATTTAGGAGTGATATAAAAATAGATAGTGATGACCATTCTGACCATTTTAGAACATTTAAGCTCTGAAATAAATTGTAATTAATGCTATCACTGTATGCAAAACAAGTGTTTGTCTTATTCTTCCATGTGTTTCAGTTCTGTCTTCAGGGTTTCAACATAGTCCTTGACTCATCTTTGTGTTTTTATTATTATCTGCTTTTATCTTGCTCTGTTTCTAACTATTGCATTGATATTGGCTATGAATGTGAACTTTAAGATTTCTGATTATATTTTACAGCTTAGCTACTTAAAGAAAACTGTCACTAAATTAACATTTAAAGGGATAGTTAAAATTTTTTTGTCATTATTATACATTTACTCATCCTGCATTTCATCCAAACATGTTTGAGTTTCTTCTGTTGAGCACAAAGGAAGATATTCTGAAGAATGTTAATTAAAAAAAAAAAAACAGTCGTTGATTTATAGTGTTTTTCATTCCTATTGTGGATTTAAATGTCTGCTTTTTCCAAAATTTTTCTAAATATCTTGTTTTGTGTTCAGTTAAATGAAAAAAGAAAATCTTTTGAAGCTTGAGTGAGGAAATGATGGGGGACCTTTTTATTTGTGGGTGAACTATCTAGCAAGCTAAATATGTGAGCTAGAAGAGGTGTTTTTTTCTCCTCTGTAACACATGACATGACTGTCCAAAGTAAAAGGTAGCTAAATAGATTGCAGCTAAACCTGAGATGAAACGGTATCTGATCTGACATTGAGGGCTTATCTTTTTCAGTGACAGTAAAGATAGAGCGCCATCTAGTGCCAAGACAACTGCAACTCCAGCACTTCAGAGGAGGGGCAGATTATCTGTCGCCCCAAACCTGGCCAGACCCAAACTCCGTTCTACAGCTGATCCTCCTCCATCGGCTAACAAAACTGCTTCTCTTCCATCAGAGTCTTCCAAAACCTCGTCCCCTATCCAAGCACCCAAGTCTTTTCCTCAGCCTCCTGTCCCAGTTGCTATCAGTGAAGATGTTTCTCAAAACTCTAAATTTTCTGGCTCTACTGCAGCAGCCCATTGCCCTCCATCATCACCATGTCTTCTATCCATCTCTGGCTGCCCAGAATCTCCATCCTTCACATCATCTCATCAAGAGCCCTGCAAATCTCCCCTGAAAATCCAAAGCAAGGACGTTGGACTCCTAGAAGGAGGTGCTCCAGCTCCCTCCACATTCTCTCCGTATGTGAAGCTGTCACGTGTTGATGGACCTGGTTCTCCTCTCAGGGAGAAAATCCTCTCGGACAAGGAGCGAGTCTTAAGGGCCCTCAAACTGAAAGAACTGATGAAGATGGAGAGGTCAAAGGAAAGAATGGTAAAGTCAATATACTTAAACATGGTTGGATTAGGAAAGTCATAATGGTTGTTAGAATATAAGTGATCTATCAAAAATTAAGCTTTGTTTATTTATTTTTTTGCGGGACCACTTCTAATGCAGCAACGGCGCGGACGGCATAAGCGCGAACATGTCTATGAGATGGATCCTGATAAAATGACTTTAGCTGACTTCATTTATTACATCCCAGATACTAATCCTATGAAGTAAGTTGATAATAAATATCATCATAGTACATTGTACACACTAACACTTTTGGATTGTCCATGTGTATGCAAACTGTGATCATGATCACTAGTATATTATTATACTGAACATAATTTCCTTTCTAAGTGAATGTTTTCTAACTAATGTCTTTTAATATGTGGTTGTTCACTTCTAAAAGCTCTTTCATTTCATTGGTCGTGTTTTTGTTACAGGTCTTCCCTTTCAACAGAGGAGGTTCAGACAGCACCTACTGCTACTGCTATTTCTCCATCTCCCTTGTAAGTCAAATCTAATGTGCAAAGTGAAATTGACTTTGTTTTAGATTATTTAAACTTCTGTGCATATTGTGAAGTGGAGCCGGAAGTGTCCATGTTTTATGGGTTTCATTTGTTCTGAAATAATGTACATACCTCAGGTGGTCGTGACAAAACTGCACTCTTTATTAAGAGCCTGTGATTCATTAAATAATGATGTAGTTATTAACTATATTATTTGATTTTTTGTGTGTGTGTGTATGAAAACAATAAACAGTTCCGTGCATACCAGTTGAAATTTAGCTAAAATTGTAAAATGCCTGTTTTTGTATACCTTTAATGTAGCTACAAAACTACAGCTATAATAACTACAATTCTGAATTAAAATAATAATTGTGTTGCTGTTATTTTTATTAGAATTATTATGATGATGATTATTATTATTATTAATAATAATAATACTAATATTATTAATAATAATATTAACAATAATAATCATAATAATAATCGTAATCATAACCATAATAACAATAAAATTATTATAGTAATAAAATGTCATGTAAAATGACAAACTAGTATTTGTGTTTTTATTATTTTCTTTTTATTTATTTATTTATTTATTTATTTATTTATTTTAGAACTGTTATTAGTGAAAACTGCATTGAAACTTGGAACTTTATTATTTTTTTAAAGAGCCTCTATTATACATTAAAAAAGGTCATATTTTGGTTGTGGGGGCCTCCAACAAAAGGCTGATTTGCATGCTAGGTCAAAAAACACTTTTGTTGTCTTATAATGTGCATTTATTTTATCTAAGTATCCCAGCGACTCCCATATGATTTGTTCAGCGATTCATTTGTTCTTAAACCCCTCCTTAGCGAGTTGCTAATCTGCACTGATTGGTCCAATGACTCAGTCTGTCCGATTGGTTGACTGTGTTCAGCGCGAGACTGAAAGAATCACCCACCCCGGCTTATCAACATTGTTGAAGTAGTCAGAGTTCAGAGAACATACAAGATTAACCCATGCCTTTTTACTTGAAGATGAAGACCCCACTCAATGTTTGTACTGCACAACTCCCCTTTCTGTAAAACACATTTTGGACATGGACTGTCCTGCTTTTAATGATTCCAGAAGACTTATGAAATGAATGCTCTTAAGGACATTTTTAACAAAGTGACACCAGGAATAATTTTAGAATTCTTATCGTGTATTAATACTAAAAATCTTAATTAGCTTGTGTATTCACTTGTTTGTTGTTCTTAATTGTTTATATATTATTGAAATGTTCTGGCCATGAAAATAGCCTTGGTTGCTGACATGGCAATAAATAAAAAATACATTACAGTCAGAGTGCAGAGTATATGTGTGAGCCCAATGCAGGAGTGCATTAAAACAATGCAATTAAACACCAGCATATTACTCTACTCTTAACCATGACACACATTCAGTATAAATACATACAGGGGCAAAAGCTGAACTATTTTGAAACTTGACCGCCACATGTGTATAGGAACAGCTGATGGTGGCCATAGCAGCAGCAAACGACAAAGGACCGCAAACTCTTAAACTCATTTAAAGCTGTAAAGAAATCGGCACTCATCGCATTTTTAACGTGGCTTTGGACGCGATATGAAAATATAAAGAGTTAACCAGATAGAGTACAAGCCCTGTGGAGTGATTACAAGTAACAAAACACAATTAAATATGTATTTTGCAAGCTAGAGAATACAAGGAGGCAACAATTTTAATCCTATGATCTGTGTACTGATAAAGTTCCTGTCAAGCTCTGACAAAGTCCATTACATGAATAGTCTATTCTGATCCTTCCTTTTACAAACAGCCAACAAATTCCCCTTTGTAAGTGTGTAGATTGCTGTAGCACTCTGGACAGGAATGAAAATCACAGGAACACAGCACAAGGATGGGGCTATAAAGCTTAGGTATTTTTGCAAAAATAAACTTCAACCACTGACTCTTCACAGTTTCATCTTTGGGTAGGAAAAATAACACTAAATGTCCTTCATACTTCAGAGCACAGCGTTTGTGCAACTTAATTCAACAGGGGTCTGCTATAGTGTTTGTCTACTTATTTTATCTTGCTACAGTGTTTGTGGCCAAGGGGTTAAATTTTCCCTGGTCTGTACACAACATATGGGCGGGGCTTAAGTTTTGTAACAATGTCACACCGACACAGCTAAAGATTTCTTTCCAATATGATTCATTTGAACCAATCTGAGTCTACTCTTATTGATAAATCAATAATTTTAAACACGGGGCACTTTCAGATTTAAGTCACTTCACTTACAGTAGAGCTGTTACTGTGTCATTTTCAAAAACCCATGACAGGGTCTCTTTAAATGTTTCTTTGTTGTTAAAAAGCTAGTTTATAAAACACACGTTTGGTAAGGAACTCCCAGGGTTTGCGTAGATGTCCAACTTGTGTGTTAACATCATTGCATTCCAATATTTTGTCTTATGTTTTGACTTTTTATTTCTCTCTCTCTCTCTCTCTCTCTCTCTCTCTCTCTCTCTCTCTCTCCCTCTCTCTCTCCCTCTCTCTCTCCCTCTCTCTATCTCTCTCTCTCTCTCTCTCTCTCTCTCTCTCTCTCTCTCTCTCTCTCTCTCTCTCTCTCTCTCTCAGGGTGCAGAAATACATGGCAGATGAGGATGATGATGATGCAGATGATGATATGCTGGTTCCTAAAGTGAGGGTGGCAGAGGACGGCTCACTAATTTTGGATGAAGAAAGGTACAGTGGTCTTTCACCTTTGCATTCAAGTTTGATCTTTGCTCAAAGTGGAATTCAAAGTTTGAAAAGGTCATGTGATTTAAGATGGCGTTTAAGGCCCTGGCATTCGCTTGTTGTTATGTGACTCATTGCTTCTTGAATAACGAATGTTTATTGATACTTTCACTCTACATGCATTTTATGCAGGGTAACAAATGAAAAGATATGATTTAGCACACACAGAAACACATGAACTTTTTGAGTCTTGTATAATGCAAAAGATCAGTAAATTAATTTATTGCTGTTTAGTTTGACAGTGCGTGTTCAGAGGGCATCTGATACAGTTATCGACAATACAAATCTACTGTTTGAACGAGGCTCTACTACAACATACAGCAGTTTCAGGAAAAATTACCATGTGAAGAACTGGTCTGTCAGAGGTATGAATTCTGCACTGTACATCTGTTGGTTCATGATTGTAGGAACATAAGATTTGGAGACATAAGAATAAGAGCATCTTTTACATTGTAATTTGCGTTACAGAGACGGATATGTTTTATCTGGCCATCAGTATGGTAGGAACAGACTTCAGCATGATGGCTCAGCTGCTGACTCACCGTAACAGAACAGAAATTAAGGTAGCACCTTCAAGCATACAGACAAAGAAAGTGTTTGGATATTTAGATTACATTTTACATTAGATCATTCTAATGCATAGTTTGTTTGTTTCCTTTTTAAAAGAGTAAATTTAAAAAGGAGGAGAAAGAGAACGCATGGCGAGTTGATAAAGCATTCAGTGAGTCTTTTGTACCTTTTTTTTTACACTCTACTTGTCCTTGTCAGTCAATCTATTCATGTGTCCTTTTAAAGGAACAATCTTTTTGGTCAATCTGATTACAAGTGGAGAACACAGAAGGAAGTTAAAGTTGGAGAACACTTTTTTAAAGGAAGTTAAAGTTTTTAGCCACAGTTGCACTCCAGGTCTTGATTGCTAAATAGGATTTTTCTGATGACCTACTTGCAATTTTGTAAAAAGTATTATCATCACAGAAAAAAGAAAAATAATTTTTTGCAGTTATACGCCTCATTTTCTGTTTAAATATAAGATTTAAGTACTGCATTTTAGTGACCTTTTAAAGCAGTATGTTTTTTGCTGTATTCAGATGACATCATAACCACACTTTTTAGTGTACTAAAACTATTTCCCAAACATTTGCAAAAAAGAAAAAAAAAATTAAATGTGGTCATGGTTGGTGTCAAATTGAGTTGACAATTTACCACACTTGCTTTTTCAGTGACTTTTAAGGCTTGATTGACAGACAGCTTTAATGTACATTTGCTTGTCCTTTCATCAATTCATCAGTATTTAAAGTCTTTTGCTCTGACATTTCAATTATTCAGGAGAAAAGCGGCCATATGATGCAGAGTTTTTCAGCTTTCTGCTGAAGAGAATTTTGGCTAAAGACAAAGAAAAAGGCAAAGCCATAAAACTGGTTGTTAAGCCCAGTAAAGCAAAAAAACCCAAAAGCAAAGGTAATGTGCTAATTGATTGTGGACTTCTAAGTGTAAAAGCATCAAAAACGAACACACTGCATTTTTTTGACATTGTTATTTTTGTCTTTCGCAGGTGGCAAGAAAGCCAAAGAAATTGTTGAGGACTTCATGAGTGATAATGATTGTGATGAATTGTGCAGTGTGGACAGTGGCAGCTTTGATTTGGAAAAGGAGAATGAAGACTGCAGTAATTTGAAGGAAGCTGATGTGCAATCAGCCAAGAAGCGTAAAGGCAAAAAGGATAAGCAATGTGAGAAAACATCCAAGCCAAGGAAGACTTTAAAAAAAGGTGTTTATCTTCAAGTGTTGTATGTGATTGATGTTGTATGAATGTGTTTGAACATACATGTGATAATATATTGGATAACAAAAAATCAACAACTGGATGATCATTAAATCTATTTATATTTCAGGTGTATGCTCAATTGATGATGAAGATGAGTGTGTGGACAATGACTTGGTGGAAGTGGACCCTGTGGGCGCAGACAATGAAGATCAGTCATGCATGCCTGTATCAAAAAAGAAGCGCAAACGTTCAAAAAAGGATGACCAGGAGGAGCAGAAAGAAAAAGCGGATGCCAAAGTAAAACGCCAGAAAAAGAACAAAAAAACACTGAAAGGTTTGTTTGTTACTTTACTGGGCTCGTGTTAAGTAATTGGAACCTTTTAAAGGCTTTTAGTAACTGTGTATTAACCCTAAAAACATTTGCATAATTCTGGACTTTTAAGTGTGTATATATAAGCCAATCTACAATAATGTTCAGAATTGTGGTTTATTAAGACTCTTCTGCTCACCAAAGCCTTTTATTTTAAAAATAATGTACCCTATGAAACTTTAGCTTCTATAATTGTAGTTTTAAGTGTGACATGATCTTTCAGAAATTGCATTTTCAGGGTTACCACGTGTCCTTTAAAAACCTGAAGATGTAGAGATGTTATTTTCCAGTCATAGAAATGTCCTGGTAATTAATAGAAATTACCAAATGTTCTGGAAGTCATCATCATTATTTTTTTGTATTTTAGTGTTGTCATTTGTTGTCATTTACGAACTTGCTGTTCGTAAGCCTAGATATGGTAACAGCTGAGCTAGGCTGTGGCCTCTGCTGCCAATTACATATACATTAGGTTTTGACCCACTGAGGTTTCTCTAGCTCAGGGTTTTTCTGTCATTTCTCACTTTTGAGGTAGGGCCTATCTGTCCCTAATTACTAAACAAAATGGCAATAAACCAGGCCTTTGTTTAACTCTGCAAATTTATTATTAGGTTCTATAGGTTGATTTTTCTCTTCTTTGCTGTTGTCTTTTTGTTCCATGTCACTAGCTATTTTATTGCAAACATTTATTGCTGCTACTTGGGTTGTGCAATATTGGGCGAAAAAGGTATCTAAATGTTTTTTTTTTTTTTTTATATTTTGTTGATAGCCATAATCAGACAATATTTTGCATGATTTAAAAATGTTTTCACTAGCCTTCTCAATGTCAATAGGATTTTGATTAATTAAAACAATATATTGAAGGATATTAAAAAACGAAGCAGTAAAACAACAAAAATCACTGCTTTTTTCTACAGAGCAACAATCAATTGTTGTAATCAAAGTATCTTAATGCAAACTTGAATAAAAAGAGCACAATAAAAACTCCAAGACAAGTATTATACATTTTTCCATGTTCCATAATTGTGGCTTCCAAGAATACAGCATTTAAATTAAATGACTTCTGTTGAATTCTGTTAAATAAAAGCTTCAGAATTTTAAACACTTAAAATATATTTTACAAAATACTTTGTACATTTTAGGAAGCATTGTTTCACTAAGTTTATTTTTACCCAAGATAGTCTGTGTGCATTTTTCCTCTTATGTTTTAAAGCATATCCATGCAGTTTCTAAACTGTTTGGGAGAATACACTTAAATTGACAAAGTGTAACACACAACACACAAAATTGAAAATGTAAGGTATATATTGTGCTGTGGCCAATACTGTAAATGCAGGAGATGATTTAAGTTTAGTATTTTAATGCATTTTAAATGCATTAAACTTAAATGTTTATTATTACCATTAGCATAGCAAATGACTAAGAAGAAAAGAAAAAACGGGCAAAATTAGATTACCCTCTGAACATGTTCAGCCTACTTCTAAGCTTTGAGATGGTGTTTCAAAGTGTGTGTTTTGAGTTTAAATTGCTACACTTTTTTTTTTTTTAATTTTTGAATTGAAAATTTGCTGAAAATGATTAATTTTTATTAAAATAATAATTAACTTAATGAATTTAAATTACTAACAAATATTTTCAAAATTACTCACAACATTTCAACACCAGTATACATTTTTAAAAATATTTCCCTTGTAAACTTAAAAGTTCAAAATGAAGAACATGCTGATGGGGAAAGCGAAGCAGTGAATGAGGAGCACAGTGAGGTGTCTACCATCCCAAATAAAAAACGGAAACGCTCTAAAAAGTCTGAAAAGGAAGATGAAGATCCCACCAAACAGAAACCGAAGACTAAAAAGAGCAAAACATCACCACAAGGTTGAGTTTGCTTGTTTTTTACTCAGTATAAAAATATACACTGAAAATGTATGTCTCCGTAGAATCAATCTGATTTTTGTCTTCTGCTCAGATTTTAGTGGATCTGAGCCAGGAGCTGAAGGAATTGAAATCTCAGCAGCAGCCACCAGTGCTGAAGGGGATCATGGGTATGCTTTTTCCCCAATTTATTTTCTCAAGTACAAAATCTAAGATTGTCTTTTGGCATTTCTCTAGTTACTTATCTTCATCCATTGTCATATAATATGCCAGGGAGATGCTCAATCAAGACAGCGCAGTTCAGGAGATTTCGAAAAGCTCTTCCAAACGTTCCAAGAAGCCTTTGCCCAAGTTAGTAAAAAGAAAATCCAAGAAATGTACTGAACCACAAGCAGCAGAAGAGATGGAAGATGCAGTAGAACAGCCTGAAGATGAAAGCTGCACAGATGCTGGTAATAAGGTACTTAAACCCGCCAAAAGAGATCTTGCATGAAAACAAACTCCTGTACATGTCAGTAAACACAAGTTTGTTTTAGCAGTAATCACAGCAATGTTAATCATGAAGCACTATTTATAATTTGTGTCTTATACTGTAGTCCAGGATCCTCCTTGCTGAGGAGCAGCTCCAGAAGCAGCCAGTTGTTGTTTTGGAGAGAACTCCTCCACGGTAAATCATGCTTCATTCTTTCAGCACATTACTTGCCTCACAGTGATCTCTTGAATTACTCCCTAATAAAAAGGCTTCTAACATCACAGGTTAAAAGAGTCATACAACTCGACTGAAAGTCAAGACGGGCCACAGTCCTCTAAAAGCCCACAATGCTCTCCTGGAAGAAAGATGAGAGCAGAGAAGGTCAAGCGCAATCTGTCTGCTGCGGATGGTGGTCGTGAAGTCCACAGTTGTGAAGAGGATCATAGGTATGCAAAATAATTTTCCAAAAAATAGAGTATATTTTTTTTTAGAAGTTTACTAATTATAGATATGTTTTGATTTTCATTATCATGTGTCAGGGAAAATCTCAGTCCAGAGAGTTCAGCTCAGGAGGCGGCTTCTCAAAGCTTCTCCAGACATTCTCCGAGTTGGCAGACGAGAGCAGCAAAGGTCAAGCCCGATCTGGCTCCCTCAGAAAGAGAACAGATGGAGCAGTTTAAGGCTAGATCAGATTCATCAGCAGAGGACATAAGCAGCACTGCCATCCCTGATCAGATCGTCAGCCAAGACTCTGAAGTGATGGGCGCTGATCAGTGCACGGAGGAGGAGGTATAACAGTCTACTGTTACTGCATTTTCACATATACAAACTTTGGTTATAAATTACCTTCAGGGGATCATGGGTAGCACTTTATTTACAGTCCAGTTTAGCATGTGACTCAGTCCAGAATTGTGGGTACATTTTAAGAGTTTTTCATTCATTTTCTTCAAACTGGAATGATATACAACAAATGTGTGATTTGCAGAAATCTTAATACATTATTAATGTAACACAAGATTAAATTCTTTGAATGGTTACATTGAAACATTTTATCTTCTCAGTAATTGTTGTTTAACTTGATGTTAAACTTTTTAAACCACTAACAAAATTAACATTTTCCAATATTTTGTGTTTTGGATTAAGATGCTAACCTCAAACCAGAAACCATGTGGCATATCTAAAACATAAATGTATGTATATTCATCATATTATAGTTTTCAAAAAGTAAATGAGAAATTCACTGAAATATCACAGCAACAGATTTGACATAATTGATCTACTATTGGTGTATCCTAAATGTTCTGTACAAACGAGAGGAGAATAATGACATTACTCATTAGCCGCATTTCCACTATCAGGCCAGTGCGAGCCAGGGCTTATATCGGGCCAGGCCGGGCCAATCGCCCGGGAGGTTGAGCAGTGAGGCCGAAATCATGTCGCGTTTCCACTGTGGGGCTAGTAGCTCGCAGCGCGTCACGCAAACTCCGCCCCCAGAACATCCCCCGAATCGAACGTCACTCAAACCGCCCACTTCAGCGAGAATCATGCAGATAAAGCACATCATCACGAAACTATTAAAATTAGGACAACCAAAACAAACAAATGACTCGTACTGTACAGCAGTACAACGCATGTCTATACGCACATGCCTGTGTGTTTTCATTCATCATATTAATTTACTCGCCGACCGACTATTGGCATCGAAATCCAGTGGTCTTGCCACCAACGGAGGAACTCAGCGCAGGGAGCGCACACATCCATAATATAACACCACATATATAAAATTCTCCGTTAATAACTCGATATAAAATGTATTTTATAACATCCTCTAGACAAAATCTGTCCAACATTCATCCCAAATGCTCCGGAGAGAACTGAAACATGATTTTTTTTCCCCTATAGGCTTTATGACACTTAATAGTTGATTCCCTGTATTTAAAGATGTTGCTTATTATATCTTAAGTAAAGGAAAGTGTTTAGTGTTTCAGCACATAAGAGCAGCACGTAATAAAATATAGCCTATATTTCGTTGCGCTCAGCAGCTATGCACTAATAAAGCTCTTTATGTATTTAAAATTTCCTTTTTTAATTTTACCACGTTATATAAAAACATACACACTTGTTTGAGGACACAGAACACATTTTGAACTTGCAGTTTTCCCCGTCAAAAAATTGCTGCGCAGCTGAAAGACAGAAAAAAAGGTCGCCTAGTTCTGCTTTCACTCACCCCGACAATGCTCTGTTTGCATGATTTGATTAATATCATCGTATCCAAATACTTTATAAATAATATTTAAAACATTCTCCAATGTTTATTTATTTATTTATTTATTTATTTATTTATTTTTAGAAAATATCTAAAATCTTTTTTTCAAAGAGGCTTTTGAAAAATGAAAGTTTAATAAAAATTTGAAACAGTTTGATATAGTACCTAATTGTTATAGCTATAGCTTTTGTTAGTTTTATATTGGTTTATTTATTTAATGTGTTTATTTTTATAGGCCTATCTGATATTTGTAGTTCTTTAAATTATTTCAATATAGGGCTATTTTATCTAGATATGACACTATTGTTTTGAGCCTACAAAAGTGGACATGAAATTTGTAAAGTTTAATGTCTTACTGTTGTATTCATATAGTGTATTATCACCAAAATAAATTAAAACAATAAAAATAAAAGACAAAAGCCGCTCGTGGCATCAACTGAGCTATGAATGGAGCGCTCTTTTTTTTCGGTCTCTCACACATACACAGGCATCTAAACGCGCAAAAACACGCTTATTAAACTTGACAAAACCTCTTGAAAACCTTTACTGTCTGCTGTGTCTTTATTATGGTGTAAAGATTATTATGCGTTATTGAAACATCAAAGATGCAGCAAAGAAAGATCATTTTATGCAACAGCCTTACATTTAAAAGAGAAACATAAGGGCGATCATATGCAAAAAAGACCCCAGCCTATAATTTGTTCCAGATGTTTTCTTTCCCTTATTTATTTATTTATTTGTTTGGCGTATGTACTCGAGTGCGATCGGAAAACTGTGCCCGTCTCTCCTTTCACTCCGCCCTGAAGCCCCGGCTGGCCCTCTTTGGCCAAGGTATTCGGCGGGCCGAAAAAGGCCGGCCGCTGGCCCCAAGAAAGCCCCGCTTTGGCCCGATTAAGCCCCGGAATTGACAGTGGAAACGCCACTGGCCTTGGCTCGCCCTGGCTCGCTCGCTTTAGGCGCGATAGTGGAAACGCGGCTAATGCCCTCCAGAGTTCCCTGCCACAGGAAGTGACAGCACTTGGAGCAAGTCGGATGCTTTTTCTGTCAATGCTTTAAATATTGTCAAAGATTTCCATTTTATAACTGATGCAAAAGGGTTAATCCTTGGGACAGACACAAAAGTAATTTTATTTATCATGGAAAGTAAAGAAAATAGATATTTTGTGTTAATGTTTTTTAACTTGGTATGCACAAAAAAAAGATGCAAATTAGACTTGTTTATTTCATTATAATTGAAGGTAATTTTTAAGATTTAGGAGGCACAGTCAAAAATGGGTATAGTGGGAGTCTAAGTTAATATTTACATTATTTTTGAGATGCTTGTTTTAAATGCTCGTTAGATATAATGCATGTTATTCAAAAAAGATTTTTATATACTTGATGGTTTATCCCGTAAATGCCAAATGTACCCTCAATTCTAGAATCGCCTCTGTACATGCGTTTAGTATAATAATAAAACTGGTTAATAACTAAGAACTGCCTCTAACCTACCCTTAAACATGACCTTAACCCATGTAGTTGCCTTATTTGCTTAGTAGTACTTTAAGTGCACACACATTTAAGTAAATTGCCAACAACTTATGCTCTTTAGTGCACCCACTGTTTGTATTTATTTCATTTTTAGGAATATAATTTGCAGTCTGTGACTTCATCTGAAGTAATTGGTAAGTTTTGTTATATGTACATGTAAGCAGTGTCATTGTAATTAGACAAATTGCACAGCACTACTGTCAATAATAATAACAGTTGTTTATGAATTCCAACTATTTTATAATAACCTTTTACAAATTAAAAATAAGGCTTTTCTACATATATATTTTAACGTAATTCATTTTTACAATGGCATACCTGCATTATCTGCAGTCATTTGATATTTTAGTGGAAACTGACCTAAATATTATTTACCTTGTCATTTAGTGTTCCTTGCTAAATGCAAGTTTTCTTTAGCTTTTTTTGTGTTTTATTACAGAGCCTGAACCTTTAAATGATAATGTACAGTATGTGAATGTAAATGGATGATATTTTTCAACACACCATCTCTGAACTCTTTATCCAGTCTGATTGCTGTTTTACTGCAAAATATGTTAATATTTGAAAATGTGTGTAAGGCTTCTTTTAATATACCTTTAAGGTCAGACATTTCTGAAAAAAGCAGTTGTGTCTGTGTCTCATGAAGAAGTACAGCATTACCTCAGGGTTCAAGCCCAAAACACAGCCGAGGAATCAACAGCATCTGAAAGTCTGCAGGACACAACACCTGACAGACGCCATCAGGTCAGTGCTTGAGTTCATCCTGTATGTGTGTGATCGGTCATTGTGTGTGAAATTAACAAACAGTGATCAGTTAACAGTGAATGTTTATGTGATTAACAGGTGGAAGAGAATAGAGAGGGTTTTAAGGAGCAGGGCTCTTCTAGTGTTACTGTCTCTCAAGAAGCAGAGATGAAAGAGTCACCCACTGCCTCAGTTTCTGCCCAACAGAGCATTACTGCAACAAGGAGAAGGGTTTTGAAGCCCACACCAAGGCTCAGTCGGGAAGCACAGTCCAGCCGCAGACCTCTAAATGTACAGACTATAGAATCGAGTCAAAGTAAGCCTCGAGTGTGTGTGTGTGTGTGTAAACCTTGAGTTTAATGGGTGGTCAATCAGCGATATTTCAAGGCTCAATTGTGTTTATAATTTTTTACATATTTTAGTTTCATTCAACACTGCTATAACCATAAAAAGGGCCTGTTGACCTCCTGTTTGTACGAAGCTTCTCACACAGAAATACGCACCCAGTGTGTTTTGATTGGCTAATCATTATGTACATTTTAGGATTTGGTGATATCACAAATCCAAAACTAGCCATTTTTGTAGGCTTTATAAGCCAACTTTCCTAAAAAAAATCTTAAAGCAAAGTTCAAAGCAAATGAAGATGTTGTTTATGCTGAAATGTTGTAAAGTAAAAAAAAGGACCTTTTGTAAAGCTGCTTTGAAACAGTAATTGTGAAAAGCACTATATAAATTAATTTAAATTGATTTGAAAGCTGCATTTAGCTTTCTTTATTGGGCTCATGTCTTCCAGATACCTCATCTTTAAAAGAGCAAGTGAACCTCACACCGAATGAAAACATTGAGGAAGAGCACAGGGACTGTCCTGAAGAAGAGGACACACATAGTGTTTCTCCACAAGAGAACAGCTCTCATGATGTTCAGGTGAATGAGTATGCCTCATGACTGGAGTGTGCAATCTCTATTGATGTTATTGAAAAGACACACTTATTTAAAAAAAAAAATTCCTTTTCAATGTCTTTTTTTTTGTATGTCCAGGATGATCTCAGATCCACAGCTGATGATTCTCCTTCCACATCATCAGTTGGTAAGTAAAAGCATTTTTGCTTTTTTTATTTTTTATTTTTTTTATTGCTATATAGTTAACCCTTAACAACTGGGCTTCTCAAAGTCTTGATCCAAAGGTCCAAATCTGAATTCTCATCATCAATGGTCAGGAAAAACTGATTATAACAAAACTTGTTTTTAATAGACATGCACATAAACTAATCAACATTTAAAATAAAAAGTAACTTTTTTTCATTAAAAAAATACATTAATAAGTGCAATAGTGTCAAAGCGACTAGTGGTAAGTGTCAGCAGTTTATATGAACAAAAGCAATAAAAAAAGACAGATCAGACTAATGTAAACTGTGTATTTCATCAGCTGCCTAAACCTTTGTTTCATAGTTTCATTTGACATTTCTACTTCAAAAATCCAACTCTCAATCTCATTACAAATCAAACAGAATATTTTTGTGCTGAAAAGAGTTTTGTCTCCATCCAAATAATCTTTTCTGAAAACATCCTCACACATTCAGACAGTCACTGTGTTAAAGATTACAGCAAACATCATACGCTGACTAAATATCATGACATCGGAATTACACAGGAAGACTTTTGAATGTCACCCCTGGGTCATTGCCGAAAAGACATTTAAAAAACAAACAAAATTGCAAGTTAACATTCTTTTATCAAAGAGGATAGTAGATCCACACCTTAATAATTGCTCTGGAAATATGAAATTGAGGTGGGTCCAAATTAGGTTCTCCCTGGCTACAGTTTTGCTGCTTTCCAGTTAAGTCCCATTTTTATTAAAGCAGTTAATGCATACCTAAAAATGCATACCTAAAAACAATGAAAATTATTTTATACATGATTTAGCTTTTTTTTTAATTAATTTTGCTTTAAGAAAAAGTTTAATGTTTGTACACTTCACATTAACTAATTGTTATTAATATTTTGGTTAATGTTAAAATTAGACAAGTTAAAAACAATTGTTTGTTTGTTTACTTGTCCATTCTGCTTGGCACAGACAGGAAATTTGTCTTTAACACTGGTGACATAAATACAACCATAAACAATTACATAATAGTAACACACAACAAGACAACCACATACATTTAAAAACTTAAACTATCTTAGCCCAATACATATCACTACAGATCATTCTCAGCATCCACCTAATTCACATCAAACATTGATAACAACTTAGGACAACAACCACAATTGGGACAAATGCCTTTTTATAAGCATTTCTACAGGCTCTGGAAATTTGAAACCCATGTCCTGATGGTAACATTTCAAAAGCTGAGTGGAAGGGATGTGTATTATCACAACTGCTGTTTTTTTTTTTTAAATATAAAGGAGTCAAATAAAATCTGCAGTGAATGTTTGTAATCAGTTATTATATTTGCTTGGTTGATAATTTGCGATAATTTCTTTCTTTTTTTTTTTTTTTGTTTCAGTGTTGTGTTACCAAACCATGAGACAATATTATATGTGAGAATACTTTCAATTAATGATCTATATGCCATGTTTAAATTCTGTGTACTAACATTAAAACTTCTCAACTTTAGAAGTATTGTTCATTGTTATAGTATAGTAAACAGAAGTTAGTTTGTATTTTTTAAATATTACCACTAATTATAATGTCTTTCTTCCATAAAGCTGATTTTGTTGACATCAGAAACCGATAACTAAGTGATCAACTTTGTTTGCAGAAATCCCCGAAACAGTTGACAAACCTATGGCTTGTAATACAGATGTACCTGAAAGAAAAACAGAGCTTGCTGCATCTCCAGCCCCGATTTTCGAGATTGAAGATCAAATCAGGGATCAAGAGGAACAGGATTCAGAGTTTGAGATCACAGAGAGCACGATCAATGAGATAATGACAGAGATAAAAAGGAGTATTCCAGTCAGGTGTGCACAAAAAATGTATTAAATCTAAATGGCAACGTTTGAGTGGAATAGTAATTTAACCACAGTCTTGTTTTTCCATTGTTATCTGTGCAGCTTTTCCGGTGATGAAACACACTGTCAAATTGCAAAGCCCACTTCCAGCATAGAATGTGAACCTCAGGTCTCTGTGAGCCCTCAACATACCTCAGAGCCTAATGAAGGTAAGATTTGCATTGTTCATTAATGTCATTATTTTAGACCTAGTAACTGAGATGTGACATCGTCTTTTAGATTCTGCCAAGAAGCCAGATCATCAGAGCCCTTCGATAGCCCAGCACAGTGATTTAGATCAAGGCATAGAGCCTTTCTCTGGAGAAGATAAGCCTGTGTCATCTGTAGTGGATTTGCGGGAATGTAAACAGGATGAGGATCTTCTGTGTCCTGTCCCATTGCTTAACTCAACACAAACACCAGTCCCTGTGGTCAGTGCTGGCACAGAAATCAAACAACAGAATAGTGGGTCTTATGCTTCCTGCTCCTTTTCTTTGATAGGGTTTCATTGTTTTTATATTCATTGTTAATTTTTATTTAAAGGATTAGTTCACCTAAAAATATAAATTATGTTAATAATTACTCACCCTAATGTTGTTTAAATCCCCCAATACCTTTGTTCATCTTCCGACTGCGAATTAAGATATTTTTGTTGAAATCTGAGAGCTCACCGATTCTGTATGGACAGCAGTGATGGGAATAATGGCACTATTAATAAACAGCGTTACTTTTTTCAGTATTGAGCAGTCAATTGAATTACTGTTTCCATTATTATAACACCTTTACAGTTACTGATAATAAAATATTTGCATTACTTATAATTGAGAACACTGAAGTGGTTTTCATGCAAGCAGCATCTCTCAGCTATATGGCCTGAGGTGCGTAAGTATTTGGGGCTGGGGCGGGACACATAACCAGCCAAATATAATGATTGGTGTACATGAACATGAATGTGGTGTAACTGAGAACGTGATAATTGGCTTAGATAGAGTACATTTCAGAGGCAGAGTTGGGCGGATGTTTTCACACATAGACAGTCGCAATAGGACCAGGAGTCAGAATGATGGCAAATCCAACAAGTTCAAATGTAACGTTTGCAAACTGGAAATATAAGCACTAATTTTCCCTGATTGAGGCGAAAGGCAAGAATGTTTATGTGTTGTGCAACTTGTGCCCAGGAAAAAAAGTCTTTCGGCGGAAGTAATTCTAATCTAATGAAGCACCTCATGTCGTCACATGCTACCACAAAATTGTTGAGCTCTGCTACCAAAGGAGGAGACAAAGCCACGACGTCAGAGCAAATAAAACTTCATTTATCTTTGCTGAAAACACTTATTATTTTGTTTAATTCTGTCTGTGTAATATCTAGATATATATTTGAGGACATACTGCTGTTGTCTCTCAAATTGTCCCGAAACAACATTAAAACTGTGTAGATTAGTGGACAATGTTTTGTTTATTTCAAGTAATGCAATAGTTACTTTTTCTGGTAATTAGTTACTTTTGTAATTATGTAACTCGGTTACTAACTATTTGTGAGAAGTAACTATAACTAATTACTTTTTTTAAAGGAACGTGCCACTGATATACAGCCAATGGTCCTAACTCAAAGTCCAAATCCCAAAAAAAGTTGTCAAAACATTCCATGTGACATAAGTAGTTCAACTGTAATCACGTAAAGCTCCAAGAACATTTTTTTGCATCAATTTTTATTATTTTTTTTAATGCTCAAAATTTTACTTTGCGCTATTTGTGATTACAGTTGAAACCACTAAAGTAACATGAAATGTTTGTTTTTGTTTATTTTCTGGGCTATAATTTAGTCAGGACCATTGTGTATTGAGTAAGTGAGCTTACAGATTTCATATAAAATATCTTAATTTGTGTTCTGAAGATGAACAAAGGTATCAGGGATTGAAACAACAGGAGGGTGAGTAATTAATAAAATAAAGAAAAATTTTGGGTGAATTAATCCTCTAATAAAAAAATCACATGTCTTTAATTCTCTTCATTTAATTTTATTTTATTTTTCTTGTAGACCCAGCTTTTAGTGATGCTTCATTGGAACCATTAAAACCACAGAGTCTGGATTCATCTATTTCTGATCATCTCACCCAACATACCAGCAACTTGTACGATACTGATGCGTATGTCTAATGTTTGTTGTTGGTGTTGGTTTTTGGAGCAGTTTTAATTGATAGTTAGTAATGTGTGAGGTTGTCAGATGGATAAAATATGATTTAATTTTGCTTTAGGTTGATGTTTAGTGTGCCTGCAGCTGAAAACATCCAAATACCAGATAAACAGGATTCAGCAAAACAAGACTGCGCTGAAGAGCAATCGTCAGTTTCTGAGGTAAAGTGTCTTGTCAGAATTCAACACTGTGTATATTCTGTATTCACTGTTCATTGAATGAAAGAACGCCTTTTAACTGATTAGTGTTTTCTGGCAGAACTGGAGTGTCCCTCTCGATGGGGATTCAAAAGCTGAAATCTCAATCTCATCTGGAGTGGAGACAGGTGCATCTGGTAATGAATACCAAGCCACTGTATAATATCTACTGCAGTATTGTGAATGATTTGTGCTGTGATGATTTGTACTGTTTCTTATTTCTTATTGTTATCGATGCTTAAAGTTCTACTGCTTAATGTTTTTTGTGGAATCTACTGATTATTTGATGCAATTATTTTCAATAGAAATTCTTTGTGATATTAAAAATGTCTTTTTATTGTCACATTTAATAATTTTAATGCATCTGTTGAATATGAATGTTAATTTTTTTTTTTTTTTTTAATGGTCTTTTCTCAATCTTCTAAATAGTAGTGTTGTTTTACACATTTTTTTCTCCTCACAGATTACCAGGCAGAGGAGCCCACCTTTATTTTGACTCTGTATGAGATTCCAACCTCTGAGCTGTTTAGTGAGGGAATCAGCGGGGAGCAGGACACACTGCCCTATGAACTACAGCCTGCACAAGTCCACACACCCTCACGGTTGAAAGGCAATTCACAAACTCCTTCCTTCACAGAAGAGCCTTCCAGGTACATTTCTCTTTACGTCACTTTTATTAAATACATTTTTACACAAAGTCCTTGGTCATTCATTACATTCCTTCTTGATTACCTTGTTTTGTAGTGCATCTCTGCACATGGCATCAGAAGAGCCAGAGAAACCAGGTGAAAGTGTTTCTTGTGAGGATGATCCTCTGGTTTGTCTTTCAAAGTATCCAGAAAATGCCAGTACACAATTGATATACACACAGGAAAGCAGTTATGATGGTGTGAACTCTTTAATTTGTCCATCTGAGATGCTCTCGGCCACGGTATGAAGTGTAGCAAGTGTGCAGTTTGAAGATTGTTCATATTTTGTTGCGCTTTTAGGAAATTAAAGTGTCTTCCTCTCTGGTTATAGCTTACAGATGTGCCAAATTTGGATGAGACCACAACAAAAGCATCAGAAACAAAAGCTCCTGCTCAGAGGAGAAGTAGGACTTTTTTTTTTTAACTTTGTCGTATCAGTTACAATGAACAGATGCTAAAATTCTCTGTAATCTTTCTGTCAAAGGCAAGATAAAGATCAAGCCAAAACTGAAGCCATGTTTGAAAGCTGGACCTTCAAGAAATGTCCAGTTGGACCCTGCAAGCAGTCAGAGTCCACCATCATCTCATGCCAAAGCTGAAACTGAGAGCGAGTCCAAACAGAAAACATCTGCACAAGAAACTATTGATCCTAAAATCCACTCAGACCCTGAAGACAGTGAGCTGGGAGCCCATTCTGGACATGACTGTGTAGTTTCAGTAGCCACTGTGCCAGTTTCTGAAGAGATGACAGTTGAGCATCCTCTTCAAATAGAAGTTGACCAGATGGACCAAGTCTTTCCAGTGAGTCAGACTGATTTTGTCCATACAGGTCATCATTTATTATATATTTATATAAATTATCTATTAATGCAGGTTTCTTTACAGGTGCACAGTACAGTCATGGACGTGTCCAAGGATAGAAGTGATTATGGTTGTGAGGGTGTTTCACACATGGTGCTGGCTGACACCTTCATGCTCTCTTCAGGAGAAATAGATAGTGTTTTAAATGTGTTGGAAAGCCCTAATAATAGTGAGCTTCAAGAAGAGAGAGAGAAAGTTGTCCTTGAAGTTAATGACCAAGTAAGTGTTTATTTTTTTTGGTAAACACTTTATTTTGATGGTCCACTTGAGTATTAGTAGACTTTCTGCTTAAAAAGACATATAACTGACTATAAGAAACTTTGCAAGTACATGTCAACCATCACAGTATCCATACCCCAACCCCAACCTAACAGTCTACTTAATAATCTATTAATAATTCAACCAATCCTTTTTTTCAGCGTTTTTTCTTTTTTTTTTTTAATCACAATTTAAAATATTAGTCCTTATGCATAGTGATGCACAATATATTGGTGGCTATATCAGTTGTTAAATGTTTTTTATTATCATTATGGGCGATTTAACAAATTAATTATAAGCCAATAAAACTGGTGGCTTATTTCTGCTGGTTGAACTAATTGGATTGCCATCAGAACTACATAGGGAGTTATGACTCTACATAGTACATGCTGCTCCATCTGAATGCACATGCTACAATTTTTGAATTTGTATCATATAAAACATTACAAATCTTATCTAAGTCATGCACTCATTTCTTTGTGGGTTTTAATTGTATATTTAATATTGAAATGTTTTTGCCTTGAAAATAGTCATTGCTGACATGGCATTAAATAAAATATTTCTATGATTAGGCTTGTCACGATATGTGAAAACGCATATTCTAAATAAATAATATTAAATGTTAACATAAAATTGCAAGGTATAAGGTAACAGAGGCTGCGATATCTACTACAGATCTTTTTCATTTGTCAGACACTCACATAAAAATATACTTTAGCAATTTATATTGAAAACTACAGTGTTTTTAACTATACTAAAACTGACACTTCAAGTATAGATCAAGATGTTGCACAATCAGCTAAAATATTGCTAGAATTGGTTTTAATGTATGGCTGATATCATCATATATAGCTGATATAATCATTGATAAAATGATTGAGGTCATGACCATGTGTTTGTGCAATAAATCTATATATTTATTATTGTGACAGGCCTATATATGTTATAAATGCACAAGCAGGAAGTTTTCTAGAACTGTGTTTACTGACAAAATGCACACAAAAAAATGCAAGAGACTGTTTCACATTCTCTTATAGCGACACATGTACAAATTGCACCAGCACTTGACATTTGCGGACATTTTATGGACCTGTGTGCATTTTTACTTAACCTTATTTGTAATTGCCAATTGATTCAAAGAGAACCTTGTTTAAAAGCTGTGTTTCTGTGTACAATGTATCAGGAATGTAAACTGACAAGGCTTTGAAACAACATGCGTTTTAGTTACTGGAGTAACCAAAGTGTGAGCTGTAAATGTAAAGGGGTGGGACAAAGAAAAAAGAGTGTAGAATAGCATTTCATTTGCATATAATAAGACAAATAACTTGTGATTCTGTATTTGTGTCCACAGAAGGAAACAATGGGAGATATTGCTGGAAAGCAGGATAGTTGCCTAAAGACATCAAGTGTGCTGCCATCAACATTTCAAGAGCAGTCTAAGCCCTTTAGCAGATGTACTACATCTTCAACAGTCTTTTTATAACTTTTATTGGTGTAGTTCAGCTAAAAATAAAAACTGCAATGTATATTAGCATTCCCAAAAGGCTTTCTATTTGGAAAAAAAATCCTATATATTTTTATATTTTTTCATTATTTTTGTCCATGCATTGAAAGTTTTATTAACTGAAGCTTTGATGCTTGAAGAGATAGTAAAACTAAATTGATCGTTTTAATCTGACATGACACAATCACTTAATTTGATGAACACATCAGTTAGGTTGTATTACATAAATATTAATTAAAGAATGGACTATGGCATTTATAGTAATATTTGGGTTATAATATTTTTTTCTTCAAGGCAAACTAACATCTCCTACTGAGGACATGTCAAGTCAAGAGCAGTCTGATATTGGGTTTAATGATCCAGCCACAGCTCAAATCATTTCACCAGAACCTCTAATTAAAGAAGAATTAGAAGAGAGAACGGAGCAAGAAGAAGATGTGTCTGAGGAAGAATTAGATGCAAGGCCTGCCTTGATGACTTTGTCTACACAGGATCTTACGTCATTCACATCTGAAAAATCATTAGCATGGTATGACATGGCTTTTTTTAAGTTGTCATTTACTATGTATATTGATATTATGGACTAATTTTCATTTTAATTCTGTCACAGCAGTGATTCGCCATCTGTGGAAATGAAAAAAGAGGGAGGTTCTCTTGATGTGACGCACATAGTGTTGTCTGATATATTTGTGCCGGTTTCTAATGAAACACAAGATGATGTTAATATGGAGAGAGGCTGTTCTGTCCAAAGCGTCAACCAGATGGGTGAAGAGGAGAGACGATCATATGAGAGAGTTTGTCATGTGGTGCTGACTGATATATTGAGAAGCCCTCGATTGACAGAAAGACCTCAGGTTAATTTTATAACTGACAAAACTAATAGGATTTTTTTTTCACCCCAAATTAAAAAATTTGGAAATTATTTACTTATGCTTCACAAACCTCAGTGCATCCCACAGGTTTGAAATATACTTTCAGCCAAACTTAAATACATCTTATCCCCATAGCACATAATTGGTTAACTACATGTGACAAAAAAAAAAATGAAAATAATCTATGAAACAAAAAAGGTTCAGGTTGCTTTATTGGCATGACATTTACTACAGTATCACTAAAGCATTTTAATAAAAATTTGCATTAAATAGTAATTAGAATAGAATGTGTAGATTATTTAAATAAGGCAAATGAGTTGATTGACCATTTCTTATAGTGTACATATTTTTTTGCAGTCAGTGTGGATGTCATTTCGAATACATATTAAATTGTTGTTGAATAGTTTAGATTAAATAATCTATTATTTATTTTTTCTCTCAGTCTTGCGGCTGTGCATGCTGTCAGCTGTGAAGCCAAACGAAAAGTAGTCTTTAATAAAAGAGTAATGCAAAAATGCATACAATTAACAACACCTTTAGAAATTGAAAGCAAACGTCAAATCCTGGAGATTTAGAAACACCGGCCTAAAGCATTTTCAAGCCCCAAAAAGGCGTATCTCGGTGGATCTCTGCAAAACATGCAAGACTATCTGGGGAAGTGTTGTTGGCATTTCTCACACACACACAATGAGCAGTACAAAATGTGTATCTTGGGTGGGTAGAAAAAGGATGATAATATTGGTTTAAAAAAAAAAAAACTGTCATGAAATATTCTTGGGCAGCCATTAATATACCTGGGCAGCCCAGCCAAGTAAAGTCTGTGTGGGAAGCACTGAACCTGTTTCTTTCAACCAGTAACCGTTGACGTCATATCAGAAAAGAAAACAAATGACTTCTAACAAAATCACTTACTTTGTGTTCAATGGAAAAAAGAAACTGAGAGGTTTGGAACCACTCGAGTAAGTTTTCATATTTGTTTAAATTATTATACATTTAATGATTTTGGTGGATATTTAACTATACATTTTCATTGTTTTCATATTCAACTATTTTACCTGGCAAAAATTAATTTAAAAATTTATATTTAATGTAATCTTTATGTAAAGATGTGTGCGCACTGTGAAATTTGGGAGATAAACCAGAAATCAGAAATAAAAATTTTTTTAAAAACATTTATCGATAAATTATTTTATTAGATTATCAAAACATTAACAACAGTAATTATCAGGTCCCAGTTTTTCCAAAAAAAAATTCTCTGTATCAGATTGGTCCAGATATGGAAATCCCATGTTCTGCTATTTAGGATACGATTTAGGATCTATCTTACTTTTATGACAATTTTTTAAATGAACATTGGGTTGGATCACTGTCCAAATACCAAATTTCAGTATTACCAAATCCTGTTTACCAGAGCCTTAAATGGAACCAACAGTGTAGCCTACTTTACTGGCTTAGTAAAGAACAACAGGGAGGCAAAATACTTGTGGCCACAAACAGCCATTGTTTGTTTTTATAGTAAGAAACAGAAATACTACAATCAACAAACATTTATCATTTTTTAGTTTGTTCTAATACAATACTGCTTTGATATTGTTTTGTTGTTGTTTACCATATTTCATTAGATGTTTTTAACAATTTTTTACATTTCAACTGAATACACCCTTCTGATGGGATCAGGATAATCCTGTTTTTTGTTTTTGTTTTTGTTTTTTATCAAATAGATCCCAATTCAGATAAACCAAATGGCAGGTTTGAGCTAAATCGAATGTACGATTGGATTACATGGTCTGATCTTTATTTAAAATCCCTTTGTTACTTTTGAAAACTTATTTCAAAATACCACTGGATTACTTTTGAAAAACTGGTCCCTGCTCATACCATCGCTAGTTAAACAGTATGTGTAGTTGAATTTAGTGCAATCCAGCAGACAGTATAAAAATTGCTTTTACAAATGACTTTATCACTTTTTTTATTAAGAGTTATAGTTTATTTATCATTAGGATCCATAAATTCTAAATATCGTGCATGTGAATGTTGCTCAGCATCACTAAATGTGTCTAAATGACTAAATGTAAAAACTTCTGTTTAAATTCTACAGCTGAGAGAGGAGGCACAGTCATCACATGCTGAATCGTCAGTATCACCCAAGAGGAACAGGCCTGCTCAGGGAAAAGGTGGTGGAAATACTATTGATATAATGTCTTTTCCCAACTTATTGCACACATTTACTAAATTTAACATACAGTATTAGTGTTTCTATTATGTCATTTTTGACACAATTGGATGTAATGCAAATGCATTGTCCAATGCAATTTAAAAAAAGCAAAGAGCAAATTTCTTGGTCCCTTTATCAATCTGGAGTCGCCACAGCGGAATCAACCGCCATCTTATTCAGCATTTGTTTTACGCAGCAGATGCCCTTTGAGCCGCAACCCATCTCTGGGAAACCCATACACACTCAGTCGCACACATACATACACTATGGACAATTTAGCCTACCCAATTCACCTGTACCGCATATCTTTGGATTTTGGGGAAAACGGAGCACCCAGAGAAAACCCACGCAAACGCAGGGAGAACATGCAAACTCCACACAGAAACACCAACTGACCCAGCCGAGGCTCGAACCAGCAACCTTCTTGTTGTGAGACGATAGCACTACCTACTGCGCCACTGCGTCGCCTAATCTATTGTTCTCTAACAAATTGAAGCTTTTTATTCCAGATTAGCTTTAATGATAAGTGGTTACTAAATGACAAGTGCAATAATTATCCTAAGGGATGCTCTTACCTGTTTGCTTAGTTAAATCCAGATGTTTAGTTTCTTTGAGAGGCAATGTGTATCTTAAGCCATAAATAAATAATGTTTGCCTTTTTATTAGGAGTGACAAATTAAAAAAATAATTAACCTTTTGTATTTTTTTTGTATAACCATAATTTTTTTTTTACTGAGCTAAAATGTCTGTGACCATAGTTATTTAGATAATGCAGAGAGGTTGGTTGGATTTGCTTCTAACTTCATGCTTTCAATCTCTCTTGGATTTCAAGGCACACAGTGTTCAAAACCTACATTATCAAAAAGGATAGACGATCCTTCAGAAACTGACCTCATTCCACCCAGCTCTGCACAGAGCTCTCTGGCTGCACCTCAACAGTCTCTGGACCATCAAGCAGAGGAATGGACCTTTAAAAGCAATATGTTGCCCATAGACTCAGATGAGATTGAGAACTGGTGTGAAGGAGTTTCCCACATGTTGCTGTCAGATGCATTTGTGCCTGTTTCTGAAGAGAATGAGGAGAACAACACAAACCTAAAAATGTTTGACTCGAGCAGTCCTCATGACAATAAGGAATTTGCTCGAAGTCCATCAATAAGGAGGAAGACACCTTCAGTGATATCAGATAATGTAAGCTAATTCAGGAAGCATTTAACAGCAGTTCATCGTAATAGATTTTGTATTGGTAAATCTCCAGAAGACTTGTCCAGATGTTGATATACCCCCAAACATTCTGAAAGGAAAAACGTTGCATGATAAAAGTGGTGTGCTCCCTTATATTGGGAGTTTTGGCAACATGATAGTTAATATTAGATTGAAGAATTATACTTCTATATCTCATAGTCATAATGTAATTATTACTTTTATGTAACATTATTTTTTATAGTCATAAACCTATGTTTTATATATATATATATATATATATATATATATATATATATATATATATATATATATATATATATATACTTACATACATACATACATACATACATATATTATACTGTTTATAAATAGTATATGCCATTACAATGAAAGCTAATAAGACCTTAAAATGGTAAAGGCTTCATTAGTAGAATTTCTCTATGCCAAAATACCACCATATTTTCTGTAAAACAACACTCATCTTAATACTGTATGTTTATTATTTTGTAGAGTATACTGTCACCTGCACTGTTTTTGAGAATCACCTAAATTAACTTTTAAACAAGGTGTAAATGACTACAAAATCTGTTTTATAGACGCCTCCAATAGACTCTACCACTGAAATACCAGAGATTGGGGTCTCAAAAGAGAGTCTGCCTGCATCACAAGCCAAAGAATCACCAACAACAAGTGAGTTGTTCTTCTTCATACAATATGATATGCCGTAGTCTCCAGGATTTTTTCATCAATGTGTCTTTCTCTAAATCAGATACATTTCACATGACACTAAGATCACCTGAAAGATGCATTAAAGATCAGCCTAAAGTGCAGAAGTCTCCTCAGGCTGCCTCAACGACACCTCAGCGGACTCTGACATCAAAAGTGAAGGAGTCAGTGGAGTCTCCATCAAGGCAACACATAGGAGAGACCTCAAGTTTGTGTAGAGTACAGTTAGAGAGGTTGTCGATGGAGGAAATCCGTGCTGCTCAAAGTGTTCTGCAGCCAAAACATCACAGCACGCCTGTCACTGTGAAAACCACTTCTAGAGGGTAAGAACAGCTTTTCATTTCACACTAGTGACATAAAGGCCATATTAACACGTGGTATTAAGATGCTTTTGGTTGATCAGATCACACCTAAGGACCCGTTTACACTAGTGCGTTTTAGTTTTAAAACGGCGTTTTAGAATGAAAACGATCTGCGTCCACACTCGCGTTTTACCCAGCGTTTCTGAACAGCTCTCCGTCCACACCAAAACGCTGAAAACGCACATCACGTGACCACACACACACACTCTCAGGCAAGCGCTGCAGCCAATCTACCCAGATAAGAGCTGTGCTAGTCGGACTTCTCATCAAACATCTCCTGCTGGATCTAATCTCACTATATTTATTAAACGTGATATTTCATTCATCTTGTTGTCTTTATCTAACGACATATTCCCTGACTTTGGTCACTGGAATCTATTACTTGTTCTCAGGTAACGTGTTTTGGCTGAGCGCAAAGATAAGTTAATGATTAATGTAAGCACGTACATTCTGTATATTGACTGATCGCTTGCCTTTATTTCCTATAATGTATAAACTTATTGTATGTTATACTTTTATAATGGCCATTATCGATTATTAAAACTGATATTCAGCAAAAGAGAGGGTTTCATATTTTCACTGAAATTGGAAGGAGGCCCTTGTTATCGGCTCCAATTTGTTATAAATATCCACACACTGAAGATGACGCTCATAAATGCAGCACAACGCCTCAACATTTCTGCTGTCTGTTAAGTTGCTAATATTAAAATCAAAATAGGCAGTTCCTTAAATCATGTTTACATTTTATTGTTGAAAAAGTGAAACAACGTAGCCAGAGTGATGTGAATGAAGTTATAAAGTACGCTGTTCCCTTTGAAGATTTACCCGTGTCCTCGGTATAGTCTGTTTTCCATATCAAACTGAGAAGAAGAGACTGCAGCCTTGATCAAACTTGCGAAGTCTTAACTTACACTGAGAAGATGCGAGACTGAACTGTATGTTAGGCTACTTAATATCGAGGAAAAGCCCCAATCAGAGAGGCGAATGTCGGCAGCCCCGCCTCCGTTTTCAGATGTCTCTGTTTTCCATCATCCACACTGAGACGGAGCAGCAGCGTTTCAGAATGAAAACGGCCTCTCCAGCGTTTTCGAAACGCTCCGTTTTCGGCGCTCGAGAACTCCGGCGTAGTGTGGACGGATGGCGTAACCTTAGCAAAACTTATGCGTTTTCAAACTAAAACGCATTAGTGTAAACGGGGCCTAAGTCATATATCAGAACAATTTCACATATTAAATCAATGCACCCTATGGCACCATGTTTAAGAATTGGGTTAATAGGCAGACTGTGGGTGGTCCATGATTGCATTTGACCACCTGAGCCACTACACCATAAGTCACTAGGCAGACTAGTCCAGGTCTGGACCCAGAAGGCCTTTGATGCACACCCAGACCTACAGCCTAGAGGTCAGCGCAGGACTGTTTTTTTTTTCAGTCCTGCTGCCATTACTTTTTATTCTGCACCTGAACCAGACAGCATGATGAATAATGTTTCCATGATGATGCTGATAAAATAGCTTTCTGGAATGTTAATACAAGTGCATTGTTGCCCTTATAACACAAGAGTAATGTAAACAGAAGAAATTAATGCTCTAAACCACAGGTGTCAAAGCCAGTTCCGGGAGGGCCGCAGCTCTGCACAGTTTAGTTCCAACTTCAACTTCAACACACTCACCTGTAAGTTTCAAACAAGCCTAAAGGACACAACTGATTTGATCAGATGTGCTTAATTCGAGTTGGAATTAAACTGTGCAGAGCTGCAGCCCTCCAGGAACTGGCTTTAACACCTGTTCTCTGAACTGTTGAGTCACGAAGTAAAACAAAATTGGAAAAGTCAAGCTTTCCCTTCCTTTAATGTTCTTAATTTGAGCACTTCATTTGAACATACAATTTTTAATAATTTAGTTTAGCCCAGAACCCCTTCCTAGGTAGGTGACCAGGAGGCATCCAAAACAGATGCCGGAGACACCTCAACTGGCTTGCCTTGATGTAAAGGAGCAGCAGCTCTGTTCTGAGTTACTCCCGGGTGACAGAGCTCTCTAATAATGTGCCTTGCCAACCTGTGAAAGAAACTCACTTCAGCCACTTGAATTCAAGATCTTGTTCTTTCGGTCATGGCAGTAAGCTCAGGAACATAGCTGAGAGCAGGAACGTAGGTTGAGTAGTAAATTGATGAAAGTAAATCGAGTGCTTTGTCTTTATGCTCCGCTCACTTTTTACCACAACAGACTGGTACATTGACCAAATTGCTGCTGTTGTTGCACCAGTCTGTGTCAATCTCATGTTCCATCCTTGCCTCCCTCATGAACAAAACCCCAAAATACTTGAGCTCCTCCACGTGAGCTAAGGACTCTCTTCCAACCTGGAGTTGGCAAGCTACCTTTCTCCTCTCAAGCACAATTGGTGCTGATTTTCATCCTCGCCGTGTCCCACTCAGCAGCAAACTGTCTCAGTGCATGTCGAAAGGTCCAGGTCAGATGAAGCTATGAGAACAATAACATCTGCAAATAAATGCAGTTGAAATCCTGTGGTCCCTGAATTAGACCCCCTCTTGCTGTAGACTGTGCCTACTGTAGAAATTCTGTCCAAAACATGACGAAAGGAAGCTATGTGCACTGGGAACAAGTCTGATTTATTGCCGGCAATGCCAACCAAACCATAGAGACCAGACGAACTTTAAGCATTTCATTGCCCACAGAATGCCACGATGGACATAGTTGAATACCTTTTCTAAGTCTACAAAGCACCTGTGGACTGAACAGGTGACTCCCATGAAACCTCAAACACACTAGAGAAGAGGGTGCAGAGCTGTTCCACGACCTGAACAAATTCTGCATTGTTTCTCCTGAATCTGAGGTTTAGCCATCAGCCTCATTGACCTCTCCAGTACCCTGGCACAGACTTTTCTAGGGAGGCTTCAACACATGGGAGCTATCTCCTGTCAGAACAATTCAACCTCCCGCATTTATTCAGAATCCTTCCTTGTCAGTGAGGTGACATTCCATGTCCCGAGAGCTAGTTGCTGTGTCTAATGCACTGGCTCCTTCTGCAGGAGGTGTGTGACAGGTGGAGGGTACCACATCACTCTTTGTGGCTGTGCCAGCCCGGGTTCCATAGGGAAGACTGCAATCCCCAAACCCAGGCCTGGCTCCAGGGTGGGGCCCAAGTTGCATCATGGCAATGTCCCTCACTTTGACTTTACTCAAAAGGTGTATTTTTAATCTTTTTGGTCTGCCTTAACAACCAAAACCTTTTTTTGGAAGCAAGTACCAAAGCATTTATATCTTTTTAGGTTTATTCAAACCCTTTCACCCAGAGAAGGTGGTGATTTGTGGAAAGGCCAGACTACAACAAAATCTTGTTAAAACTTACAGTAATGCACACGTTTTGCTAAACATATTTGATGAATGGATGGATAGAAAGAAAGAAAGAAAGAGAATATGTTCTGCTGTTCAAATTAAAAGCAACTACTCGACCAAATCAGTCTCTTTGTACTCCTAGAAATGAAACCCAAATAGTATCATCTCTGGCTTTGCTTGGAAGCAGAAGTCCTGGTTTTGAACTGCAAGCTGGTGAAGAGACACATGTACCATCAGGATTCTCACCAAAGATTGTTCTTCACCGTATTCCTATAACACCTACCTCATCTCCAGCTAGAGCACCCACAGCCTCTCAAACATCGGCAGATGGGCAGGTACTGTACACACCGCCATCAAATAAATTATCTATAGGCAAACCATTGTGTTGTAATGAGTGCAATTTTGACATCTTTCATCTGAGGCATTTTTAATAATATCATATGCTCTGTTGTTCAGTCTCCTCAAAGCAGCCCTTCTGCTGGGGAATCTTCTAAGGATCCAGTTCAGGTGTCTCAGTTCTTCCTGGATGATATCTTCACTGAAGTCGAGGATACCGACTAATCATTTGTGATTTTTTGGGTAATTTTCACTGCTGCTATTTCTGTTCATTGCACTATAGAGTGAACAATGTTACACTAATTTACTGAAAGAGTGGCTGTGAGCAATTTTAATAGTTTGTCTAATTTCATTTTGTTTATGATGGAAAAAAAATGTCTGTTGAATTTTTCTGCAATTCTTTATTCTTTTTGTTGATGTTTAATCACAGCTCTTATTTATTTCTATTTATTTACTATTGAACATCACTCACAGTCACATTGTGTCACCAGTGTGATTTTTACTGACTGATTTTGAGTTTAAAGCTCTTGTGTTGTTCAGTGGAAATATATTTGTTTTTAATGGTTAACATGTTATTTCTTGTGTTTTTCTTTGAGATTGAAGCTTTACAATATCTTTCTCCAGTAAGAAATAACCTTTCAATTGTCAGTTGTTTTGGCTGTATGTGGCAGTCTGGATATCACAGCAGTTTAGTAATTAGAAACAAATGAAATGAACAAATAAATAAATGGATTCAACTTTTTCCAACTTTTTTTTTATATTGTGAACTCTAAATTATTTTGATTTAAATGAAACAGAATTTTAGTTTTAAATGTTTAGCTCTCAGGAAAAAAGGAAATTTAATCACCTTTTACTCATGAGTGCCTCCAAACCTTTGTAAGTTTTTTTTTTTATTTTATTTTATTTTTTTATGTCGAACCATAAAAAGGTTTTGAAGAATTTTGGAAACCAGTAGTTATTGATATCCATATGATAAAAAACACCAACTATAGAAGTCAATGTACACCAGTTTTCAATTATTTTGTTAAGTCTTTCTTTTGAACAGAAGAACCTCAAACTAATCTGGAACAAAATGGTCAATTAAATGTTTTGTTCACTGTCCCTTTCATTTTAAATTTGACTGGGTAAAAAAAAAAAAAAAGAGTAAGGAGCTTTTTTATTAATTCGTATATTTATTTATTAGCATGTGGTGATAGTTTTAAAGTGAAAAAAAGGCATTTAAACTAGTTTTAACAAAATACAGAGCCTGCTAATTCTACACTCACCAGCCACTTTATTAGGTACACCTATCCAACTGCTCATTAACAAATTTCTAAGCAGCCAATCTCATGGCAGCAACTCAATGCATTTAGGCATGTAGACATGATCAAGATGATCTGCTGCAGTTCAAACCAAGCATCAGAATTGGGAAGAAAAGTGATTTAAGTGACTTTGAACGTGGCATGGTTGTTGGTGCCAGACGGGCTGGTCTGAGTATTTCAGAAACTGCTGATCTAATGGAACTTTCATGCACAAACATCTCTAGGGTTTACAGAGAATGGTCCGAAAAAGAGAAAATATCCAGTGAGCGGCAGTTCTGTGGGCGTAAATGCCTTGTTGAGGTCAGAGGAGAATGGCCAGACTAGTTCGAGCTGATAGAAAGGCAACAGTAACTCAAATTACCAACCGAGGTATGCAGAAGAGCATCTCTGAATGCACAACATGTCAAATCTTAGGCGGATGGAATACAGCAGCAAAGGACCACACCGTGTGCGACTCCTGTGAGCTAAGAACAGGAAACTGAGGCTACAATTCACACAGGCTCACCAAAATTGGACAATAAAGTATTGGAAAAACGTTGCCTGATCTGATGAGTCTCGATATCTGCTGTGACATTCGGATGGTAGGGTCAGAATTTGGCACCAAGCACACAAAAGTGTGGATCCATCCTGCTTTGTATCAATGATTCAGGCTGGTTTCCTTGGTACACTTTGGGCCCATAATTACCAATTGAGCTTCGTGTCAACGCCACAGCCTCCCTGTGTATTATTGCTGACCATGTCCATCCCTTTGACTACAGTGTACCCAATTTCTGATGGCTACTTCCAGCGACATAAGGCAACATGGCATAAAGCGTGAATCATCTCAGACTGATTTCTTTTACATGACAATGCGGTTACTCTACGCAAATGGCCTCCAAAGCCATCAGATCTCAATCCAATAGAGCACCTTTGGGATGTGGTGGAATGGGAGATTCACATTATGGATGTGCAGCTGACCAATCTGCAGCAACTGCGTGATACTATTATGTTAATATGGACCAACATTTCTGAGAAATATTTACAGTGCCTTGTTGAATCTATGCCATGTATGATTAAGGCAGTTCTGGAGGCAAAAGGGGGTCAATCTAATAGTAGTAAGATGTACCTAATAAAGTGGCCGGTGAGTGTACTGATTTGTGTATTTTGATTGTAAAAAGTGGAAATTGTAAATGTATGCAGATTTATTCATTTTTTTTGTCTTTTAACACGATTTTCATAAATGGTGGATCATTTGTTACATATTTTTATGCTGTAGTTAGGAAAAGACGAGATTTTTTGTATTAGGAAACGTTTCATTTTTTTCTAGATTAAATGCATATTTTTTAAGTACATAAAATGAAAAGGTCTGTTATTGTTGTTTTTATTAGGGTATTTATACATTTATTTAATTTATTCAATTATCTAATTTGTAAATAATTATCTAATACTTACAGAACTACAAAGAACTTTCTTCTTTTTTTCTGCCATATGACTTTATGCTGGCATGCACTAAATTCCAGGGGTTTCATTACCACGACGTAAAATGGGCGTGGCTCGGTCGGTGTTTGGGAAACGCCCCCTTAAAAAAAAACAATACTGAGAGGTCACCGATCATGCGCAGTACAGGTTCTTTTTTAGCGCGGTCATTTCAAACAGGATGATAATGGATAAAGAACCTACCGCGGTGGATAACGAGGGAAAAAACAATCATACAGGTTGTTTTTTTGGTTTTATAATGTTATATTTTAAAGATTTCATTAGCAAAAACGGCTGACCTCGTTTTACTCCGTTTTACTGTCTCTGGGCTTTTGTACTTCCATTTTAAACCAAATAATAATGGTTGTGGTAAGATTAACCGTGTTTTTGTAGTTTAAAATATGGTATTCAGTCATGTTTAAACAAATAAATACCACATTTTCTGTAATAAATCGTGGTTAATTTTTCTTTCTCGATCTTAGTTAATTAACATAACACATATTTATTTTCTATTTTTATTTAAAGTCATCATACACAAAACAACTGGGATCAGGACAGGTATCTGATGTTACTGTATATAATATAAAAGTGATCATACATGAAACACCTGGGATCAGGACAGGTATTTGATGTTAATATATATAAAAGTGATCATACATGAAACCCCTGGGATCAGGACAGGTATCTGATGTTAATATATATAAAAGTGATCATACATGAAACACCTGGGATCAGGACAGGTATCTGATGTTACTGTATATAATATAAAAGTGATCATACATGAAACCCCTGAGATCAGGACAGGTATCTGATGTTACTGTATATAATATAAAAGTGATCATACATGAAACACCTGAGATCAGGACAGGTATCTGATGTTAATATATATAAAAGTGATCATACATGAAACCCCTGAGATCAGGACAGGTATCTGATGTTACTGTATATAATATAAAAGTGATCATACATGAAACACCTGAGATCAGGACAGGTATCTGATGTTAATATATAAAAAAGTGATCATACATGAAACACCTGGGATCAGGACAGGTATCTGATGTTAATATATAAAAAAGTGATCATACATGAAACACCTGAGATCAGGACAGGTATCTGATGTTAATATATATAAAAGTGATCATACATGAAACACCTGGGATCAGGACAGGTATCTGATGTTAATATATATAAAAGTGATCATACATGAAACACCTGGGATCAGGACAGGTATCTGATGTCAACTAATATAAAAGTGATCATACATGAAACACCTGAGATCAGGACAGGTATCTGATGTTAATGTATATAATATAAAAGTGATCATACATGAAACACCTGAGATCAGGACAGGTATCTGATGTTAATGTATATAAAAGTGATCATACATGAAACACCTGAGATCAGGACAGGTATCTGATGTTAATATATATAAAAGTGATCATACATGAAACACCTGAGATCAGGACAGGTATCTGATGTTAATGTATATAAAAGTGATCATACATGAAACACCTGAGATCAGGACAGGTATCTGATGTTAATGTATATAAAAGTGATCATACATGAAACACCTGGGATCAGGACAGGTATCTGATGTTAATGTATATAATATAAAAGTGATCATACATGAAACACCTGAGATCAGGACAGGTATCTGATGTTAATGTATATAATATAAAAGTGATCATACATGAAACACCTGAGATCAGGACAGGTATCTGATGTTAATGTATATAATATAAAAGTGATCATACATGAAACACCTGGGATCAGGACAGGTATCTGATGTTAATGTATATAATATAAAAGTGATCATACATGAAACACCTGAGATCAGGACAGGTATCTGATGTTAATGTATATAATATAAAAGTGATCATACATGAAACCCCTGGGATCAGGACAGGTATCTGATGTTAATGTATATAAAAGTGATCATACATGAAACACCTGAGATCAGGACAGGTATCTGATGTTAATGTATATAAAAGTGATCATACATGAAACACCTGGGATCAGGACAGGTATCTGATGTTAATGTATATGATATATAAAGTTTTTGGCACAAAAGCCGTGGGATCGGGACAGGTATCTTAAGTTATAACAGTATTAATGTAATCTGAGAGGTATCTTAAGTTAATTTGTTTAATATAACATTCACTGACTTCACATGAAACACCTGCGATCAGGACAGCTATTTTGTACTGCATATAAAAGGCATTGGACACGAAACCCCTGCAATACGTACAGGTATCTGAATCCAACGGCTGTTTTCACAATCTGCGCATGATCCGTGACCTATGCAAATTCACAGATAGGCCACGCCCACCCGATGACGCAGTAGCGGTTACGCTGTACTGAAACCCCTGGAAAAAAGTGCCTGCCACTTTATGCTAGTGATAGTGCAAGGAAAAGGGGCTGTTCCTGTTCCAGCAGTTCTCATTGGCAGAGAGGAGAAGCGAGCAAAACTTCATGGTTAACTGTTTGCTCTCCGTCTCCGACCGAATAGAAGCGGTGAGGTCAGAGGACGCTACAGCCAGAGTTCGTCCTTTGAGGATGAACCATGATTCTGCACTATGCAAAACCGGTAGTTTCTCTCATTCGGAGCAGGAGTGTTAATGCTGCCGTCTCCAGATTATACCATGCGGATAAAGTGGCGACAGTGGGCTCGCAGCCTGACACACAGTCTCCGGTATTTCAGGTAGGCCGCGAAAGGAGCCTCGGCCTCGAGTTACTGCTATCTGCCGATAGTTATGCATGTTGTGTCCTTGGTCACCACATAAAACACTGCTACAGACGTTAAATATGTTTACTCTCTCTACGTTATGGGTGATAATAGACTGGGAAATAAGTTTGATAAAGTACATAATATACAACAAGAAGAGGAAACGTATTTGAATCCTTCACTAAAAGGTTGAGACTACTTTAAGCATGCAGATGTGTATTAATGTGCATATCTACAGAGGACATCAATATTTTATACTACATTTGTAATGAAAATACAGTGCGTTTAAACGTATGGAAAACTGAATGTTATGTGTATTTTAATGTGACATGATTACGTTTTACTGACAGAAGGAAACTTTTCTCAAGTGCCTTTGATTAGTTTTGTTTTCTGAAACAACTACTTGAATTTATCAAAGAATAGTTTGAAGTAAATTGGAAATAATTGATCAGATTTAATTATTTTTATTTGATATTCATCAAAGAATTATCAAGGTCGTTCTCAACTATAAACATTTTTATACATATATTATATATATATATATATATATATATATATATATATATATATATATATATATATATATATATATATATATATATATATATATATATATATTATAACAAACACCTGCTATGAGGTCACCAAGGTCAATGTCAGAAAAAAAAATTTACGTGGCGACACCACTTTATAACATTTAAAAAATATACAAGTTATGATTATTTATACAATAAACTGAATACACAAACCAGCAATTCTTTCACATCATAGGAAAATTATGAGCGAATGCAAGCACTGGTGAAGGAGTTGAAGGACAGAGCAGAGAAGATCAAACTAGGTGGGCAAGTTTAAAGTATTTACTTTAAAACATTAAACAGTGAGTAAAACTATGCCATGAGGGTATATTGTGGCAGATTTAGCATATTCACACACCAATGCTTACACAACACTGTCACTTTTACAGGAGGTGGAGAAAAAGCAAGAAACCTACACACATCCAGAGGAAAGCTCCTTCCCCGGGAACGTATTGACAGGCTGTTGGATCCTGGGTAAAAACAAATGTACTGGCTGCATTTGAAAGCACATACTCTTAAAGTTAAAGTGGTGGTCAAGCATCTGTTTTTATACGGTCGCTTGAATTTTTATTTTTTTTTATTAACTTAACTTAAATTGTACCTATTCACTGTACATCTAGTTACACAAATGTTACAAATATTAAGTAAAAAAAAATCAATAACAAAAAAAACAAATATTTAAAGAAAACAAAATAAAAATAAATATCCCAAATCATAAGAAAATTGTGTAGAGTGTTACATAGGTGCACCAAAAGATGATCAAAAGATCTGATCATTCGAAAGTATTGCTTATAATGATAATATAAATTTTTTTCAGGAATTCAGTTGTTTTGGCAGCTTCTTATTTAACCATAATAAAGTTTCAAGTCAATTCAAAATGCTCTAAAATTAGATGCTGTTTTTGTTCTTAAAGAGTCATGAAACCCCCCTCTTTCGGTACAAGTCTTCCTCTGAATTTATTCATAAAATGCTCCAAAATGGGCACGGAGGGCTACAAGTAGATGGAAGAGTGGGTGTGTCCAGCAGAGCAGGAGAAAAAGGGGAGCGAATGTCAGTTGGCTTGCAAAATGAGACTCAAACCGTGAGGACACACATTATTTTATAGTTTACAAAGTTAAAATGCTAAGAAATAACAGTAAGTAATTTAATGACCTGCCACTTTTGTTATTCATAATTTCATATACACAAAACCACAATTTGTTATATCATTATAAAGATTATCCTGTTTATAAAAACACTATAAACGAGGAGGACTTCTCTCCTCCTGAATTTTAAATATAGGCGAACACAGCAGCACGGATATAGGCGATGTGTCTGAATGGTAACAAACTCAGCTGATAAAAGATGAAGTCTGTCATTCTCCAATTCTCGTACAGCTTTCCAGACAAAAATGCTTGCTGCAAACCAACAGCTTAGCTGTATCGGCCCTGACAGAATTGCGGGGAAAACATGCAACAAACCCCATTGATCAACAAAAACATATGACCTGTGCCATGCAAACGCGGTCTCAGCCAGTCATTGGGTCTCACAGCTTGGCAGGTCTGCCTTCAGAAAGCATGTACTCTCATAATTAATTAAGAAGCAGGGTCTTCTCATAGGCTAAGAAAACTCTGCTATGATTAATAATGAGAAATTGAGGTATCATCACTCCACTAGCAGATTTGGCCTACGTCGCCAATTTTGATCCCATGCCAAAAATTATTTTAAACCCGGAGGATGAAATTAGCAGACAAAAGCTCAAAATTCTCCAGTTTTTACCACAATTAACGCTGACAGGTACTAACGTTGTCCTAAATGATGCTCAACACACACAAATCTGTTAAAATAGTCTGTTGACTTCCTAGTTTTGTGAAGCTCCTCCCTGAGAAATACACAGTGAGTTCTAATTGGTCAGTTGAGCCATTGCATTCTTATTCACTGAGCAAAGAGCAGGGGTGTCCAAACTCGGTCCTGGGTCCTGCATAGTTTAGCTCCAACTTTCTTCAACACTCTTGCCTGGAAGTTTCAGTACACCTAGAAAGAGCTTGATTAGCTGGTTTAGAGATGTTTAATTGAAGTTGGAACTAAATAATGCAGGACGCTGAGTTTGGGCACCCCTGACATAGAGGGTGCGTTCCATTAGGAAGGGTCCTTCTGAAGGGATTAGAGCAGAGATGCCCAAAGGTGGGTCTGCGGGCCAAAGTTGGCACATTGTAACCTTTGATTTGGCCCACCATCCCATCTGAGAAAAGAAATGAGAAGGATGGAGTGGGTTGTGGCGAATGTCTTTAAAAGAGATCATCATTTCTAATTTGACTTTTTAGTTTGTTTGTTTTATTGCTGAGCTACAAAAAAACCACACTGAAATTAAATGTTGTAAATAAATCAGATTTTTTTTAAATGTAAAAAAAATGTCACTTGACTGATAGAGGACTATGCAAAAGACATCAGTGAGCAAATCAAAGCAACAACTAGTATAACTCCATTCTGTTATACATTAGATGTATTTACTGTAATAAGTTCATTTTAAAATGTAAAATAAGTGATTCAGTATTAGTTATCATAAAGCAATGTTTTCTACTTTTAAATATTATTAAATAAATAAGGAAATTTCCCATGGCAACTACATTTATCTTTGGCCCACTAGCCTCCATCAAGTTTGGTTATTAGCCCTTTATAAGAAAAAGTTTGGGCACCCCTGGAATGAGTGAAGTGTGTGACACCAAAGGATCATGGCCTGAAGTGTCTGCCAGTTACATTTTTCAAAATTCTTCATTCCCAAAAGGCCCTTAGAAGTGGCCAGTTTTGAGCACTTTGGTTTGGAATGACACTTTTTCATATGGCAACCTTTATTTTTTTTTCACTCCGAAGTGCCTTTTCGAGGGCAATGTATCCCATTTGGAATGCACCCATAGTGTATGTTGAAAGAAATGTGACACATGGGGGTGATAGAAAACTATAAAGACTCCAGAGAACTCTTAGTGGTAAGATAAAATGTTTTGCTAGTGCAGGCCTAGGTTTACTACTTTTATTATTCTGTTTTTCACCGATAGTATATGTGATTTCAGATGCAGTCTATGTTATAAACAAACTAAAATGCCATTACTGAAATGTTCCTGACTCTTCAATTTCAGACTGAACTTGTTTTACTGTTTACCTGAATGCAGGTCTCCTTTTCTGGAGTTTTCTCAGTTTGCTGCCTATCAGTTATATGGTAAGGAGGAGGTTCCTGCAGGAGGCATAATCACTGGTATTGGTCGAGTATCAGGGTGAGGAGCAAACAATAAACACACACACACACACACACACACTATGTTTGCAATAGTAATACCATGCAAGAGATGAATTCTAACACCCTGTTTGTCTGTATACCACAGGGTGGAATGTTTAATAGTTGCGAATGACGCTACTGTGAAAGGTGGAACGTATTATCCAGTTACTGTAAAGAAACACCTCCGTGCACAAGAGATCGCACAGCAAAACCATCTGCCATGCATATACCTGGGTGAGTCTTCTGTGAGGGTTCATGTTATGTATAAAATCTTTCTACTGATGCTTGGAGTTTTAGAAGTGAGATGTACTCGGATCTGTTTTTTTCTCTAGTGGATTCTGGAGGAGCCAATTTACCCAGACAGGCAGATGTGTTTCCAGACAGAGATCACTTTGGACGGATCTTCTTTAACCAGGCCCGCCTTTCCTCAGAGGGAATTTCACAGGTCTTTTTTATTAATATAGTTTTTTTTGTGTGTTGTTTTGTTTTGCTAGTTGGATTTCAATTAGAATGGCTTTAAAAATTTCATACACCATGGTAATTCAAAATGCTTTACAATATCAAGAAGATTAAACTAATAAAATTATCACATAGTAAATATAAACAACAAATAATTGAAATGGGTGATTCATTCTAATGTGGCGAGCCCTGATAAAGCAGGGACAAAGTTGAAGGAGAGTCAGGGAGTGAGAATTAAAATGATTAAAAGGAATTTATAAATATTTTCCAACGTTTATCTTAACTAAAATGCTAAAAGCTCACACAAAAATATAATAAAAGAGAGAAAGTCACATTGTTTTGGTATGTGGTGTGCTTATTATTTAGATTATAAAGAATTTGGGTTTAGATTTTATTTTAGTCTTGTTCTTATTTGCAAGACATATGCGTCAAAACAGGCTCATGTTTATGACTGAGGTAACTGATATGCGTTATGAATAAGTACCCTATGTATTATTCAGTCACAAGATGGCGCCAAACAGGCGTGACAGACAAGCATATACAGTTTATCAGTGTTTCTCAACCACGTTCCTGAAGGACCACCAGCCCTGCACATTTCCAGGTCTTCTTAACCAAACAAACCTGATTTAGATCAATAGTTCATTAGCAGAGACTGAAAAACCTGTAATAGGAGTAATAGACAAAGGAGACATCCAAAACATGCAGTGTTGTGTGATTTTCCAGGAACATGGTTGAGAAACACTGCAGTATATAAATCTATTCCTCAAACGACAAGCTGATTTGTGAGAATAATATACCTTGGGATGTTGTGATTGACCAGTCGGAATCAAGTATTCCAGATTGTAATATTCCTGTGTGTATATTTCTATTCCTGTGTAATAGTTAAAGTTAATGTAATTTACTAGTTTCTGTTAATGGACTCTCTTCACATTTCTGGCTTTTCAGAAGTGATTGTTGGGTAAACTTCTTCAGTGGTAAACTGAAACTACAGCAAATGTAGCGCAATGTTCACACTGGCTTAGAAAGCACATATAAATCAGAAGAAGCATTTTTCTGACTTTTTAAACAAACAAAATCATAAAGAGATTATTTACACTGGTCGGATGACAGAAAGATTTCAAATTTGGATAAACAAAGCAATTCCAATAGGGCCTACGCACCGTTTCGGTGCTCGGTCCGTAATTAAGTCCTTTGCTGTACTAAAAGCCCTTATAGTAACATGTAGTACTTTTGTTATTTAAAGCTGTTACTTACCTCAGCATTAGCATTATAAATTAAATATGTTAATTTAAATAATATTATTGTTAATAACATGGAAAATGCATTATTAGTCTTAAAATCAGATTTTAAAATAATAATCATTTTCATTTATAAAAAAAAATACCATTAGAAATATCTAAGCCAGTATGAGATGTCTTTATTTACTTGGCTTTGACATTGACAACCATTAATATGAGTTAATTTTCATTATAGATCCATAAGTGAATATAAAATGCTGGTGCATGACATAAACTGTTTTTCTACATCTGTTTTAAAAGGAGCTGATGCATCATGGTAAAACTGTTTTACCTGTAATATTTCAGATTGCTGTTGTGATGGGCTCCTGTACAGCAGGGGGCGCCTATGTGCCTGCCATGGCTGATGAGAGCATCATAGTTCGCAAACAAGGGACCATTTTTCTGGGTGGACCCCCATTGGTATGAGCTAACATCCTAAGTTGGATTCAACTGCTTAAGTTTAAGCAGTAGTAAATGTTCAGTTGTGTTTTGAACAGGTAAAAGCTGCTACAGGTGAAGAGGTTTCTGCTGAAGACCTGGGAGGCGCAGATCTTCACTGCAGGTTTGAGAATCACTTGGATGTTTGTATTAATATAATGCTTGATTTTATGCTTATTTAGTCTTGTTTGAACATTTGTGTCTCCTCAGAAAGTCAGGCGTAACTGATCACTACGCCCTGGATGATAATCATGCCCTTCATCTTGCACGGAAAGCCGTACGAAGCCTGAACTACAAGAAGAATCTGGATGTGAGGACACACTGCTCTCGTGTTCTTAGAGATAATTAATCTCTCTGATATTTTTTTCTTTTGCTGATTTTGTTCTATCGGCCAATATTTATTAGGTTACTGTTGAACCTCCTGAAGCTCCTCTGTTTCCTGCTGATGAGCTGTATGGAATTGTGGGTGACAACCTCAAACGCAACTTCGACATTCGTGAGGTATTGGTCACGACTTGATCACTGGGATACAAAAATATTAAGCTGCATCAAGAGACAGAACTTAAAGACCGTTCTGACTTTCAGGTCATCGCTCGTATTGTTGATGGCAGTAAATTTGATGAATTCAAGGCCTTCTATGGAGATACACTCATCACAGGTTGATGTTTTACCATAATCATCTTTTTGTACGTAAATTCCAACATTAATTTTTTAACATGTTTTGTTAATTTGCTTTTAAGGGTTTGCACGGATATTTGGCTACCCAGTGGGAATTATTGGCAATAATGGTGTACTGTTCTCAGAATCTGCTAAGAAGGTCAGAATCACTTCATTGTAGTTCTGAATCAGATAAATTTATAAATATTAAACATTTCCTATTTTCTATCAGCCTTCATACACAATGTAACTACAGAAGAGTCAAGCTTTAAATATGAAAATTGTCTGAACCAAACTTTTTTTTTTTTTGAGTGAGATGCTAATCTGATTCAATGATTTATGCTAAGCTAAGCTAAAAGTCCCAGAACCGAGGATCAGTTGACTGAATTAAAAAAAGGAAATACTCAACTGTTAAACTTGTAAAACGAGTCTTTCCAAAAAAAGTGGAATGTTCCTTTAAGACAGGGGTCACCAAACTTGTCTCTGGAGGGCTTGTGTCCTTGGAGTTTAGCTCCAACCCTAATTAAACACACCTGAACAAGCCAATCAAGGTCTTACTAGAGTTGTGTCCCAAGTGGCACACTATGCACTTTTGCACTATGTACTTATGCACTTGCACACTCTACAGCAGAGCATATGTATGTAGTGTCATCCCAAATGGAACACTAATGTTTTTTTTTTTTTACTTAGAGGAAATACAAACCATGTCCCTGATGACGTTTGACGGTTGCCAAATTATTTATATAAATGACCAGACTACTAAATAATACCTGCCATGAGTATAACCGCATTCACCATCTTGAGGCGATATAATCACTCTTGAAGGAGAATTTTACTTTCACAATCCAAAATAAATAAAGCAATCCAACATGAGTACCCGCTTCGACCCTTTCGCTACATGAGCAAAGCAGCAGCCATTGACTTTGTAAAGTGTCCAACTTACCACACTTGATTTTAAAGATTAAACATGTGAATATGCGGGTAATTTAAAGTGCACAATTTATTTTTAATTATTATTATTATTATTTTTTGAGTTTTCAGTGTGATTGCACTACTTACACTATTTATACTAAAAAATGGCATAGTGCCTGAGTATGCAATTTGGGACGCACCTTAGGTATACTTGAAAATTCAGGCAGGTGTGTTGAGGCAAGTTGGATCACAAAAATAAGAGAGGAGAACTGCAAAAATAAAACCCCACCCTGTACTTAATATTCCTTTTTAGTTGGAAATAATTCATTATGTCTAATGTGTATATCTAATATAATTATAACAGAACAATGTCTAATCAAGAAAACAAGATTAGAAATACCAGAACCCTACAGTAGCAATTACAGAGCAACTGTAAGGCAGAGAATCTATTGCTTTTGAATAGAATAGTTCCCATAAAGTACATTCAAAAACCTAGTCTATGTCATCCATGTTTTTGTGTGTGTGCGCTTGAAACTCAAATTAGTTGATATGTGTCACCCATCAAGTTGTTTTCCATTGATGGATAGACAGTGTGTACCTTTTTAAATGACCGCTACAATAAAAAATTATATTTTATAGGGAACTCATTTCATTGAGCTTTGCTGTCAGAGAAACATTCCACTCCTCTTTCTTCAAAATATTACAGGTCAGTATTTATACTTCATCTGAACAGTTACGATACTGATACTGAGAGTATACAAATGTTCTCATATGCCCAGTGTAATTGCCTTTATCACATAATGTTCTCTGTCTTTTCCTCAGGCTTCATGGTTGGCAGGGAGTATGAGGCTGGCGGTATTGCTAAAGATGGGGCTAAAATGGTGACTGCTGTGGCCTGTGCCAATGTGCCTAAAATTACCGTCATCATTGGAGGATCGTATGGCGCAGGGAACTATGGAATGTGCGGCAGAGCGTATGGGTAAGCTTTATTAATGAACAGTATTTTCTGAACATCCCTGCTCGGGTACAACAGTAAAAATAAGTTTAATGTGTCTGATTAACTAAGAATATAGTTGAGGAGCTTGAAATAAACAGCCTCATGAAAGTGTCTCTGTGTTCATTTCACAGGCCCAGGTTCCTGTACATGTGGCCTAATTCACGCATCTCAGTGATGGGAGGAGAGCAGGCCGCAACTGTCCTGGCCACCATCACCAAGGATCAGAAGGCCAGAGAAGGAAAAGAGGTAAAAGATGAAAAACTAAACAAATTTACTTATCTTGTTTAGTGAATTTTACCTAACTTTTTATTTTTTATTTTTTAAAGAATCTTTTTAAATAAATGTTTATAATTTGTGGTGATTTTCCAGTTTACTGCAGAGCAGGAAGCTGCAATGAAAGAACCAATTATCAAACGCTTTGAAGAGGAGGGAAACCCATATTATTCCAGTGCCAGGTAAATAGGTTGATGTCAATATGTTTCAGTGTTCAGTACAATATTGTTCAAATGTTGGTGGGTAATTTTGTAAAAAATATTTTTGATGCACTCACTAAGCAACCCTTTATTGGGAAAAAAAGAACAACATTAAAAAACAACTGATATTAAAAAACAACCACAATAAAATAACTAATTTATTAACAAAATTAACAAGTATATTTTAAAATGTAATATGTAAATGTAACATTTGTTTGACGGCCTAACTGAAATTTTTGCAGTTTTAACTGTCATGTGATCCATTGGAAACCACTCTAATATGCTGATAGAATGCTGAAACAGTAATTTATTATTTTATAACAAGGGATTTGTTGATTTATTTTTTTAAACAAAGGTACAATTTGGCTTTGGGTACATTAATAATTATTAAGGTTAATATATTATTTTTGTTTTATATAGATTTGTTTTGTAAAGTAAATGTCTTTAATACTGGCCTGAAAGGGCACATCAAACATAAGTTCAGAACACAACCATAACGATTTAAATATCAAGGGAAACAATATAATTGAATACATTTTCAGGATCTTTTTTTTTATTCCAGCTTATTAAACAATAAAACACTGACAGCCAGAATCAGAATCCATTGAAATATAATCAGCTTGCAAAATGTAAAGCTACAGACCAAATTGTAGAGAAGCACAACACTGTTTGATGTCAAGCCTGCTTTTCAAAGATTAATTAATTACATTTACTATCTAGAATACAATTTGTTGTATCATGGAAAATATAAAAAAATATACATGGAGGTTTTGCAGGTTAAGCTGGGAAACTGAAGTAAAAAAATACCTTTGTAAAAAAATATTTTTTTTTATTCCACTACACTGACTGTGATTGCTAAAGTCTCTGTTGGATTAGACCGATTACAAGAGCTGTATTCACTGGTCAGATGTGCTAGAAACACAGCACACCGAAGACATCTGCTAACTAATGCAAAAATGAAAAAGCATAATCTAAAAATAAACAGCGTTCTTGTTTGCTGGTCTGGACATAAATATAGTAAAATATTATAATTATAGGTCTAATCCTTGTTGTGAACAGCCCTTAATGTTTGAAATTGTACAATTTATGTTATGACCAAACAAGGGTATACTACTTTTTCACCACGTGCCTAGTCTGATTTTTGCTCTGTTGTACTTCCTCTAACCATTTAGATTGTGGGACGATGGGATCATTGACCCTGCCGACACTCGTCTTGTCCTGGGTTTGAGTCTAAGTGCTGCTCTTAATGCCCCGACACAGAAAACACGCTTTGGAGTCTTCAGAATGTGAATCTGGTTTTGTGAAAGATTAGACACTTGATTTTCTCTCCATTTTAGGCTCTACACACTAACTTGTTTCATCTTTGTATATTCGACGTCTACAGTAAAATCCATAAAACCAATTACAGATTGTTGTGTTTCATATGATGTGTGGATATCTGGTTGTTTTTAAGTATAATATGTGTACTTGCAGTATTTGTTCTTTATATGGTCCAACATCTCTTATAGTTAACTATAGTCAGTAGTTTAAAGACTGAGTTGTTGTCCATTTAGACAAATCATTTAATATTTTTAATAAATTCAATGTGCTGATTTTGGAAATCAAAATGACTTTACAACATGAAGACGCCAGAGATGTTTTGCTTATTTGCATTTATCTATGTATGAAAGGGTATAAGACTTATAAAGTTTAGTCTGTTTAGTTTAGCTGTTGTTTTTATAGTTGTAATTTTCATCTTAAATTATATTTCAAATGTTTGTAATTGTGTCAGCTTTTGTTGCCTATTTTAAAACTTTAAACCTTTCTATCTGTGTTTTAGTACTTTTAATACTTTAGCGTTTGTTGTATCACATAATTTCTTTTATTACAGTTGTCAGGGCAAATTTCCATGAACATTTTTTTATCCAATATTTGTATTTTTAATAAAGCTTTATTTCGATTAAAGATAAGTCAAAAGTCATAGAAACACTGGAGGAGACTTGAATGAACAACTGAAAAATTAAAGATTTATTTAAGAAAAATATACAGTGAGCCACATGATTATTTTTATAACAAAGCTTTAGATGAAAGATGCTTGATGAAAATGTACAAAAAGAGATGCAGATCTCATGACTCTACACTAACTTTGTGCACAGACACAAAATGGTCATATCCAGACAATATAACGAACCGCAAATGTGTTGCATTTGATACGTTTACCTGGAGAGAAAGGAAAAATTATGGGATCATGAGTGTATGCACCATGAAGTGTTTTACTGTATGTAGAGATTAAATGAAATGTGGCTAACTCACAGAAACATCGTTGGCCTGCAGGCTGCTTTCTATGTGCTCAAACTCTGAAACAAACAATATTTGAGTAAAAATGACGCTCAAAAATAAATAGGAAAATCATTGAGGTATAGTTGGTTTTATATTCGCACATTTTGACCTTCTCAATAAGAAAATTTCAGAAATGTTTTATTTGCGTATTCTATATAGCAAAATTATATTAGCAGCCAATAACTCAAAGTACAACAGGGTTCACAGTTTGTGGGTTTGCTGATGTTGTTGTAAAGTCATGCTTGTAATTTCAGACCGAATATCAAAAAAGTATCATGGTAAACATTATAGGGACAATGTCAAATTGCCATTGAATGAATGTGCGAATGTAAAACCAACTTTACCTCAGTAGGAAAATCAATGAATGACAGTGTAATACGAGTGGTTTCAGATCTACCTGTATCTGCAACTTCTTCAAAATGATCACCATCGTCGGATGTGCTCTTTTCTATCCTCAGTCTTTTAACTGCAATGAAATAAACTACATTAGACAACATTACATGAGATAACATCCCTTAAATGTTTGTTTTGAAAGCTCACTGTTGTAACTGTGAATGGAGACTGTGAGAATCTTCATGTTATCTGGGAAACGGATGATAAACTCCTGTGGAAACAGGCCTGTGGTAATCCAGAACGTCTCTTTTTTTCTATGGAAAGAAACAAAATATGTTAATGAGAGCAAAGATATTCGGTCAATGCTTTGTTAGCGTTAATGTTAGCTAAACTATGTTAGTTGGCTCATCATAGTCCACAAACCCGTCGATAATGTTCTCCGGTGGATGATTCTCGTCGCCCGATGAAGCCAGCACAACCTGAGCTCCGTATGAACTCAAAGCAGCATCCAGCATTTCGAGTTTTAGATATTTACAGATACATAACGTTAAACGTCAGAAGCAGCAGTTTTGACGCGGAGGAAATATGAGTTGCTTAGCAACGGCAAGCCCGAGTTGTTGTTGACGAGTCGTTTCTGTGAATCGGTTTGTTCGAGCGGTTCATTTCAAAGAACCGGTTACACAAAGGAAGCAGTTTAATTAATGACATGACTTTGTTTACTAATTATAATGCAAGTCTTTTTTGTTGTACTTTTATATATTCCAGTTTTATTACAGTCTCATTAGTTCATAAATAAGTAATTTAGGAGAAAAAAGTTTGTTTTGTTTTGCTTAAGTTTTTGCAATCAGTAATTTTAAATCCATTTTCCTTCAAATTTATTTACACTTTTTGAATTACGTTTTTATTAATGTTAATATTGTAAAAAAATATATATTATGAGCTTAGAAACGAAGCAAACTGTAAATAATAAAAAAAAACAATAATATACTCAAACACTAACACGGTTACAAAGAGACACAAAGAAAGAATATAAGAAGACATTTGTTTATGGACTAAACAAATATCAATAGCCAATAAACCTACATTTATCAATATGAAACTTGGCTAATATGAAACATAAATTAATTATGTACACTACCGGTCAAAAGTTTGGGGTCAGTATGATTTTTAAATTATTTAAAATAAGCTTCTCCTGCTCAACAAAGCTGCATTTATTTCATCAAAATACAGTAAAAATTGTGAAATGTTATTTACACTATAAAGAAACTGTTCAAAAGTAGTTTATCATTTAATTTAATCATTTATTCCAGTGATTTTAAAGATGATTGATTTTTAAGCTTCATTACTCCAGTCTTTAGAGTCACGTGATCCTTCAGAAATCACTATTAAAATTAATAATAATAATAATAATAATAATAATAATAATAATATTAATAATAATTATTATCATTATTTTATTAATCTTAATGGTAATTGTTAAAAGCAATAATGACTGGAGTAATAATTAAATTTGAAACTAAATACAATAAAAAAGCATTATTATTTTTTTTATAAATATTTAGCAATTAAACTTTATTTTTTTTACATTTAATAAATGCCACCTTGATGAATACAATAATTTCCTTTATAAAACATGAAAAAACTGACCCCAAACATTTGACTGTATGTTTTCCAAATATTATTTTGAATCGTGGAAAAAACACGTTTAAAACTAATTTCAAAGTCACTTATAAAATAACATAGATATATACATATCTATTATAAGACTGAATTAACGCCGCTCAAAAAATCTGACCAAATCTTTCTGTACATGAGCTTTGACAAAACAACCGAGTAAGTTTCCTTCGAATGTGCTTATCGAGCCATAAAAGATTCAGTACGACCGCTGAATGAATCTGCTAAAAAGATCCGACTCAAAAGAACAATTCATTAATTATGCCAGGACATGGCAAGGCAAGCGTCGCGTGATTTGTACGTCATCAGCAGCTGCGTTCATCAGAGTGGCGCACGTTGGACTTGGGAAATATTTAAAATTTTCATACATCCCCATGGCCAATGGTGCAGAAGATGTCGTATTTTGTCGTGGGACTGGTCAAGTATGTATTGAGCCTTTTAAAAGAAAAGAAAATTCGCTATGTTAGATTTAGCTAGACTCGTTCTTTAAACTGATGTGAGCATATATCTGATTCCTTTTACTCATTTTTAGTTGTTGTTTTGTTAGCTGCACATCTAATAGAAGTTATTTTTATATTCTTTACCTTTGTAATTTGGTCTTACAGTTAGGTAAAGGGATTGTTTACCCTAAACTGAAAATTCTGTAATCATTTACTCAGAAAGTAAAACCTGTAACCACTGACTTCCATAACATTTGTTTTTCCTACTATGAAAGTCAATAGTCACAGAGTTTCAGCTTTCTTCAAACTATCTTCTTTTGTGTTTAGCAGCTGAAAGAAACTCAAAAAGGTGTGGAACCAGTTGAGGGAGAATAAGTAACGTCAGAAGTTTTAGTTTTGAGTTAACTATCATTTTAGAAAAACACAACAAAACTGTAGCATATAAGAGTTGAGTGTTAAATGATTCCTTCTCTCTCTTCAGAGTGATGATTCTGACATTTGGGATGATACAGCTTTGATTAAAGCATACGATAAAGCTGTTGCATCATTCAAGGTAACAGTGATGCTTAGAAATGACACTTCAGTTTACCTTGTTTCTTTAGTAAAATTGATGTTGTTTTTCACCTCTTTTGTTCAACAGAATGCTTTGAAAGGTGAGGATGGGGCGACCCCACAAGAAAACGACAACCCAGGGAAGAAGAGGAAAAACAACAAAAAGAATAAGAGCAGGAAGAGATGCAACGCAGCACCGGATAAAGAGGTAATTACAAACCATCTCTCAGTTTGTTTGGAGTTATAATACAAGCTGATGAACTGAATGTGTTTTGTAGTGGCAGGTTGGAGACTCCTGTTATGCGTTCTGGTCTGAAGATGGCAACCTGTACACTGCCACCATTACCTCAGTCGACCAGGAGAAGGGCACCTGTGTGGTCTTTTACACAGATTATGGAAATGAGGAGGAGCAGAACCTCAGTGACCTTCTGACTGAGCCTCCAGACATGGATGAAGATGCTCTGAAGACAGCAAATGTATGAAGAGTGTGAAGTTCACACCACTTAGATGTTTAAGCATTGAATTATGCAGTTGCATAATATTGACGTTTGTTTGCTTTAACACAGGTCAAAGAAACAGAGTCCTCCACAGAAGAGAGTGATCGCTCTTTCACCCCACAGAAGTCCGGTCATGCAAAGCACAAATCTAAAAGCAATTTTCCTATGGGACCCCCATCATGGTTTCCCAGTTTCCCACCTGGACCGCCACCACCACCACCCCACTTTAAAAAGGTGAATATCTCTGACTGCCATTTACTTACTTGCATACATACAAAAAGAGTTAGTTCACCCAAAAATACAGACTTTTCACATATTAGCAATATAAAGTAATATGTGGACATTTTTATGTTTGGCATAAACATTATGTATTAATAGGGCACCTATGATGAAAGCCCTCTTTTGTAAGCTGTTTGGACAAAACTGTATGTAGGGTTAGTGTGTCCACAGTAATAATAGAGTAATATAAAGACAATAAGTCTCTTTTTTTAATTGCCTGTCATTAAAAAAGGATCCAAGTCCTTCCCGCAACATGATGTAGGAGAGCGGTTTTCCCGCCCAACAAATTGATTGACAGCCGCATATTAACATTTCTCCGTTGTAACTCGTATAATTATATCAACAAGACAGGATGTGCGCAAAGCAACTAGGATTAAAAGATCTGTTCAGCTCTCTGTGATCATCAATCATCATCAAATGTAAACAAGAATGAGCTTTACAAGTTTAAAACGTTTATAAAACAGTGCATGTTTGTAATGAATTACAACGATTTTACTGTCTTTACCACAGCTGCATGTCAGTACAGTTATAAAAGACGACGCTTCAATTCCAGTTTGTGAATGTTAAATCAGGTTTATTTTGTACATTAGCATAATGGATGTCCATACACATGTGCATATTAATGTGTATCCTTTCAGCGCAAAGTTAAACGTGCGCTGTGTGTGTCTGCTGCGTATGTGTGTTTCTATGTGTGTGCGTGAACTTTGTAACGGCATTGTGTTTGTCTCATTGGGGCAGAAAGCCTTGAATCAACTCCACAACACATCAAATAATCATTGGGAAATTTCTTACTGTAGGATTTCTCACAAATGCTACGTAAGATCTGCTTCCTTCTGTCACTGTGCTGTTTATCTGACACAGTCAAGGCGGAGATTATTTCCTTAAGTCATAAACGCGAAACGACACACTGAATAAATGACGATCTAATGATGTTTGACAACCTTATATAACACTAGATCATGTCATTCACCAGTTAAAAAACTCTATGGAGACACACACTCTGTCCAGCATAGTTGTTGACAGGTCAGTGGGTGCAGGAATTATATTTCCCCAAAACTGGCATTGGGGTAAAGTTGGTTTTATATTCACACAGTCAGACTTTCTCCTTAATAATATAATTTCAGAAAAGTATTGTTTGCTAATTTTAAATAGTGAAATCATAAAATCAGCCAATGACTGTAAAATATAAAATTGTTCAGAGTAAGTTAAACAGTGCTAATGTTGTCTTAAAGTCATTCCTACATGCTTTTTTTAGACCCAATATTCAAAGTAGTGTTAGAGTGGGAGCGTGTCACAGGTTGTCACCATTCAAAAATGAACAAATGTGTGAATATAAATCACACTACACCTCAGTAAACCTGGTTAGGTGAAAGAGCGCTATTTACTTGTGTATCGTAATTGAACTAAATATAAATCAGATCATAAAAAAAGGAGTGCTACAAACAGAAATATCCTGTCATCGTTTTACATTACACTTACGTTATCAAGACAATGAGTGACTTTTCATTTTGATCCTCATACTTCGCTTGTTGTCATCTCCTTTTACACTTTAACAACTAAATTAATGCTTAGGTCTATTTAACTTCATAAAGTCAATATTTTGCCAGACGTTTTTAGTGGCTGAACAACACTTCTGTGCATATAAACCCATTCATAAACAAGAACACAATCTACATAAGCTTTGTGTGACTAAAAAAGTTTGAAAACATACTCGTCTAAACTTAATACATCAGCCATTGTGTCACCCTTCTAATCACAGTTTTAAACTGCATTACATAATTTTCCTTAAGTTTGCCAAAGTAAATCCAATATTGATTAAGGGTTTAGAAAAGTTTAGTTTCAGCATTTTTGGCAGAAGACTCTACAAAAACAATATTTCTTTTTATGGATACAAGGCCACGTTCGTCTTTTATAAAGAAGTCTTTCAGGTTGATGCAGAGTTTGCCTGATGTCTTTCTCTGTCAGCTGTAGGTGGCCATGCTTCACGTGTACGTGCAAATGACGGATCTACAGTATCTGCCTAAAGAGGCTGTGCAGAAATACACATTTAAATTTGTTGATAGACGGTTTGAGTTACTTGTCATGTTATTTGTCAGTCTGACTATTTTTAATTGTATGAACATTTTTTTAGTTTTATGTTTTACCCAGGATATAAAAATACATTTAGATCATTTACTTTAATCATTACTATTTGAATGTGAAGAAACTTTCAACCAGCACAACAAAAAATGTTTCTGAAGACAATCACCTACTGCACTAAAGTTCGATGTTGCAAATAGTCCCTGTTTACAGCTGAGATTAAATGAATAGTTCACAGAAAAAAAAAACTCAGTGTTACCTTAACATCAAAAGGTTCCTAACCTTTGAGTTTCTTTCTTTTGTCAAACACAAAAGAAGAAATTTTGAAGAATGCTGAAAACCTGTAGGAGTTTCCATAGTAGGAAAAAAGAAATGCTAGGGAAGTCAAGGGTTACAGGTGTCTTTAAAATCTCTTCTTTTATGTTCAACAAACAAATATATGTCCACAAGTGAATCTCTGGTTAAAGACAGGCATAAATGTGATATAAAAACATTATGAGCATTAATATGTATCTGAAGGTAATGTCTAAATGTATTCATTCATTATTGAAGACACTCTTGATTGACTACAATTTTAATATAGGCAAACACAAGTCCCTGTTATTTGTACTTCTGAATGTTTCTGTGTGTTCCTTGTGATCTCCAATCTTTTGTGAGTGCGTGTGTGTGCGTGCGTGCGTGTCTGCCTGTGTGTGTGTCTGTCTGTGTGTCTGTCTGTGTGTCTGTGTGTGTGTCTGTGCGTGCGCGCCAGCATGTTATGTGCATTATACACAAGAGTGATAGACTTTGTTATCTTCAGATGGATGGCAGACGAGGAGAAGGTCCTGGTCCTTCCTTTCCTGGATGGCCTCCCATGATTCCACTCGGTCCACCGGTAGGAACAATTTGCTTTTCAGACCTATAAGTGTATTCTTAACCCTTGTGTGCTGTTGGGGATACTTCTACTCTGTAGTGTTTTTGAGCTCTTATTTGCCCACAACTTTCTGTTTCGGCAAATGGAATGATTGTTGGTGACCAATCTTATTTTGACACATATTTTGGGAAAATGCTTTGGAGTTTTTCTTAAATTTAACAATACACTTAGGGCAAATTTACCACCCTTTTGTTGTGTTCGTGGCTGTTTTTACCCCATTGACTTCCATTATAACCACATTTTTTATTTTGAAGCCATAACACTATATAATCATGCATTCTTGATTGTTGGTTTCATCAGTTACAGTGCAACAAATAAGCTTAGTTGCTGACTTATATGGAGTATATGTGTGAGAGATAGACCTTTGCACACTTATCTTGATATGTTTGAGAAAATAAAAAATATGCAGCTCAGCTCTCAGAACATAGTAAAACATAGTATGTGTATTTACACACACACACACACACACACACACACACACACACACACACACACTATATTCTGCTGTTTCACCCCATAGAACTCCATATAAAAGCCAGAAAGTTTTTTTGCGCCGGCCTATCTAAAGGGTTAATGATGCCATACGCATACATGGTACAAAAATGTTTCTGACATATATGTGGACCTATATGTTTCTGACATACAGTAGGCCTATTATATTATATATGTATACATGTATATGACAAAAAAATATGTCCACATATATACCAGTAACATCATTATTCTAAGGGAGGCTAATAATTCAACTGCCTTCAATTGACTTCAACTGTATGTGTTTTACATGTATGGAAATGTATGTTTTTGGCATACATGTTTACTCTCTTTACTTACCGATCGTGCATCAACCCCCAATTATATATATGGGAATGACATGTATGGGACGTTTGTTTCTGGCATATTTGTGGACATATTTCTTTCTGACATATATGTGGACAAAGATGTTTGTGACATATATGGGACATGCATTGTGTTTTATAGGTAAATGTGCCATATATGTTTCTGGCATATATGTGGACATATACGTGTTATGCTGCCAACTGATGATCAACAGTAAAAATTACACATTTTGCCTCCTCCCAACAGGGAGGAACCAACAATAAAGAATGCATGATTATATGGCTTTGCAATCAAAAAATGTTGTTATAAAGAAAGTCAATATGGCAAAAACAGCCATAAACACAACAAAAGGGTTGTAAATTTGAACAGTACAGAAGGGTTTGACAAAATCCATTATACAGGATGGATGGCCGGACCTTCACTCTTGTGGGCCAAATATGAACAAACACAGTCATTGGGTTATAAAGTGTCATTTAAATGTTATTATATAACGTTTGTCCATTATTTTACTCCATATTGGGTTACATCACCCACCCAACATTTTAGAGTGCGGTCAAAGCTTTACAGACAGTGAGATGAGTTTATTATTTGTAATGGTGATAAACTGGTGCAGATGATCCCACCACCGCCACCTATGAGTCCAGACTTTGGGGAGGACGACGAGGCTTTGGGCAGTATGCTGATTTCCTGGTATATGAGCGGCTATCACACTGGATACTATATGGTACAGTTGTTTTTCTTGTAATTTACAAGCATCTCTTTGTCTACCTGCTGTTTTCACTTTTTACTTAATTATTTATTTTTTAAACAGGGTTTAAGACAGGGCCGTAAAGAGGCTGCTGCATCCAAGAAATCGCATCGGAAATAAAAACCCAACGGTTTGTTTTTTTTCAGTCTCATAATTTCACATGGATCACTGTTAAATTTGAATTTCTAGATATAGGGAGGGTTTGGGTTGAGTAGATGTGTTCACTTCCTGACAAAAGTCTTCTCATCGATCCCTGTTGTAAGAGCAACAAATAATTATTTGACTTCTAGTTGATCATTTGGAAAAGTGCCAGAGGGTTAATTCTTCAGATGAATTATTTGTTGAACTGAATCCCAAACATCACAAATACTGCAGAAGACCTAAAGGAACCTGCATGGATCCAAGATTCTCACAGAAATCAGTCAAGTTTGGTAAAGGAAAAAGTTATGGTTTGGGGTTACATTCAGTATGGGGGTGTGTGAGAGTCTGCAGAGTGGATGGTAACATCAACAGCCAGAGGTATCAAGACATTAGTGCTGCCTTCATCTTCAGCAGTATAGCACTCCTTATAGTTCAGCCTCCACATCAAAGTTCCTGAAAGAAAAGGAGGTCACCGTGCTCCAGAATTGACCAGCCCATTCACCAGACATAAACATTATTGAGGGTGCGCTGAAGCAGGAGGCATTGAAGATTAATCCAGGGGATCTTGGTGAACTCTGGTAGTCTTGCAGGAGCACTTTTTTGCCGTTCCAGATGACTTTATTACTGCATTGCAGAGATGTATGGATGCAGTCCTCCAAGCTCATGGGAGTCATACACAATATTCATTATTTTTCCACTGCAGCACATTTATATTCTATACTGTAAATTATTTATGTTAAGTGACAAGATTTTTGTCTAAGCAAAGTCAGACCTTACTGACCTAATTAAATGACTACAAATCAAGGCATGATCATATTTTGTGTTAAATTTAACATGTAGAAGCCTTTGCCTTTCATATAAGTCACTTCTTATCCCAAATGATCAACTAGAAGTCAAGTTATTATAAAACTTTGATAGACGACAATACTTTTGTCAGGTATTGATAGTAATTTTATCTAATGACTAATTTATCTATTTTTTCCCAATGCAGAGTGGGATATGAACGGGATGCTGCTGGAGACATAATTGTTCTTTTTTGTATCGTTTGTAAATAAATTAAAAGTAATTGTTCTCTTTTCAAAATCGTGTTTGTGTTCTTTTTTTAAAAGAGATGATTTCAGTGAGATTACTTATTAATCAGGGTTGATACGGTCATGGAAAACCTGGAAAAGTCATAGAATTTTGACATGGTATTTTCCAGGCTTGGAAAAGTTTTGGAAAAACTGAAAAACCCACAAAGTTTTGGAAAAGTCTTGGAAATTAGTTTAACTAATATCTGTATACTTGAATTAGGGCTGGGCAATATTGGAAAAAATCTGACATTACCATATTTTGTTTTTCTGTGATATATATTGCGATATTTTCACTAGACGATTTAACAGTTTTTTGGGGGGGATTTTGTAGAGGTCTGAATCTCGAATAATATATAAGAAATAAATGACAAGCATGAATAAATAAAATATAGTAAAGATAAAAGTGAGTTATAGTTTTCAGGTATTCACTATTCTGGTACAGATATTGAATAATCAACACTGCATCATCTTAACTGTATACTATTTAATCTTTATTAAAGTTACAAAAAATTTCTTGTGGCAGAATGTTTAAAATTTTAAACATTAAAATGCTCACACAGTCACAGGACTTAAAGAAACCGTTTACTCAAAGATTAAAATCTACTCGCTATTTACTCACACTTCACTTGACTCAATACTACAGGAGTTAATAAATTTAATTCTTTTTGTGCTCATTTAAAAAAAAAAAAAACAATGTTTGAAACAAGTGAAGGGTGTAATGAAAACGGTATGTAATTTTTGGGTGAACTGTCTCTTTAAAAATGCATGCAGATGATAAACCTTTACTCCATTATGATTAAAGTCCTATATTAAACTATAATCCCAACATTGCACACTCTGCGATGTGACATTTACGGATGCACACATTGCGATATCAATGTTGAAATGATATATTGTTCAGCCCTAACTTGATTATAGGTTAGTTGTCTTTACTTCTTTTCATTTTTGTAATAAAAATGAATGAACCCTGACTAATCTACTTGTTCAATAATATGTGATCAATTATTTCAAAAACATTTTTTTTAAATCTGGACGATAATGTTTAAGTAAAATGCTTTATGTTTGAAAACATTTGAGTAATATTTATATTATTTGTTATTTGGTGTCAAATATGCAAGTCGTGAGTTTATCATTCAAGTGAGTTCAATTAAACTACATACTGGTAAGGAATTCAGGTTAATACTGTAATTCTCAAATGATGAGTTCTTATTTGTAAAATCATAAATATTTTGTCACACTACATGGGAATAAACACACAAAAAAACATTGTATACATATCTGACCATTTATTTATTGAAGAATTGAACACTTCATGAACACATACATTTCCCCTTTATTAAATTCCTTTCTGATTTAAGTCAAATCCATTTTACTGTACATTATATAGGGAAAATAATTAGTGAATAGTGTAAATGATCAAAAAAGAAATGATTTTCATCAAAAAAGTGACTGCTTAGATCAATAAATTTACAAATATTCCAAAAGACAACGTGCATAAAAGACATTATAATAATGTCAGAAATATCTTTCAGAAATAAAACATACATAACATCTGCTCGGTAAACTAAAGCCAAACATTTGCCTCTTAAAATAGAGTAATTAATATGAAAGGGCATTGAAAATATAAACAAGAAACCGATATCAACATCATTTAATGCTTCAACAATATAAATAGTTAAATGATGGGAAAAAACCATCTGAATCACATTTGTAGTTTCTTTGACTGTAGTGAATTCTCCCTTTAGGCTCCAAAAATGTCTTCATGGTATCTCTTCTCAACCTGTCAATAAAGACGTCATGAGTTCATTGATCTCAATGCGGTTTATACAAATATGAGGATTAATAGTAAGCTCACCTTCAACATATCCATATATTCTCCAGCTTCTACCTCGCTCATGATTGTGTTGTTGACCAGGATATCTTTCAAAGTTTGAGCCACATCTTTGGCCATGTTCATTCCACCGCAGACATAAAGATGACCTGCGCTCTTGTGAAGAACCTCCAAAGCCTTTTCAACAAGCTGCTCCTTCAAAACATCCTGGACGTACATCTGCTCCAACAACACAAGCACAAGGTTAGTGACAGAACAGACACACACTGGATCTTGCTGAATTTTGATATAGTAAACCCTAAGTGTATGTTGTTTTGAGTGTATGACAGAAATGAACAGACGTACCTTGGGTTTCCCAGGCTGGCGTGAATAAGCTGTATTGACGTTTCCCAGAATACCATTAAGTCTCAACTTCAGGGTTTCTACTTTGTACAGGTGGTCTGTTTCTGAATCGCGACAGCCAAACAGTAGGGTCATGGGGCTAATTTGCTGACCTAAAAATGAAAAGATGAGAGTTTAGGTCAAAACCTGGACTTAAAATAGAAATTAGGCATTAGGTATGAATCAGTATTGTTTCAAGTTTGGAGTTTGTAAGATATCTGGCACTCATGCAGTACAAATGGTACTTCTGTGGAATATTGTTAGCTCTGAAATCTATTTAAGTTAACTTTAATTTGAAGGGTTTTGAAATGTTAAATTTTTTGTTTTATGTTTGACATAATCTCAACTAAAAAACTGAGATGAATGTGTCCTCCTTTTATTTAAAATACAGCCAATGGGGTTTTGTTTTTGTCACAGGTCTGCCAGTGAGTGTGGCTGAGTTCAAGCGCATCAAATAAAAAACAAATGAGAAGTGTCTTGAAGGGGGCGGGGCATATCAGATACGAAAGAGCATCTGATTGGTCAAGATTTGATAAGAAACTGAAATATGAGATGACAAGGAAGAAAATTTTGATCCATTTAAATGGAAGTAAGCTGTTGATGTTTATATTTTCTAAACACATATTTTGTCACTGTTTTGTAGCACATTAGTTTATAGATATCTTTAAAACAGACTTTTTAAAAAGGTTTATGAAAAGAAGGTTAAGCCAGACAATCGCCTTGCAATTCTTGGATATTCTGAGACATTACACTCTTTTACAGTCTCGTTTGATGGGCCTAACTCTTGCAAAAAAAAAAAAAAAAAGGTTCTTTTAAATTGGAAAACTTATGATCCTCCATGTTTCAAAGAGTGGATGGGTGAATTGTATTCAGCTTGAGAGGATACACTCCTTGGAACCAAAATCTCAACAACAATTTCGAACTGTTTGGCAACCTTTCCAAGATTTCTTCAAAACTGATTAGTGCTATGCCAACGATTTATCGGAGCAATTAATCCTACTCTGATAATTACATTTGAACTTTATGATTGCTTTGAATGGTAAATATCCCCTTTTGTTTATTCATTTTTTATTTATTTATTTGTATTTTCTGATTTATTGCTGGGGTTGCTATGTTTATACCAGTGGATTTCCTTTGTGTTTTTGTATTTAAAAAATAGAATAAAGCCAAAATAAAACATTTAAAATAAAAACTAACATACTGAAACTATCATCTAAAGATGTATTTAATTTCATGGGACCTTTAAAATAATATACATTTTAGTGACAGTGAAGCTAAGATTTGAGCACAACTCCAGTTTACAGAAATCATTGCAAAATTATGAATTTGCTTCTCAAGAAGCATTTATTGTAAAAGAAAAATTTATCTTTATAAGGCTAAAACAGTTGCTGCTTTGTGTTTATGAGAAAGTGACTGTTTTTATTTTATTTTAAATTAAACAAAAATTGAGTCAACCAAATTTAGTTGTTAATTATTCATAAAACAAGTTAAAGACTAGCAACCTTTGAGATTTAAAGGGTAAGTTCTCCCAAATATTAAAATTCTATCATCATTTACCCTTATTCTAAACCTGTTTCTCTTTTCTGTTGAACACAAAAGAACAAAGCTGAGAATCTGCAACCATTGACTTGCATAGTATTTTTTTTTTTTTTTTTTTTTTTTTTTTTTTTTTTAATGGAAGTCAATTGTTACAGAGACCACTTGTGGGAGATTTTCAAAAATGTTAATTTTTGGGTAAACTGTAAAAAAGAAGTGTATATATATAAGAAACATACTGTATATTGGCAAAACAAACTTAAAATATGTGTAGTTAGAAGGAAACAATTGGATCATATTATGTAAGACACTAAACACTATCAAATTACCATCTTCAACTGACAGCCTGGTGCTGGTAGTCAATTACTTGTATTTTATGAATCACCAAAGATGGCAAATTTTTGATATTTTGGTGAACTGGCCAATCAAGATAAAATTCATCATGAGAAGCTTTTGTATTTAAACTTTATGCCCTTACATTAGAAGCTAACACAGTTTACCTGTCTTTTTCACATCCTGAGTGCGCTGCTGCCAGAAACTGCGGAAAGGAGCAATTCCACTGCCAGCCCCGATCAGGAGAACAGGAGTGCTGGGGTCTTCTGGGAGATGGAAACCCCCCGAGCTGAAATAATGAACAGTAAACAAGCCACACCTAAATTAGCATTAATTCTAGCTATTAGGATACTGAATACTAAAATGCTTTAATTAATAATACCTTTAAAGGGTTAGTTCATCCAAAAATGTAAATCTGTTATCATTTATTCTCCCTCATGCCAGTCCCATCCTCTGAAACCTTTTTATTCATCTTTAAATCATATATTAAGGTATTTTAGATTAAATCAGAGAACTCCCTCATCCTCCATAGACAGAAATGGTAGTAGTCCCAAGATGTCCAGAAAAAGTGAATATTGTCAAAACCTCCCATGTGACTTCAGTGATTCAACTATAATCATAAATAGCTTCGAGAACACTTGTGTGCCAATAAAACTGTAAAAATGACTTTGTTTGCTGATGTTTCAGATCAAGATGTAGATTTGTTAAGACGTTACATTGGTTGACAGACTTGTATTTACAGTTTTGTTTTTTGTTTTTTTCTGCACAAAAGTATTCTTGGAGCTTCCTATGATTATAACTACTGAAGTTTTGACAATGTTTTCCGTTCCTTTTCTGGACATATGGAAAAACTATGCTGTTTATGAAGGATTAGAGAGCTCTCTGATTTCATCTAAAATATCTTAATATGTGTTCTGAAGACAAATGAAGGTCTCAGGAGTTTGAAACGACATGGGGGTGCGTCATTGATAACAGATTTGTCATTTTTGGAAGAACTAACCCATTCAATTAAGAGTGAAGTGTGTAAATGAGATCTTCATACCGGTGAACAAAGCAGGGAACTGTGTGTCCTCTTTTGATGGTGTTGAACCACGTGCTGCAAGTGCCGAAATGCATTGGGCCTGCTCCACCTAAAAAAATACAGAATGTCATCTTCACGTCTGGTAAAATCATTTGAACTATTCTCCAGTGTTTTGTTTTTGTGTCTCACCCTGGGTCTGGTACTCCACCACAGAGATTGTTAGGTGTAGTTCATTGGGATGATGATCCAGCGAGGAGCTGACGGAGTACAGACGGGGCTTCAGCAGAGGAATCTGACTCAGGATGAAGGCGGAAGGGACTTTCAGAGAGGGAAATTCTTCAAGAACCTCCAAGAAGGTGGGCCTGTAGAAATCCTTCCATGTGGAATATTCCTGGAAGTCCTATGGAAAAATTAAGGAAAGCTGTAAATGTATTCACTGGTAATTTAGGACAAAATAAGATTTTATTTTTTAATGGTTAACGTGTAGAAATGGTGTATTGGTAAATACCGATGCGAGCGCTTCAAGTCGTTTGCGATCCTCTTCCTGATCCGCCACTGTAGAGAGTTTGCGCAGCAGGCTTTGTGAAGGTGGAGTCGTGACATCCAGGAAGTATGTTAGAGCCTGGACGAGCGTGCAAGCAGGGAGACGTTCGTCTGTCTGCCATCTCTTTCCCTCTGAAAAACACCAAATGAAAGAAGCATAATAAATAAATTTGAATTAAGAACCCAACTGAAATTTTTTCTTTAAAGGATAGTTCACCCAAAAATAAAAAATAAACTAGAAGGGCATTCAAGAAGATGCACTGACAAATATTGGGAAAACAACAGCCATTGACTTCCATAGTGTTTTTTTGTTCCCACTTTGGATGTAAATGGCCAACATGTTTCAGAATATCTTGTTTTGTGTTCAGAAGAAGGAAATTGATAAAAGTTTAAAACCACCTGAGTGTGAGTAAATGACGAGAAAATGTACAATTTTGGGTGAACTATATGTTTTTATGTATGTTTATATATAAATTGGGCCCTCCTATAGTTTATAATAACTGCCATTAGAGATTTGTACCATGGCTGGACTCAGAGAGGGTCTCCAGACGAAGGCTCTGGTTATCAGGAGTGGCATCTGGGAGATGCTTCACGATACCATGCACCAATTCTGAAGAATTCTCTGGAAAAATCCCCACATGATCTCCTGGGGCAAACTTCAAGGCATCTGTGTTTCCATCGGTCTTCAGCTCCACCAGGATAGTAGAACGACTGAAGAATAAAAATACATACATTGAAAAAAACTAAAACAGCATTATCAAAAACATCAGTATTTATATTAGCTGTCAAAAACAAGTGAAGTTGTAGAATCAAACCTTGACTGAGCACTTTGCAGTTTCTGTCTTCTCTTCAGAGTCATAGGAAACACGGTTTTAGAGTGAAGAGCAGACAGTGCTGGACAAACAGAAAAAAAATAATGGAGTTTAGCTAAAACTTTATGAAAAAAAAAACTACTTATTTTTTGTTAAAGGTAGGGTATGTGATTTTAGAGAGGCTAATAATTACATGTATTTATATATAGACATATAAATACATTTACATCACTTATATTAATGAACAATAAATATGTTAGGAGCCTTTCAACCAGCATAACAAAAATATTTTTGTGCTAAATCACTTACCCTGCCTTTAAGTAAAGGCAAAGGTGTACCTGTAATGGGATCCAGAGTGCAACTGTCCTGCTGGACTCTGTATCTCTGAGGGTCCCAGCCTTCCGTCTGCTCCTCCACAGCTTTCAGCTGCTTTTTAATGTTAAACTCCTCACAAGCATCCTTCAATTTAAAACAGATGCATCATTTGTTCATTCTTTGCTTCAGCAAATGATTTATATTCATTTGTTTTCCTTTTGAAAACCTCCACCAACCTTAAAAGCAGTGCAAGCCCAGGCAGAGAAAGCCTCGTCCTGCCCGTTTAGTTCATCACCCTCGCCTGTGGCTGTCATACGTTTGGCCCCCAGCTCCGCAAGCTTGTCATCCACAGCATGGGCAAAGGCACAGAACTGTGGGTATACACGTGAACCCAGGCCAAAGACACCGTACCTGTGGTGAGAAGAGGAAGTCAGCGATTTTGCTCACTGGAGCATATTGACATTACTATTGAAAAAAAATTAAAAAAAAAATGTTCAGTGCTAGAAAACTGACCTGATGGTGTTTTTCACTTTTTGCAAGCTAAAAAGCTGCTTCCTGAAGGTCTGAAGAATAAAAAAAATACATACATTAGTTAAACAGATATATTAATACCACTGAAAAGTGTGTAGAAATTATATTAATTATGATTATGATTCAGGACTGTTAAAAAGTTTTGGGTCAATACGATTAAAAAAGGCCTATATTTAGCAAGTACACTAAAATTGTCAAAAGTGACATTAAGAAATTGTCATTTCTAATTTAAATTATCGATACTCTTTTGAAAATTCAATTCATCAAAGAATCCTGAAAAAAAAATCTATTTTCAATCTTTTTTTTTCTTAGTATATAAAATAATTTATAATGATGCTGAAAACTGAGCTTTGGATCACATGAATAAATATTTTTTAAAAATATATGTATCAATAGAAACAGTTGTTCAATTTGCAATATGAATTATTTTAGATTATTACAAATTTCTTTCAGCCTTGATTAACTACAGTAGAAACATACCAACCACAAAACTTTGAAATAATTTTTATTACAATTCAATGTTAATAATAATAATAATAACAACAACAATAAAAATATAGTTAGCAAAATTGCACTCATACCACTCCATTTCCTGGACTTTCTCCATTGCCAAAGGTACTGGTGACCACCATCAGAAGGGTCTCTGTCTCAAGTTCACTGAAGTCATATTCCTCCATGCATACCAGCTGTACCAGAAAAAAAGAATGAATCAACTTTAAATCACAACTTTTTGTTGTTATTCTTCATATACTGCTTTGCTATAAGACTACACTGAAAGCAATTTCTCCAAAGACAGCATTCTCACCCTGGAGTCAAAGGCCCGGTTGAGCATGGTGTTCAGTTTTTTGGCAAAGCTCAGTGACTTCCCTGTTTCTGTGGCATAGAGAACAGTACAGCGCACTCTCTTGGCCAGGACAGCTTTGATGAGTGTTTGAGAGAAAAATACAGCTCTACAAAGAAGACAAAAAAGATGTTTTTTTTATTATTATAGACATGCAAATTGGTCAGTGATAAAGTGTGTTTTATTGTTTAGAAGTTGCTGGTCTGCCATTACCTGATCAGTCCTTTGAAGCTGACCTTGCATCTCCGAAGTCCTTTCTTCTCATCTTTCCACTTGTGTGTTAGCCATGGATCAGTCTTAAGAAACACAAACATATCACACTTTTGTACATGGACAGGGACGTCTTATCGCTTACATTTTTCGCATCTGATTTTCACGTCTGATTTTTATTTATATGATACCTGGTAATAGAAGAATGGGGACAGGATGTAATTGAGCAACTCCTGATGATAGACGGGGGTCAGGGAACCAGACATCGGTGGCACCAGCCAGACCCAATCCGCTGGGCAGCCTCCACGCAAACGAACCTCCGTCTCCAAATGCTGCATGAAGGACTCGCTTGCGGAATGGTGATCTGTGATGGTGACCTTATTTTTCTGCATAGAAATATATCAACATGAAGACATATCAACACTTTTCTAAATGCCCTTATCTTGGCTTGAATTTCAGAGTGGCTAAATAGGGGTGTGTGATATTGACAGAAAGGGTGTATCAATATTTTGGGTATTTTTTTCCTGAAAAAAAACCCATATTTTGCTGAGTGTGGTTTTAACCCCACATTTGGTTAAATATGGATGAACCCAACAGATTTAATTTCTACCCAAATTTAAGTTAAAAGAACTCAGTTTTATTTAAAGCAGGGGTGTCTAAACTCAGTCCTGGAGGGTCAATGTCCTGCATAGTTTAGCTCTAACTTCCTTTAACACAATTGCCTGGAAGTTTTAGGATAGCTAGAAAAAGCTTGATTAGCTGGTTCAGATGTTTATTGGAGAGTTTAATTGCCCGAGTTTGAGCACCCCTGATTTAGAGTGTGGTACCTTGGCTGGTTTATAGCTGTCATAGATTTAAAAAAAAATAATAATTTAAATAAAGCTGCCAGTAGATTGCAGCAAGTGGCTGGTTTAATGAGTAGTTCACTACATTGTTCACTGAATGAGTTGTTTAGTTTATTTAGAAAGGAAGCAAATGAATCATTATATCAAATTATTTGTTCAAAACCTTCCAACCAGAAAAGAAAAATCAAACTGGCTTTGTTTAAAAGTATTTTCGTTTGCAAGATGGCAAAAAAAAAAAAAAAAAAAACGTGTTTATTTAACTCACTCTATATTAATTGCAGTTCTGTAAAAACACACTTGAGATCACGGTTACCTGTTGATATCATGTTAAATTAAATCTTATCGATGTAAAAAAACAAAACCCAAACTAAGATTTTTTTAAAAAAGATAATAATTTGCATAATGCGCAATAAATGCTGTCATCTTGCACATTGTTAACAATTTTGATAATATTATAGACAATAAATAGTACACTGGCCTTGTAAAATGACATGAATAATATTGATTTCATAGAACAAAGGTGAAGGAAAGCTTTACCTGATAGCTGTGAATGACGGCAACATTGATAGCCACGAGTGCCTGGTCTTTCCACAGTGATGAGAGCTTGCGTGTTTCTAAGCCCATTAACTGGCCAACGCGCTACAGGACATAAAGCGGTAAATACAAAACATCAGTATCAAAAATAGCTAAGCCAAGCTACCGCCATGAGAGAGTAAGGCCACTTTACCTCCAAAATGTTGTAGCGTTGACTGTCACAGAAGTCCCGAACTCCAATTTCTGTGCCCATGTACCAGCCGTTGAAAGGACATGCTGTGAATTCCAGACCACCAACTTCCATGAGCATGTTGGCCACTGCAGGAATCGCGTACCACTTCAGGTCTAGATCTTTGAACCATTCATACCTGCACAAATGAAGAAGAAAATACTATTTGATTGGTTTTCTGAATTGCTGGAGTCATAACACATCAGAATTCATAATTGACCGCAAATGAAAGATGATGTTCGGAAGAATGTTGGTTCCATAATCGGAAAATAATAATAATATAGAACCAATTTCAAACATTCTTCAAAACATCATCTACTGTGTTCAACAGAAAAGAGATACTCAAATAGGTTTGGAACAAGTGGAGTAAATGACAACAGACTTTTCTTTGTTATGTTTTTTTTTTGGATAACTGTCCCTTTATTATGATATGTTTGATGTCCTAAAAAATCAGTTTCTCTTCTTTTCCTAGAAAGAACTTAAACACTTACTCTGGATGTTCAATGGGGACCTCCAAGATCAGTTCAGGAGGAATTTCAAAAACTTCAGGGTCTTCTCCATTCGCCTGCAGGACTAGTGGAAGCACATCAAAGCGACCGTACTTTGGTTTCCACCCAAGCTGAATACACACCTATAAAAACAATGTGCAAAATTTAACATGATTTCATAAGAGATGTAAATAGTTGGCAAAATGTATTAAAAGGTAAGAGCTCAACTAAAAAAGCGGCCATATATTTTGCTTACCTGTGTAAAGTCTACACCCGCTGGGTCGCCGATCACACTACCATCATCCATCTGATAGCCAGCATACTTTATCAGCTGACCGTTCCAAACACGGAAATCATGCCCTTCATCTGTTCTCTGAGGGAACACGGTGATGGCAGACCTGCCAAAACCAGAAGAACAACAAGAGACTCTCAGTCTAAACCAAAACCATACAATTTTAGCATGATCTACAGAGAATAGAACAACCACTAAAATTGCAATCAGTGCATTCAGTGTAGCCGTGTTTTATAATTTTATATATATTAATAAGTACAAGTCAGAAATGGCAGGATGTGCTGTATATTTTTCGAAAATGGAAAATTTAAAAAGACACTGGTATTTAATATTTTCATTTTAATATAATAACTGTAAATTGAATGCCATACAGACAGTAAAATGTGAGGTTTCTACTTTAACACATTAAGATTTATTTTTCCATTAGGTTAATATTAAACATTTTTCCATAAGGCAATTCAAGAACATTTTAATCCTTACATGTGGTTTATTCATTTAAAAGTTAAAAAATATATATATATATATATATATATATATATAGCCCAGGCGTTGATATATTTTAAGTTTTCTGCCATAATGGAATACACACCAACATAATTGCTACAGAACGGATGCTAACGACAGTCTATTGGTAATTAACCCTGTAAAGCCGCACATACCATATTTGATACACAACTTCCTAAGACGTAAAATCAACTTGTTCATTTTTTGCCCTCTTGTGGATTTTCATGACAGTGCAGGCAGTGTAAGGGCTTTTTTACCTTTTAAAAATGGCTGTTCTCATTGATTTTTTTTTTTAAATCATCATTGAAGCATTTAACTGACAAGCATACATGATTATATGATAACAAATGTTACAGTCATACAAAACTTGGTGATGCAGAACATACATTAAATAAAAAATGCTACTTTAGGGGGATCCATCATATTTAATTTATTAGATTGTACAGATTTTTTAGCCTTCTTCTTTTTTTTCTTTTAGATTTTTATAGCCTTCTTGTGATTGAGGTCAAAGAATTATAAAATATTTTAAATCTTTACAGAAAAAATTAAAGGAGGGAGTAAAAGACATTATTTTTGCCTTGTGTATGTGAAACTTCCCAAGAAAAATTATTAACTTCAAAGCATTATTGAGTGTATCATAGCCAGTTTTACAATTAAAAATAAAAGAATCATTGCTCTCATTGAATTACTTGCATGCTTTTTAGCTGGAAAATATTTGCTAATTTCAAGTTGTTTTTAGTAAGAATGCAATTTTTATTGTTACTAATTTTATTAAATAAAGGTTTTCTTGACTAAAACAATGCATACTTAATAATTAAATCTCTATGTTATAAATAAATTGTGTTGAAAATGCATGTATCTAATTTGATACAACAGGTATAAAGGGTGCTTTATTCCTGAACAATCACGTCAAATTTTTGTAATGTAATTTATATCTTACATACTACAATACAAATACCGTATTTGGATAATTTAATTAATCTAATTAGTAACTTAAATTACTGAAATGCATTGTGGTTATTTCACAATGATTGTACATTATAAAAGGTCAAGTTGCAGTGTGCCTTTTGATGTTAGAAAGCATGAAACTGGAGAAACAGACAGAAGATAAAAGCACTGCTCCAGCAATCACTTCAAACCTCTGTGTACTCTGTAAGTGTAAAGTGAATCTTTGCCTGTACAAGGACTGAAACTGCAATTACGCCTACCACAAAGTGAAATAATACAAGTCTTTAAAGTATTTAATGTAAAAAAAAAACAAAGATAAAAACTGCCTGAAATGTTCTCTGTTGACCAAAAGTTAAGGGCAATTTATTTTTATTTTTTTGTAATTAAAATTTACATTGTTATGAACAAAAAGTTGCACAAACGCCTGATGTATCAAATGTAATACAAAATAAATATCATGAAAAAATGTTTATGATTTTTTTTTTATATTTATTTCGCTAAATGGTTTAATAAACATCTCAGGTCTAGTTTCTGCCTATTTTTGATATTTTAGGTTTTACGGGGTTAAATAAAAAATCCCCTCACCTCAAGTTTCCTCCGTTGGTGGCATACTTAAGATGAGTGCACAAGGCATGAAACATGTCCTCAGCGGTTTTACAATCACGGGCATCGAAAAGCTGCAAAAGATAAGACTTGTTACGTGTTTAAAAACTCGCGAGAGCTATGCTTGCAAAAAGCGACATTAAAAAAAATCTCTAACCTGTAAATTGGACCACTGGATCCTGCCAATGCATCTTGGCGCATTTCTCCACGCCTGTTTGGCCCCAAAAGCGAGTTCCTCGGTGGTGAGAGAGTAGGTCCCGGTCAGAGTGATCTCCAGCGCGATCCTGTCAATCCGCGCTTGCTGCTCCGTCGAGCCCGGGCTGCGTAAAAAGGTAAGAATGACCTTTTAATTTAGCAAGGTAAATCGACTTTCACACTCCCATCGTGTTTATCAAGTCGACAGAACAGTAATGTTTTATTTCATTTTCTTGTCATTGATAAAAGTAAAGCTGTTTTTCTCGTTCGAGTTGCTGAATCCTCACTTGTCTTGCATAGGGAAACTATAAAAAATAAACTATTCTCCACCCACATTTGATTTATGTTATCATATGTGCCAAAGGCTATTTTTAAAGGGATAGTTCACACAAAAATGAAGATTTTGTCATTAATTACTCACCCTCGTGTTCATCTTCAAACAAGCTCAAGCATAATTTATGAAGCTATAAAACAACATTTATGTGCAAATAAACAAAAAAAAATACAGATTTAATTTAATTATTTTTTTCTCAGCATCAGTAGCTACAGCTTGCGGACACCTGTGTGGTTTAAATAAGGCTGGGCAAAAAAAATGCATGCCATTCTCTGTGAAAATCTTCAGTAATTTCTATGAAGAATACTGTGCTGCGACAGGCTTGAAAACAAGGTGCACCCAGTTTATACATCATCAATAAATGTCAGCAGCATGACATGCATATTCCAGTATTCACGTAGTTTTATAAATTCGATCAAACCCTCTGATCATACTTGGACATCTTTGGACCCTTGCTGTCGAGGGACAGAGAGCTCTCGGGTTTCATTCAAAATATCTTAACTTGTGTTTTAACGACATGAGGGTGAGTAATTAATGACTCAATCTTTCATTGCTTTTCACATTCTAGCATTTTATTTCAGTCAGGCTGAAAATAAGACCCCCCTGTTACATTATGTTATATAAAACTGTAGATATTGCCTATATGCATACATGTATTTAATTCTTGGCTATTGCATGAAAAAATTCCACTAAAAGAAATCATCTTTATTTATGTAAACAGCTTTTACATTTTGAGCGACTTGTAGTACTGGTCGATGAAATCCTCTGCCTGGCTGAGCATGTCATCTGGGGAAGGTGTGATTTTGGATGGGCCGCGGATCAGAGGTTTGGGATTCATAATGGAGCCCTCACAAGTTTTTGAATTGCAGGGCGTATTCTGGGGAAACAATTTAAAGATTTATTTGCAACTAACATCATGTATACACTCTTTAATTGAATTACATTAATGTTTGAGGACCCTAAAAAAACATGTAACCTATCAATTCTTACAGTTTCTTTAACTGTTTAAGTTTCTTTACAGTCAAAAGAAAATTTCTTTAGATATTTGAAAGGTTACACTACTTTAAAAAAAGGTGGCTTCTTTACGAACCGTTGACAATAAGATTATTAAGAAAATAAAAAAACTTTCTACGGCATCACTTAATTTTTAAGAATGTACAATATCATTACTGTAAACATGTCATTATTATAATTACAGTTTAAAAGTACCTTAGCCGCTTTGTGATGAAGTGAGTCCTGGTGGGTCGAGCCATCCTTGTAGTTGCGTAACTGAACAGCGAATGGACATCGAATTGGTCGATCGACTGGCCGCTACAATGAAAAATGTGTGTCAGTCAAACTGAAGAACACTATAAATTATTTGGAAATAATTAGATGCATTAGTACCTTTGATTGCACAGTCTGTTTCTCATTTTCAATGATAGTGGTTTGTGCTTGTCTTCCCATCTTGCTAAAAATATTTTGCAAAGCCTGAAATGTATTATAATGTATCAGATGTATAAAGTAACAGTGTTTGCTTAACTAGTCAACAAATATTATGGTTAATTTGATGACAGACATGGTTAAAGTGAGTTTAATAAGAAAGCATAGGACAATATAAAAGTGACTTACCTTTTCGAAGTGTAAAGTTTCTTTCTCAGTAGCAGCAGAGCAGTGGTTATCTGGTCTACATACAGGTCCCCTCTTTCAACATCCCAATATATAGACCAGTTGAAGATGCCACAAAGGGCGGATCAGCGATTGCAGGGTGTGAGCTGTAATGGAAACTCTACATACTAAAGGCACCTGTAACTGCATTCCTTGATGCTGAAAAGGGTAGGACCGAATGAGATTACAAACTTCCTTAATTGAAACCATAATCTTTTAATCAAAAAACTTTTTCCTTTTTCCTTAGTATTATAAATAGTTCTGTTTTTGTGGGGATTTTTGTTTTAAAATCCCACAAATAGAAGACTATGGGGATATTAGAGGATATGGGTATTATATCATCTGAAACCTTTTACTGGAAAAGAAACAAATTTAACATTAAAAGAGGTTAAACATAAAATTAAATTAGAGGATACTTCAACTAAATATGGATATTCTGTCATGTATTTATTTTTTACTTTCTCTCTCTTTATATATTTTATAAGATTGTTTTAAGATATTGCAAACTACTTCCATAGTACTACACTGAAAAAAAGTGTTTCTTGCTGAACTGTTGCAAACTATTTATTTGTGTTGAATTTAAACAAACAAATTAAGTTTAATAATGTTCAACCTAATTTGTTTGTTTAAATTCATCCCAAATAAATTGTTTACAACCACTTAACGTATGAAAATTGAGTAAATCTAAGGAATAATCTGTGAATATTTTTTTTCAGTGTATTACCATCTTTTGGATGCCAGCGACTACCACTTTCCAAAATTCTTTAAAATATTTTTGTTTGTGATGATTTTTGAAAATAAATAAATAAATAAATAAATAAATAAATAAATAAATAAATAAATAAATAAATAAATAAAATTGGTTCAGAACCACTTAAGGGTAAATAAATTATGACTAAATTTTATTTTTGGGCAAACTATTCCCTTAACATAATGATGTGAATATGATTATGCTTGATTTATTGACTATATAAGCAAAGTAAGTATTAGTATGAGTATTAGTAGAGAAATAAAGTATAAGTAGAGAATAATAGTTTGGTTAGTATAGAAATCTGATACTTGTAAAATTACTTACATTCAAATTAGTTGGCATGTATGACGGCAGACTTACTTTGAATATAAACAGTGCCTAGTGAACCATTAAAATGAAGTCAACAAGTTATGTAATGTGTTGCAAGATTCATTTGTCATCAGTTTCCTACTTTCGTTTAGTTTTTTGAAATGACCTATTAGATAACAGTCGGCTGCTACCTACTGGCACAGATCTGGATGCTTCCTTGTTGTTACATGTTTATCTGCGGTCTCAACCCTTCCTCCATAGCTGCAGATTTGCCCGCACAATGAGAGAAATATTTTTTGAATGCACATGTCCATTCCATTGGTTTGATGGATGGTAAGCAAATGTGTGAATGGCATTTTACACTTACAAATTTCAGATGAAGTTTCTTCACGGTGAAAAGATGTAAACAATGCCATTTGATAGACTCAGGTGACGGTAAACAATGCATCTCACCGCTGACGTCCTATAGATTTCCATGCATGATAGTAAACAAAGTTTTTATGTTGTTGTTAGTTTTTTAACTGAAGCACTGAAACAATTCAACATTTTAAAATCCATCAAGTTACGTAACATATGCTAATTACTCCTTGTCAAGTAAATATTTATTGGTTTGATGTTATGTAACTTAAACTAGAATGTTATGCTAAAAGTTTGCCAACATTTTTCTTTTTGTGTATAATTGATTTCTGTTGGGAATGTTTTATAGGATCTCAACAGGTGAAACAATCATTTTCTTGCTTATTAAATTCCTTTATAGTCTTTGTTCTGGTAAATGTATATAATAGCTATAGCAAAAAAAACTATTTAAATATGTTTAATCACAACATCTTTCTGAGGCAGTTTTTTCCATTTAATTAATTTGTTTAAGGCCAACTAATAAAATCAGTTCACACAATGAAATACAATTGAGTTTTATCAACAATGTTATAAAATACAACTTGAATAAAATTAAATGTTTTGATTCAATGAATTATTTTTATAATTGCTTAATTTTATAATTGTTTAACTCATTTAATCAGATAATGATACATTATGAGGCAGAAATTCTTATGTTATGTTCCACCTAAAGAGATTTAAACAAAATACAAAGCTTGTAAAATAGTCTTGATCTCAGATCTCTGAAGCCAATTTCTCGAGAACAGAATTTAAAATGATAAAATTAAAGTCTATACTATATTAGACATAATAATGATAAAATATTAAATTAATTAGGTAACACTTTATTTTGATGATCTATTTGAGTATTAATAGACTGTCTGCTTAATATATGTTGATGCTGCTACTTCAACAGACATTTAACGGACTACAAGAAACTTTGCAGGTACATGTCAACTTACACTAACCCTGACCCCAACCTAACAGTCTATAGTCTAATGAGAATTAGTTGACATGTAGATGCAATGTAACTTAGATTCAACAAACGGACCATCAAAATAAAGTGACCAATATTTTTTGGATCTTGACAAAGGCGCATAATGAAAAACGAAACTAAATCAAATAAAAAACAGTGTTTCCATGATTGCTCAATTATTTTTTTGTCTGACATTTCCTCAACAAAACATTAGCTTTGGTTAGCTATGATAATAATTACAGTGTAATACATACTCATGAAATACATGAAGGTTTTACCAACAATGTTTTTTTTTTCAAATACATTTTAAAAAATAAAAATTCTTTCATTAAGTGAATTATTTTTTATTATTGCTGAACTCAAACATTTAATACAAAAATACATTATTATGTGTTGCACCTTTATAAAAATACAAAACACAAAAGCTTGTTTGAAATGTTTTTTTTATCTCATCAAGAATAACCAAGGTAAAAAAAAAAAGTGTAATACTACTTGGAACTATTATGTGAGATCATCCATCAGAGAGGTTATCAAATCTTCTTCTTGCATTTATTTATTTGTTCGTTTGTTTGTTTATTCATTTATTTAAATAGTTTAATATGAAAACCGAATGGTGTGTGCTTTAAGTGTGATTTAAGTAAGATTTAACTTCCTGATTTCACGTGTGGTTGAGCATTATGTCTGCTCACTTACGTTGACAGTTTACTTGAAATGCTCTGTAAACTTTGAGGAAAATGCTGCAACACAGATCTGCCTGATACTGTGAGATTTCCACAGATAAGACTCTTAAAAAGCATTGTTTACTCTGGAAACTTTTGTAATAGATAGCTTACCAAAAAGGAAGAATGGTTTCCTGGAGTTATTTATACTGCCTATTACAATAGAAGCCTTCTTTCATAACATATTAAAATACATTTCCCTGCCCCTACAACTAAGAATAAAAAGCTATTGGGTTAGTCATATAGTGCAGTTTATGAAGTAATCCAACATTTAGTTCCAAATCTGTGACTGTAAAGCAGCAAATAATCTAATACCAAACTATATACAGTTGAAGTCAGAATTATTAGCCCCCCATTGAATTTTTTTTTTTCTTTTTTAAATATTTTCCAAATTATGTTTAAAAGAGAAAGGAAATTTTCAAAGTATGTCTGATAATATTTTTTTTCTTCTGGAGAAAGTCTTGTTTGTTTTATTTGACTAGACTAAAAGCAGTTTTATTATTTTTTTTACATTTAAAGGTGACCCTTTAAGCTAATTGTTTCGATGGTCTATAGAACAAACCATCATTATACAACAACTTGCCTAATTACCCTAATCTGCCCAGTTACCCTAATTAACCTACTTAAGCCTTTAAATGTCGCTTTCAGCTGTATAGAAGTGTCTTCAAAATATCTAGTCAAATATTATTTACTGTTATCATGGCAAAGATAAAATAAATCAGTTATTAGAGATGAGTTATTACAACTATTATGTTTAGAAATGTGTTGACAAAATCTCTCTGTTAAACAGAAATTGGAGTGACAACTAAACAGGGGAGTGAATAATTCAGGGAGCTAATAATTCTGACTTCAACTGTATATATTTTATTGTAATGAGATATAATTAAATTCATTCATTCATCAGGGGTCGCCACAGTGGAATAAACAGCCAAATTATCCAGCATGTGTTTTACACAGCATATGCCCTTCCAGCTGCAACCCTGTACTGGAAAACATCCATACACACATATACACTAAAGCCAATTTAGTTTATTCAATACACCTCTACTGCATGTCTTTAGACTTCGGGGAAAACTGAAGCACTCAGAGGAAATCCATGTGAACACGGGGAGAACATGCAAACTCCACACAGAAATGCCAATTGACCCAGCCGGAACTCGAACCAGTGAACTTCTTGTCTGTGAGGCGAAAGTGCTAACCACTGAGCCACATGTCACCCATATATTTAAATTATATTTAATTATTACTATTACTATTATGGCTTGGATAAAGAATATGTAGTTCAATCTTAGAGTTTTAATGGTGCATTTGTATTAAGCAAAATGGTCTTGATCACAGCTCTCTGAAACAAATTCTTTGAAAACAGAAATTAAGAAGAAAATATTAAAATATGAAAATAATTTTTAATCTTGACAAAGAGGGCGTCAAGGTGGCACAGTGGGTAGCACAATCTCCTCACAGCAAGAATGTTGTTGTTGTTGGTTTGAGCCTCGGTGGGTCAGTTGGCATTTCTGGGTGGAGTTTGGATGTTCTCCCGTGTTCGTGTGGGTTTCTTCCGGGTGCTCCGGTTTCCCCCACAGTCCAAAAAAACATGCGCTAGGTGAATTGAGTAAGCTAAATTTTCTGTAGTGGATGTGTGTGAATGAGAGTGTATGGGCGTTTCCCAGTGATGGGTTGAAGCTGGAAGGGCATCCACTGCATAAAGCATATGCTGGATAAGTTAGTGGTTCATTCCGTTGTGGTGAGCCCTGATAAAGGGACTGAGTCAAAAAGAAAATGAATGAATAAATCTTGACAAAGAAGCAATAAAAAACTAAACAAAACAAAACATCAATCTTTCTGATCTTCCTGTTTGCTCAATAAGGATTTTTCCCCTCCATCTGACATTTCCTGAACAAAACAATAATTTTTGTTCAGTTTCTATAATTAGTTAGGTTAGGTTAGACTAGGGTTAGGTTACTTTGATATTTATACCGAAGG